CCTACCGTTCCTGACTGAAGTTCCCACAAAAGTTTTAATAAGCTTTAAATTAATGAACTTTTATTAGACTTCAAGGAAAAACAACGAAGTTATGATTTTCATTCGCTGCGGTTTTATAATTTTAGTCAGAAGTTTGAAACGTAGTGACGGGAAGATTACATCCCTAAAGTAAGAGTATATACATTCTTGATCATAATTCACAAGCAAATCGATTTATAACGTAAACTGAATGCTCTGTTGTTAAGCTTCCCTGGTGTAGAAGTCTGGTCAAATAAAAAAAAAAAAAACAGCTATTTAACACTGTTAATAGTGAGAACTTCGAACTGAACACTGTTCAACACTACAAAGATTACTGTCAAACTGTCAGAAATATATTTCTATCTACAGATTACTAATAACATGTTTAAATGTAACAAGGAACTTTTTTTTTAATTTCCATTTAATTAACATTAAAAAATTAAAAAATCTACCCAATCTCTAAAGCTTGGCAAAGTCTTTAAGTGTTCTTTTTCCAGATTTTTATCGTTGAAAGTATGTTGGGTTTTGGGCCATGAAACAAACACTTCAACCGCTCAATAGTTTCGCTTCGAACTTATTGAAGAGCATGCTCATTGGCATTCCTGTCGAGTAATCCCTGTTAACCAGTGTAGCCACACGTAACAAAGGAGAAATCCCAGTCAGAAGGAGTTGGCACTATCTGCCATCGACTGTAGACTTGCCCCCAGCATGTGTGCTAGTGTGAGTGAGGGCATGCAAGTGTGTGTGTGTATGTGTGAAGGAACTTCCGCTGAGCTGTTCGTCGTGGTAGTGTTGGTAGTGTTGGCAATGATGGCGTTGCCATTGCTTCCGCTGCGCTGGCTTAGATAATGCCCCAGCTAAGCAGTTGCTACAGAACGTGATGGGGGTAGAAAGGGAGGGAAAGGGGAGAGGGGATTGAGGATTGAGGATTGGGGCTAAATCAAGGATGAGGAGAGCAGCCAATGCCCCGAGACCCCGGACTGAGATTCCTTGATATCCCTCGTCGCAGCTCCACGGGCGATGGCGTTTATTAAGCGCATATAATCGTAAAAAAATTAGCTTGTATGAAATACGCACTGAGGCTGCGACAGAATCTTGCCTTCTATTTGCAGGGAGAGTTGCGACAAAGGACGAGGGATTCGAGACGGGTGCTTAAAATGCAAATGACGTTAAGTGTAGTGTCTTTCCAGGGAGCCTAGTCATCGCTTTGGTTTCAGCCACTCACTCCATCCTTTGCCGAGGATTCACTTAAGCGTCCTGATTAAACGCCCTGTTTTGCTTTATTCCAGTCATAATTTGAATTAATGTCGCAGCTTGGGGCGCAAATTGCTTTGTTTAGCTAGTTTTAAATGGATTAGGTAACCAATGGCAGGGTGGAAGCCAGTAATAATTAAGGAAAGGGTGGCATTCCCTTGAATTCTTCTCACTGTAGGTAGAATGCTTTCACAATTAATTAACATTTGTAATATCTATAAACCTGAGGGTTGGGAAGCAAAAAAAAAAAAAAAGTCTGAAAAAGGTCTCTAATTCAGGATTGGGTAATATTATAAAATTAAAATAAATAACAAATTATTAGAGAGTTGTTATATAAAATATGTAATATTATAATTACAATAATATGTACATTTAAAGAACTTTTTTTATAGTACCAAGTTCATATCGATTTCTTGAAATTCGTTATACATAATTATTTATTAAATTTTATTTAGGACAATTTGTTCTTAATGCTAACATATATAAAGAGTTATTAGAACTTAAAGTCTTTTTGGCTTCAAATTTAATGTTAAAAGAAGGTGAATTGAGATTATCTGACTCTTTTGCTGATTGCAAAAACATTAATCAGCATTGTTAGAGAATCCCGAACGAGGCACGTTGAGCACGGAAAAAACATTGATTTGACATTATTCCGAACATGGGAGTCCTTTTTTCCGTTTTCTGTGGGCCGACATGAAGGTAAATGTTTCCTATTCTCGACACAGTTCGTGTACACACACCGAAATCAATATCCGCCTAGAGCTGCCATCGCTGTCATCGAGTGTCACACATTTCATTTCCGGTTGTCTACAGGACACGCCCGCATATGCAGATTTACACGTCCTTCCTGTCGCTCTATCTGCTGGTTCTCTTTTCATTCGCCAAATGTTGCAGGATGTTTTCCCGAATAGTTTGCAGAGAAGGGATTTCGCTGCTCTTTTCTCCTTCGAGCGCCCTTCCTGGCATCTTCGCAATTTCATTTCACTCTGCAGACAACTTAAGGCTCATTGAAAAACTGAAGCTGCAAGCCAGCCATTAAAATGGCTAAGACCCGTAATTGATTGTCTGCTGTTAACGCTTAATTCAGTGCATACAAAGGAGGAAGTCCCGAGACTTCGGCGGCGAAACAATTGTGGCAAGTAGCAAATAGAAAGCAGCAAGTAGCTCTAGAAACAATAAATAAACCAATAAAATTTTAGTGGCACGTAGCATAAAAACACTGAGCGCAAACAAGGGACAGAGGACAGCGGATGGAAGTGGGTCCTAAAACAAAAGCCGAGGGGGCGGAAGTGGAAGTGGAAGACGAACTCGGACCCGGAAAAGTCGGAAAACTCGGGCGAACAGGTTGCGTGAGCCTGTCGGCATAAACTCCGCTGGAAAAGGCTCGAGATAAAAGCCCTACAAAGCACACAGCCGAAGTGTACACAATAACTGGGCTACAATTGTCTGGCTTTGATTCCGGAATTGAGGCCCGAGCCTTGGAGTGCTGCCAAAAGTGGAAAGTTTTCAATTGCCAGGATTTGTGTCTCCGGGACACGCCCCCACCGCCATTCATTCCCTCCGAAACATCCACCTTAACCTCAACCTCAGGCACTTGTTTACGTACTTTGGCGCTCGTCGAGAGCGTATCAATCAACTGGGCCACGGGGCGTATGAATTCAGGCTGGAAATCCGTGAACGGAACAAAGGCATCCACACACCGTTCCGAACGCCATAACATCCCCCGCAAAATGTGTTGTTTTCCAAATTAAATTTACTCCGCCCTCCAGAATCTAATCAAAGTGCTGAAGCTGCCACCACGAACTAGGGTTCGATTGGGAAATAACTTTCCGATTTACGACGGGGATATGCAAATGTGCTAGTAGTTGTCCGAGGGATGCCCATTCCTTGTGTTCCTTCAAAGGACATCTAGGATTTATTCCTTTAATACAAATACGAAAAGTTTTGCAAAAGAAGAGTCTAAAGTTATTGCAGTTAAGTCCGAAACAAGTGTTGAGTAGTTATTTTTTTATAGTAGTGAAACAAGTGTTGAGTAGTTATTTTTTTTATAGTAGTGAAACAAGTGTTGAGTAGTTATTTTTTCATAGTAGTGATATCACTGCCATAGATAAAATAAAATATGGGTAAAACACATCTCCCTTATCAAGAATTTAAAACTGAAGATTGAAATTAATTATCCAACTGTTTAAATAAATAAAAATATTATAAATAATACTAAAATTGAAACAGCTTCATTTACTTGTATTATTCATTGCCTTAGGGCTTTTTAATCCAACAAAAGCCTCACTGATTGGCATTACAGGGTATGAGCTCTTCCAATTCGAGTTCTTAGCTGGTTTCCAAAATTGCTTCTTGGCCTTCGAGTGACTCATAGGCGGTGCCTGCCAGCGGGTGGCCTCTGTGGGCGCCGTTTAAGCCGTGCCCTTGGCGGACGCTCTCAATCATATCTGATCAAATCAAATCAGCCGCCTGCCTCGTCCTGCTCCTCGCATCCTGGCATTCTAGCATCCTGGCATCCTGGCATCCCACAATATGAGCTTAGTTAGGTGTGGGCGTCGTCTCGATGACGCATGATTTTTCGGTAGGTGACTGGGTAAGATATGGCAAAAGATGTAGAAAGTGGGCGGTGGGCGGATGAAGATGAAGATGAGGATGCGAGTGCGGATGAGGATGCTGATGCTGATGGAGATGTGGGCTATAAATACGCCAAGGATGCGATGGCTGTCTGGCATTTTTAGCACCCTGTCTCCACACATCTTGCTGCTGGCACATTTTGCGGTTATTAAATTTATTAAGTTCCCAGCCTTTCGAAGGCGATGAGTGTCCTGATGATGGATGATAGATGAAGTTGCTGGCAGATGTCTAACTAATTAAGAGTAGGCGCAAAATGTCCTAGATGCCAAAAACTGCTTCTGGTTATTTAAGGAACTTTAACAACAAGCATTCAAAACCCAAAAAAAGAGACGTTTATCAACGCCTAATCTCATTTTTCGAAACTTTTCTAATTATAAATCTGTTCCGCTGAAATTTACTAGCACTTTGTGTTGCTCCACCCTCGATGAAAATACTGGGAACCAGAATTGCCAAACATTTTTCACGCCTCACTTAATGTTTCTTTTTTTGCGCGGTGTTTTTTTCCCATTTTCCAAAAAATAGGCAATAAGAATATGCGCCCTTGGCGAAAACGAGAGCCAGAAATCAACTTCCGTTGTGCAGCGGAAGTGAAATGTGAAATTTGAAATTTATTATTGGCAATGCAAAGAGACCCCAAGGAAAACCCAAAAAAAAAAAAAAACGAAGGGAGGTGGGCGGTGTGCCTCCACAAACAATATTTATGTTATTAAACTGAAATCAATGTGCAATATCCGCTGGCGACTCAATAAATTAAGTTAGCTTGGATCCAAAGCTGATTGGCACGAAATCATTTCTGGGCTCGCAAAGCGCTTTTTTCGCAGTAATTCTTGCAGTTTATTTCATTGCCATTGATTTGGGTTTATTTCATTTTAGCTGTCAGATTGTTTGGAAAAGCGATTTAAATTACATTACAGAGAGCAATCTAGCAATGGAATAAAATTAAAACTAATGTGCAGAGATAAGAAATGGTTGTTGCAAAAGGAATGAATTATTGGAAAAATTAATTGATTTGTACTAAATGCTCTTATGTCTTATCGAACCCCTAATAGATTTAATATTAAATTTTTAATATTTTGTTATAATCTTTCTTTCAGCAAATACAAAGGAAACATTTAGCAATATTGAAACCAGCTGCCAAATAAACTGCACTCTGCCCTCGGTTATTTCAAGGCTCGCTGCTTGGCTCAAACTTAGCCTCATCTCAGGACTTGTACTTCTCTGTAAACCCGTTCCGCAAAATCAGTCAAGCTGGCGTCGCTCAAGCAGAAAAATAACAAGAACACTATAAGCAATTACAATAACAATATAATGTGGAGTAGTACGATATCGCCAACGAACTCTAAGAAACTACTGATCGGAAGCACACGAAGCGTTGATTATGTCGGTGATAGTGCAAGGACCGCAGCAGGCAATATCAAAACAGGAGCAGCAGCAGCAGCAGCAGCAGGTGCCAAAGGATCAAAAGCGAAAGCCACAGCCGCAGCAACCAAGATCTCAATCGAAATGGAGCTCCACATCCAGAATAAGTGCATCTCGGCATAGCGCATCACTCTGGAGGGTGGTGCGGAGCCGCCATGGCTGCAGGGCCCCCTTAAAGCCGCATTTTTGGGGGCTACTGGCGTCGGCAAAACAAGCATACTACAGGTGAGTCTGCTGGTACGAGAGTCCACTGTACTAGTACCCTGAAAGAAAGCTCGCAGTAGAACAGCTGCAATAGTCTGCTTACTTTATAAGAATAGATACTCTATAAGAATAGAAAAAAAAACTAAGTTTCTGGCTTAGATGGCAGGAATAGAAAACCCAACCATTAAAGTCACGTAAAGTCTTTTTGGTTAGGTGTTAGCTTGGATTTTGATGTTAGGCGTTACCCATTGGCATTAATAATAATGGTCACTTAATAATGATATATGCATATGTGTGAATACATGGGGCACAGTCAACCGAAATAATCGTGTAAAATATTTTAAATTAGAAAGCCAACTTAATCGAGAATGTAGGTTTTTTATTAAAGTCGTTTTGGAGAGTTATAAAGATAAATCCCTAAGTGTTTATATTATCACCTTATAGCTGTCAAATACTAATTTAATCAAAATTGTCGGGCATAACCTCGCAATCAAGGTGATCAAGGTCGAATTCCAAATCACTGATGCCATTTCGAGTGTTTAAATATCAGGTGATCTGTTATCTCTGCATTCTGTTGGGTGCATATGGTCCAATTTAAGTACACTTACCTGGCTGATAAGCTATTTCCGTGATACAACTTCCAAGGCCTCGGTGGCGCAGTTGGCAGCGCGTAAGTCTCATAATCTTAAGGTCGTGAGTTCGAGCCTCACCCGGGGCATTAATTTTTTATAGCTCTCAATTTGTTTTTATTTTTTATAATAAACCTCAAAATCCAACCAAACTAAACTTTTAACTGTAAAGTATTAATCAGCCGTAGATAAAAATTTGAGTTATTGAGGACTCACTCACACACTCATTAAATGAACAGGACCACAAGAATACATACAAGTTTAATAAATTTGCGTTGATTTCAGGAGATCGAACTGCATCTAGCAAACATCGCTTCTTAATTGGCGTAATTAATACGGAATGACCGGTGATAATTTAAATGTTTGCTAAGTGCATTTCAGTTTTGTAACGCAATTAAAATTAATTGCTGTAATCATCGTTAGTCCAATCCGATCCAATCATCGTCTAAATAGAAACGCTCCTTGTTGCCCAGTCGCATTAATTAATTTTTCAATAATAAATTGCATTTTCAATTAACACAATTCCTGATTAAAAGTTTCCCCGATACACTCACACACACACACACACACACACACAAACGGTAAATCCGGGGGATGATGGAGCTCTGCAGAGATGCAAACGCTGCACTTTTCGTGCTCCAACTTGGCTTTAAATTATTAATGGGCATCGGTGACCCCGATGAAAGCTGAAAAGTTTAGTGGCAAACTTTTTAATAGACCAGCCCCATGGCAGCTGGCGCTCTTCGCCGGTGTTTAGCACCCCCCCCCTCCTACCTAAGAGCCCCCTCCCCCTCCAGCGGGATCCACATCCATCCCCCTCCCTCTCTCTCTCTCTCTCTCTCTCTCTCTCATCTCGCTGGTTTGCAACCCGGCTAATTGCATTTGTGTGCGTGTGGGAGCGTCGTTAATTTGATTTGCGCTCCGCATCGTATCTTTTGTGGTTTATCTTTTGTAATTAGACAATGGCAAGGCCCACAGCTAGAATGCCTCATATGTGTTTAGCACGGGTTCCTTCCTCCCTTTGCAAAGTTCATCGACAATGTGGGTCTCTTTGACACCCCATTCTTCTTTATCACTAAATCCTTTCCAAAGGAGTATGGGCTATAGTTGTGAAATTAATCTTAAGATCAATTTGATAACTCAATTAATGCCTCAATGTATTTTAACCACTTTTTCGTTTTTTTAAATTCCTTTTTTTAACATTTTCAAAGTGCAGCCGCTTTATTTATATTGCTTTTATACAAAATCCACAAAACCAACAATTTGTTCTGCATCAGAAACGAGCTTTGTAGTTCTATTTTCGTTAGCTTTTTAAAAAGCAGTTCAAAGCAAATTCAATTGACAAGCTTAATTAAAATGGGCAAATAAAAACAACAAGTTTTTCAATTCAACTCAGACAAAGTAAAATAAATTTGTTTACGCAAAACTAGATCAAAGTGGCAGTCCTCGTGTTACACTCACTTGACTATTTTAAATATAAATGAATTTACAGGATTACCCTAATTTATTATTATGAAAAACTCTATGACCGAAGATGAAGGTTGCTACCTGACGTCCGGAAATTTTGTGCATAAAATATGAACATAAAATTTGACAGTTTATGGCTCAGCAGCAGCTGCTTTTCGCTGAGCCAGCGGAAATTATATGCGAAAGAGTATAAATCGCGGCAGGGAAAACGCTCGATTTTCCGCCAACCTCCACGCCCTCCACGCCCTCCGCCTTTCACTTCTCACTCGGCGGCAAATTCAATTAACTGCAGTTGGCAGTTGCGAGTTGGCCGCTTTGCCATTTGCTTTCCCGCTGCGCTCTCCATTATTTTCCACACACTTGTTTGTGTGTGTTCTACAGCTGCGTTTAATTTCCACGAATTCAACCTGGGTGTGTGTGTGTGTGTGCATTAGCTTTTAGGACCGCTTTGCCGAGAACACCGAACACCTCACCCTTTTCTGATCCCAGCTGACCACCCTCCACCGCCTTTCCATCCTTTTCCATCGAGCGCCTTTTATTGTGTTTAATGCGAGATTTGTGCATTTTTATGGCACTTTAAGCGCTGCGAAATCAATTACTTCCTGCTTAATGGCTGTTTGCGGTCAAGCTGCGAAGGAATAGAGCTAGAGCAATCACAAAATAATGATACCCTCGTAAATTTAATGGGAGTTTAAACGGCGGAGTATGAATTCAAACACACATAATTGACACAACAGAACAAAAGAACACTTGGCTTTGTCTGGTTATGTTTATATTTTGGCATTTTTAATTCAACGGAGATATTTAAGCCTTGCTAAAGATTTACCTTAACATGAATTAGCTTAACTTGGCATTAAAAGCAGGCACTTAGTTCTTGATGCTTGTTTTTGACTCGATAAGCTAGGCACTTTTTCACCTGCATTTCGAAGGACACTAGCATCCTTCCATAATTTATGCAGCCACTTCGAAGCTGGCTCAAATTGCCAGCAAAAATTTTCGAATAAACTGCGCTAATTCCAGGAGATAAATGCGATGAATAAAAGGCAGTGCATCATATCAATAAAGAGTGCGCCATGAATATCTATTTGGGTAAATTTGGAAAGCTGCTCGGATCCCCAGCGTGCTTATTTATGTGACAGATAATGTGCGGCACTTTATGGGCCTGCAAGGAGCATAAAGAGGCGAAAAGCCACCCAGGATAAGGGGAACGACCCGGAGAAAGGGACACAGAGGACGGAGCATGTAGCACGGAGCTTGAAACTGGAAACTGGAAACAGGACCTGGAGAACGAGGAGCAGGCGGAGAAGGAAGGGACCATCAACGTCATTTCTTATTCAATTACCAGTTCAATAAAAATAAAACTCAATGATATGCGGCGCTGGGACATAAAAGCGATGCGATGCGATGTGAATCGATGTCATGCCAAGCAGTGCGATCTGACCCCTTTGCCACGCCCCTCCCCCTCGCCCACCCCATTTTCATGGCCACATCCTCCCACATTTCCCGCCGGGAAAAGTGGCTGTGTGTGTGTGCAGCACACATTTAAGAGTCCGCGCTAAAGTCATTCCCCTTTTAGGCCAAGCAGCGGTGACTTTCTCGCTCCTTGGAACGCGGCCACTTCCGCTTCCGGTGGCTCGCCTTGCTGGTTCCTCTTTTGGTGTCCCGTAATTGAATGGTAGTGCGCATAAATTGCATCCGATTTCATTGCACTGACAAGAATGGGTGTGCTGATTGCCTGAACAAGAATTTGCATTTAAATTAGACGAGCGGAGGGGATCGCGAAAGAAACTCAGAAAGATTTTCACTTGACTTTAACATAAGCCAAAACCAATTACACCCGAACACTGACAGAAAAGAATATCGATTAACTATTAAAAGTAGGAAATAACAGTTACTATGCTTATGAATTTATCATTACAAGCAAAGAATTCATGGAATATGCAAAAAATGTGTGGGCATAAAATCTATTTCATCGTGAAAAACTGGAGCCACACCAAGTCATCGTCTTCCCTATTTAAATCCTTAAGTGAATCATCTACTTTGCGACAAGAATGATTTTCTTGAGTGCATACAATCCGGAATATGGTGAATTGGCAATCTAGGCGATGGCTTCTTGGACCGACTAGGCATCACTTTAGAGCGCAATCAGGCGTTAAATATCCTTTGAGCCTGTCACTCATTCAGCTCATGCATTGATACCCACTGCGAGACCATCCAACCCACAACCCACAACCATTCCCACAACCCACCAGCCAAAATCAAAACTTCCCCAAGCCCAAAACCCATCGCCCACTTCCCTCCTTCATTATCATTTTTCTCTTTTACAAACTGTATCTTATGTCCCCGCCGGCCGTGGCTTTATATTTAGGATGCCTTCCGTTGGCTGCGAATCGCATTGGCAACTCTGGCTCCTTGGTCCCGGGGTCCCGGGGTAAATACCCAATAAAAGACTGTAGGCAACTCGGCTCAAAAGGCGGGGGGTTAATGGGGTCATTTCGACCACGGCGCGGAGCCAAGTCCAAAAAGTCCCGCGTGTGCGTTATGAGCTTTGGATCAGAGTTATGGCTCGTTACTGGGGCTTAAAAGAGCTAGTGAAGCGCATCATTAAGGACCTAAAAATTGATTAACAAATTAAAGTGAAAGTTGGGTTTATAGAAAAGAGATTTGAAAAGAGATTGAAAAATTATACACATTACTGTTTGAATAAGATTGATAGGATGATAATCAGTTTGAATTTTTTATAGGTATACTTTTGTTTTTTTTTTAAATCCATTTGAGTATATTTGAAATAGATCTTTAGCTCCCCAAACAAGAGCATTACTTTTAATAAAATCTGTAGCAAGCAGCCCTATGTACATATATGTACCTATTATTAAGCACTGCTTGATAAGCAGTTAACGTCATTGTATGTTCTTTAAGTTAAGTCAACCCTTATGTCCCCCTTACTCCTTTAAGAAACACCATGAAAACCCATCTCTAAGTATGTACGTCTCTCTCTTGCACATACGAGATTGTGAAATAGGCTAACCATGAACAGAGATGATGAAATAAAGATCACTTTTGCTGCGACCACTGAAGAGAAAAGACCCTGATTGTATCACTACAAATCGATTTAATAACACTTGCTATGCTCAATCTTACGCTGTGCTTATAAAAGTTAAGATTGATGGGATGATAATAGGTGAACATTTTTAATATGTAGGTACGCTCTTGTTATTTTAAAATCCATGTGCATATTTTAATGGGATCTTTTGCCAACCTCACCCTGACCAAAGCCATATTTAATTACTTGTTCTAAACTCAATCTTACGCTTCGCTGCATATACAGCACATATAACCATTACCCAGCGACTCGTGTGCCGTTTATTCCCATTTTTGTGTACTTTTTATGATTACATGACCAGTGAGAACGTAAAAACCAGAGCATACATTTAAGCGCTTACAATTTTAATAAGCTAAAAATGTCCATGAAATATGTGTGGCTGTTTTTGTGGGATTCAGCCGGCCAGAGGACCTGATGCAAAATCGCAGAGCGCATATTTAAAATGTTTGCCCAACATGAAAAGCATAGAAAACAGAAAACCAAGGAGCAGACTGAGAAACTGAGAAAATATTAGCTTGGTTTACTGTCGGCCAGGGTTTTTACGGAGTCAAATGATTTGCGATGAAAAATTCATTTTTATTTTGTTGACCCACACGTGTCGCTGTGCAATATATTACCATCAGAATAATATTTAATTTTGACACACACGCTTTTTCTTGCTTTTCAGCAATTTTTCTACCATGACTTTCCCAGGGCTCATCAGACGACAACACATCGCAAGATTTATAAAAACTGTCTGGTCTGCGACACCTGCATACGTGAGCTGATGGTACTGGACGTTCCTCCCCAGGTGAGTTGCCACACGCCACCTGCCACCTCCAACAGCAGCAATAAATCCATCCCACATCCCGCAGCCCTGGCCAAAATTTCTAACTTTCCATAATTTAGTTAAAAGTTCTGCCACCGACGAAGGGCGCCTGCCGCCTGCAGTGGGGAATTCCGTAAAAATATGTACAATCTATTTTTGTGCAATTTTCCAGTGAATTTCCTGGTGCTGATATATTAGAAAAATTCTGCATCCCTGCGCCCGCTGGCCATAATAAATTGCTTAATAATTGGAGCTGCCTCACAGATCTGCCACCCGTCTTCGTCCGGCACAACATAAATATTAACCTGAAGACACTTTAAGTCTTCTCGGGCGGTTTTTCTGCAACTGAGCCTCCTGCCGGAGCTGTCTAGACTCCAAGTGGTACCTTCTGGGTTTTCTGTGTTCTCAATGTTTTACATTTTATACCCTTGCAAGGGGTATCATCATATTAAGGGAAGAATGAATGAAATCCAAAACTGAATTGCAGTTTATAAATTTGCTGAACGAAATACCTACTTTGATTTCCTGTTCGGCTACCCAACGGTTTGCTATGCATAGTTTTTAAACATTATTGTGTTTTTGCAATTTGGGCGGCCTAATCCCACTAAAGAGTGTATAAAACTTCAGTTTGCCGAAGAGCGCTTTTTGTTTTTAATAACCACCGCTGCAGAAGCGCCTCGAGCAACAGTTTTCAACAACGCAGAGAACGAGCAACCGCAGCACCAAATGGCGCCACTCCTGATGTTGCCTCGGGAAAACTTTCCTCTGGGTTCAATTTTCCCTTATTCGGTATTTTTGCATAACACTTTGGGCGGGGAAAGAATGTTTAACGAGTCGGCTGCACAATTTCTCAATCTGAGTAGTTGAAATAATTTTAATCAGAAGGGATTTAAAAACTCCAAAATCGATTATGAAGTGTGAAACTTTTTTATTACGACATAAGCTTCAAATGATGTTAAAAATTTACTAAGTATAGCTTAAGGTTTAAAACGAAATTCCAGACACGGCCTATAAACAAATATTTAAATTTGACAGCTGGAACCAATTAGTTCAGTCAACCGAACTTTATGCAAATGTCACGGAAACATTCACAATGCATTCATATTCCGTGTACTCCACACACCTTTGATACACTATACTTGATAGGTAATTTTTCCCACCGGCCTCAGCAAAAATATTGTTCGACCGGCACGCGCCGTTGACTTTATTAAAGCTCCGTTTGGGCCCATAAAAGTGCTGGCCAGAAAACATTTTTATAAATGGCCAGCCAAGAGAATTCAGGTAAACCGTTTACTATGCACGAGTTGAGCGGGTAGTTGGGTATTATACATTTTTAACTACTCCTGTGGAGTAGTTCGTGTTGTCAAATTGGCCCACAACTGCCATATTGCCCAATTATGGCCAGCCACAAAAGTTTGGCCCATGTCCGGCTGTATTTTCGTGCGATTGTCTAGCGATAATCCAAGGCTAGGAATTTCCCCGTTTCCTGTTTACACTTCCCTTCAGTTGTTTCTAGGACTTGGCAGTAAATTTTGCCAATTAGGGAGTAGTTTTGCCAAACCGCAAATCACAAACTAACGCCGAAAATGTTGAAATGGGTTCCGAAGTCAAGGCCTTCCATGTCTTACATCTCAATTTTCGGACATCCTTCTGTTTCAGCGGTTTCTGTCTTTTGGTCTGCCACGTTTAACTATCATTAAATATTTATGGAACACACTCTGAACAAGGCCAGTTGCTGTTTGGGTTTTCCCCTCGGCGTTTTCAGCTATGCAAAGCTTGTGCTTCAAAGAAAAATGTTTGGATTGCCAAAGAATTTTGTGCCCTTGGAAAGAACTGCACTTGTGCACAGTGCATTATACATCTTTAAAATCTCTGATTATAATAGTTAAATATTTTATTTCTTTGGCATTAGATTTTCTCATTTATTTAGTTAAATCTACTATTGGATACCCTCGCTAAAAATTTATTTTTCAATTTACGAATTCAAGCAAATGCAACTCTGTGTTTTTAGTTTGTATTTTCATTTCCAGTGCAAATTGGGGGAAGCAAGATTATATTTTTTTAGCCCCACCGATGTCGGTTAAAACAACGGCAGCCTTTGTTACGTGGATGAATAGATTGGGGGCAGTCGTTGATCTAGGAAATCGGGAACTGGGCCAAGTGTGTGCGAGCTGACAAAGTCGCCGAAGGATACGACCAAAGGACGCCATGGACATCCAACCCTGGGGCAACCGCACAAATGCGATCTCATCCCCATTCCCATTCCCTTCTCCCTTCTCCGTCTCCCCTTTCCCCGAACACAGATTCAGGCAGGAGGAATTGAAATGGCTAGCGAACCAAAAGAGTTGACAAGCAACAAAGAGCAGTTGGCAGCGGGCAGTCAGCCAACCACACCCATTGTCATATTAACTACGTGCTGGGTGGGCGGCCCTTACTTTTCCCGCCCACTTTTCGACAGAGCCACCTCTCAATGCTTTTCAACTTATTCATGTCCATTTTGGCGTGAATTTGTTTTCGAGTACAGCTTTTTTCCCCCATTTTATTATACTCTTTGTTGGCCGTCCATTGTGCTGACCAAATGGCTGGCTGTTGTCTAAAAGCGGGCCAACAGGGTTTTTCCAGGGGGGTTCCCAGGGGGGAACTCCCAGGTGGGTAGCGCTGTCGCCTGTTTATTGTGGTAAATTTTTCATCGTCAAGTGCACTGCCTGGCAGTCATAACTCAAAGTCCACCTTAATGGTTTCCACTTGTACAAACAGCATTTATTCTCCAACAGATTTTCGCTCATATACACTTTCGGGGGGAAAAGCGGCGCAGATGGTTTTTTGTGGCTGTGTGCGAACAGGGAGGCCATTTAGTGGGCCATTGTTTTCCCAGAGAGCCGGCCGCTGCTTAAAGCCACTTGAAAAGACAGTCTGAGGGACAGGACTCAATGACCCGGACTAACATGCCTGTGGGCCCTGCAATCTGGCCAAGAAATACCGCTTAAAATTTCCTTTGAAAATGCTCGCTGATTGTGTCTAATAAATATTGCATTTATATCTATCAAACTTTGAGTGAAATAGATGAATACAGGAATATTATTAAACTTGGTTATGACCAAACGCAAAAACAAAAACTATTTTTACTGCTCCTAAGTAAGGAATTTTAATGGGATATGTGACTGAAATTTTCTTGATTTCTGTTTAATAATAAAACGTTAATAAATAAACGTTTACTTTATTAATGTGATTTTGATTTTTTACGAGTAGCTACTTTATTTTCAAGTATTTCTATTTGCTATTTGATGTTGATCCCTGATCAACATTTTATGTAAACCTTTATTTTTTATAATTATTTATTTATATTGTTTATGAACCTTTATTATATATTTTTACACCTTGGGCCTGTCTCGATTCATTTCTAAACTCATTTCATAGAAAGAACTTTATCGATATATCTAATTAACCCCATTGAGTGACCCATTTAGTTTGATTGAAAAGAAAATTCTAAGCAGGTCACTAGCAGATTTAAAAAGTCTGGCTCATTAGCCGGATACCTTCCAAATCCCTTATGTGTCTCAGCTGTCGTGGCTCAAATCCGAGGCGGCAACAATGCAGCAATTACAACAACAATTACAACCGGGCCAGAAGACATCGAGAATCTTGGCTAAGGAGCTGCTCGCATTTCCAGCCCGCTCGCAGCCCGTTAATTAACAAAGCAACAATAATCACAACAGAGCGGCGGGGAAGCGCAAATTAAATGAAATTTAATCAAAAACGTAAATCTAGCCAAGTTAGTGCCCGACGGGAGTGGCGTCGACTGTCTGCCAGCCGGAATGACACAATACCCGAGCACTGGAGGGAGGGCAGGGGCGGGGGGAAACCTGCGAAGGGGATGAAGTCACAAGTCGGGGGGCTGAAGGGCCGAAGGACCAGACGCAAAGGCGCCAAGGAATGCGGACCCTTGAGCTGTCCATCTGGGCTCGGGGTCAGGAGTGCCGAAAAGGGTGGCGACCAGGGGGTGGGCTTAGTGTTGCCGACTTACATCCTCTGCAAAAGAAGCTAAATTACAATTCTTAAATCTCTTAAAAAACATTTTAAAAGACTACACTTTAAATTTAGTTTGCCTCTTAAGAGGCAGGGCTTACTTAATTACATAAGTCTTAGTGAAACTTAGCATATAAAATCAGCTTAATTCCTATTGAACTAATAACATTTATTTTTTTTTATTCTCTCTATAGTTTAAAATTGCCTCGAAGATATGTATAGGCTTAGAAACATTTCAATTTTTTTTCATTAGCTGTGTATCGAATTCTTTCTTTAAAATACATCGCTAGAATCGTTTAGAAATTACTGTTAAACTTTCGATTTATACAAAATCTGGAATGGTCCGATTATCAAATATCATTTTTAAACTTTAAACGTTCAATGTAAAACCTACATAATCGTTAGCTTTTCGACTGGTGTAGGTACTATATTTTATATATTTTCATTTCGACTGAAACCAACCAGTTTAGGCCATAAAAAAGCTAGGCACACAGCACTTGGTTTCCGTTGTTTGTTCCTCCAAAATGTCTCGATTCTTGCTCTTGTCTAGGCGGCCTTTGACTTTTGTTTGCGTCTGAAAGCTGCGCCGTAAATTTAATTATAACGTTTACTTACTGTCTTGCTCTGGGCAGCTCGCTTTCCGTCTCTTCTTCTGCTCATTAGCGTCGGAGAGGGAAAACTCTGGCCACCTGCCTGTGGTGGAAAATTGCCAGCTGATTTGCCTTTTGTCGGGTCCGTGCTCAGAAGGATCTACGGCATCCCAACCGCTCGGGATTGATTTATGGCACTGCCTGAAATAAAATCTCTCGAAGTAATCAACAATAAGTGCACTGACGAAGAAAAATGCCAACACTTCACTTTAAAGTGTACTCTTTTTAACAATCGAACTTTTCTTAGCGTTCCAGGTGAAATCGATTTCAATCCATTTCATTTTTGTTTCGACCAAATTAGGCCAGAAGAACATACAAAAATGTATACAAGATGGTTTGCGTGTCATGTCCGTTTTATTTTGGAAAAGAAAAATAATTGAAAAAATGATATTGGAAAAACAACATTCAGTTTTAAGACAGATAAGACAGCTTTAAACATTTACTGATCATAAAATCAATACACCTCATTAATGAATACTATTTAACTGTGCATCATTTGAATTATTTAAATATAATATACGGACATAATAAATACTGAATAAATATTATTTAAAAACAATTGTGTATGCATTTCGCAATCTACTTTTCCAAAATGCTTTTCACCTTCGGAAGTCTGTTTCTAACCTACCATAGACAAACACAAATGTTTTTCTTGGACTATTAATCACAGGACAGATTGTGAAGCTTCATTATGTAATGCAATCGAAATGGGGATTTTCCCGGTGTGCTCTTCGCTGTTGGCTTGGCAAAGCAATTTGCTGCACTAACCGAGCAACAATTATTTACTGACAACGCTCACCGCAGCCACAGTAAATGCATCAACGGCTGTCTATTATCCTTGAATGTAACTGTGACGGTTTACTGCCATTGTGGGAGTAGCTTTGTCCTTAAATATTTGCTGCGACAATAGTTTCAGTAGCATTTAATAAATGTCGAAAATTTGGTTCGCAACAAGGCAAGTGGATAAATGAATCCTATTACTAATGCAGCAGTGAGTTTGGGCGAATAATGCCACTGCTGTGAGCAGTTAAGATTGCTGAAGCCGCAAGAGTGGTCAACTAAGTCCTAAATAAATACGATAAGGCGGAGGAAAAAGGATAATTCAGTAGAGTTCAGTTTGCGCTAGACACATTTCCTGTGCGAGTCAAGTGAAGTGCGGCAAATAATTACTTAACTTTGTGCAAACTTCAACATTCAAATTTGTTGATTTTTTTGTAACTTCAATACGAACAGATTCACTGAATATCAAATGATTTGATACTTTCCTAAGTGTTTGAACTCTGTTAAATGTAAATGCTTTCGATCTGATCAAATTATTATAAATAATTGCATAATCTCATTGTTATCCAAATTGAAACCCCCATCAAATTATGTGGATCAGGAGCAAATGTATTTATTCTGCTGGGAAGGCAAAAGCGATGCCTGCAGTCAGCGGATTTTCAAATCAAAATAAGAAACCAGAACTTTTCCATATCGACGACATAGAGTATATATATCTCCCCAGTTGTGGGCCCCATTAAACGCCATAAACTCTTTTTCTTTCCATATTTGCTTTTCATACGCGTGCCAAAATAATGCGAATTGAAAACCCCATTCAACCGACCGCGTGGATGGACACATGTGCGTGTTTGCCTGTTTGCCTGCTTGTTTGCGGAAATAATATGCTGATGAAAAACAAACATTCGACCAATCGGCACGGCAATCACGCCAGAAGCGATTTCCGGCTGACAACTTCGCCGAGTGGAACAACGGACATCCGCTGGGGCTGCGAACGGTGCACGCCTATGTCTTGGTCTACGACATGGGCAACCTGGAGACATTTCAGGTGCGAGCCTCAGAAATCAATCTGAAATCATAGCCCCACAATGTGCCCCATTATTCCGATTCAATTGCAGTACTGCCGCTCGATGAGAGATCAAATCTTGGACAGTTTCAGTCATCGTGATTTTAGCATAATTGTGGTCGGCAATAAATTTGACAATGTGACTGAGGCGCAGGCCAACTCGCAGGTGAGTTCAATGGCATACGAAAAATTCGATTCAACTTAGTTGATTAAATTAATAGAAAAAATTATTCAATTTCTTCAACAAATTATGAGAACAAAGCTAGTTAAATAATGTGTTATTACCCTATTGAATCAACTCTTTAAAGGTTATTAAATCTTATAGTATTTTCCAGTTTCAACGATCAGGAATAAGAAATGCTCTGTAGATTTTGACGCAACTAAGTATCTTAGCTTGATAAATTAATTTTTTAATTACTTAAAATCAATGTACTAATACAATTTTCTTATTGATTTTAAAGATTTAAAAATTCATCTTTACAAATTTACAAGTCCTTAGAATTGGAAGTATTCTAATTAGTTAAAAAGCAGATTTCATTACATAAAAGCTTAAAAAATGATTGAATATGTTAAAGATAGACAGTCCGATCCAAATAATTTTTGGGTAATAACCATGTCTGGAATTATTTGAATATATACGCTGCTTCTGGTTGGGAATGAAAAAGAGATTATCGTACATTATGGGCACATAAACAATAGCTGAGTTAAGCCCGAAAGAGCGAGGAGCTTGGTCGGCTAGCCGGCTGTTCACGGTGCGGGGTTATTAGTTTTCAGCAGATTTGCACTCAATATTGAATCCTTTCCATTATCGCACACCCGCACTCCCGCATCGCATCCCATCCCGGCTGGCTGGCTGGCTGGCAGGAGCTCAAGGATATTTCCACGCTGGTGCGCAAACATTGGCGCTGCGGCTACGTGGAGTGCTCGGCGCAGTGAGTAATCAATAGGAGCATCTGTCATGCGATATGTGTGCCCGGGGACTAACCGAAGCTCCTTTCTGTTCTGTTCTGTTTCTTCTGGGTCCGCGGATACAACAGATACAACTACAAAATCGGCGACGTTTTCCGCGAGCTGATGGGCTGCACCAGCACGGGAGGAGGAGGCGGCGCCGGAGGAGGAGGAGGAGGAGGCGTGGCCGGGGTCGGTGGCCTGGTTGGCACTGAGTACTCACAATCAACTAGGAATAAAGGACGCTGTACAATACTTTAGCAAATGTTGCATAAGTTTTTTAAGCAATCGTTCTGATCGGGCGCATTACATCCGAGTGAATTCGCTACGGGCAGCAGCAGCTGCAGCTGGGACAAGGTGGCGTATACGCAATCTCCAAGGAGGACACACAAAGACGACATTGTTGCCCCCTGTTGCCCTCCAACGACTGCAGATGCATATTTTAGCATACATTTTTAGTGGCCACACTCCACTCCCCACCACATCCCGCTTTGTTTGCCATTATTACAACTCTTTTCTGGCTGCTTTTATGGGCGCTTTTTGCTGTGCTCATTTAAATGGCGACGGGACTGCCGAACGGAGGACCACCTCCGCCTTTGGCCACCAGATCCAGATCCCTGCTGACAACTTTCGTGCGTCCGCATTTGCAATTCAATGGCAGTGGATGGCAGGAAGTGCAGTTGCCATGAATATGCAGCGATATCCGCAAAGTGCAGCAACAATTGCCGGCGAAAAGCTTGTTTTCTACATGGTTATGGTTATTGTTATAGTTGTGGTTATTATTTCTGTCGTGGAACGTAAATAGGCAATTAATCCCACCATAATTTACAATACATTTTATGTACGACCGAATAACCTTGTTATTGGAACAAATTCAAGTCGTATAAGTACTAAAGTAGTTAACCTAAGCTATACACATATATTAAAGCATACTTTAACGTTGTGATCATTTCAAGAATTAGTTCTTAAGGCACACAAACACACAAACATCAGTTAATGTCAAGTAACAAGTCAAGTCTACAAAAGTGGATTACAAGAAATACCTAGTTTTAGGACAACATACGACTAAGAGCAATTTAATAAATAGCCCTAAGAATTTGGGAAAGCGACGGAAGGCGGTAAAATCAAAGATCTACAATCATGCCATCAAAATCGTAATGCGGTTTGCATTAATAATTTGTTGAAGTTCATTTAAATTGTTTACTCCTTACACGATGAATTGTTATTGAATACAGCTAACAAAGTCAATAACAAATTCCATTCCATAGAATTCATGAAATCGAATTCATTATTGTGTTTATTCAAATTGAAAACTTAATACCTATTAGTTTTTGTCGTGAAGCAGTCGTGATCAAGAAGCCTTAAGAACCCAGAAGCAAATATTTCATAGTATACCTTAGACTAAACCAAGAAAACAACTTGATCAAAGCGCACAAAAAACGAAGATTGTGTTATTAAGGCATAATAATAAAAAAAGTAAAATTTGTGTATTGTAATGTAGTGACAAACGAAACTGATCTGGCCGATCTATTAGTAAGTAACGTGTCTCTCTACTACTCTATCGGCTGGATATCGCCAAGTTAATTATATTCAGTGCTGATCCACGAAACACATACATACCATACCGATCTCTTTCTTTACCTCAAGAAACAAACTCAAACTACTCAAAAGAAAAGCAATCAAGGCTGACTTTGTACATAGAGATTTCAAAGGAAGAACTTTGCGAAAAGCTATGGAAACCGACTTTTACAGCAATATAAGTAAGCTCTAACTGATATTCAAGGTAGATAACTGGGCGCACTGCCAAAAATTGGTTCCACTCCCAGTTGAGTGTTCGGCTAATCTAGAAGTACGATATTTAAGAATCAAATGAGTTCGAAACAATTATTTGAAATTATTTCAAGGTTAACCCATGCAAAATCGATAATAATACATCAAATAACAAAGCATTATTGTTAAAAATAAATTTATGAAATATATATTTGCGGCTTTGATAAAGGACATATAACGTTAAAAGATTAATGATAAATAGCAGCTTAAATTGCTTACTTGTTCAACTGATCCTCCAAACCGGGAATTTTCCAGCATTCGCACCCATCGCCGAACTGATCCCAACTTGAGAAATGTGTTCACATGTCACTTTCTAAACCGGGAATTTTCCAGCATTCGCACCCATCGCCGAACTGATCCCAACTTGAGAAATGTGTTCACATGTCACTTTCTAAACCGGGAATTTTCCAGCATTCGCACCCATCGCCGAACTGATCCCAACTTGAGAAATGTGTTCACATGTCACTTTCTAAACCGGGAATTTTCCAGCATTCGCACCCATCGCCGAACTGATCCCAACTTGAGAAATGTGTTCACATGTCACTTTCTAAACCGGGAATTTTCCAGCATTCGCACCCATCGCCGAACTGATCCCAACTTGAGAAATGTGTTCACATGTCACTTTCTAAACTGAAACAACCCATTTTACACTTGCAGAAAACTCCTCGCAAGTAAGCAACTGAAAAGCCCAAGCATCCACATACGAGTATTTATATGAAACATACCTATATATACACGAATATAAATGTAACGATAATTGTACGAGTTTGGTTCAAGTTTTTGTCTTTGAGTTTTAACATTTACGGATTCGTCAAAATGGCTGTTAATTTTTGGGAAATAAAAATGCTAACGCAGAACAGTTGAAGGGAATTAAACAGAATAAAATAAAGGCAACAAGGACAATTGTTGAATTATTTACATTTAAGCAACACGTTGCCTGCGACAGTTTGAAACAAAAGGAGGAAGTAGTTGTAGCAACTTAACAATTAAAGTCTAAAAATTAAAGTATATATTAACGAATCAAATGCTTCAGCCGCTTGTTGTTTGTTCAAACCATTCAAACGTAATTAGTTTTAAGAAAAAGCCGCTACGTTTAGATAAGTATTACAAAAGTGCAGACGGCGCTCATGATCTCTGTTATTTTTTTATAATAAGGACATGATGCGACCGCAAAGTAGAAACAAATTATTAATTGGAGAGGAGCTAACCACAGAGTAGGAAGAGAAACGCACCGAAACTAAATGTTAAGCAATCGGGCATAAAAAGCGGTCCGGAAAACGAAGCAAACAAATTGTACTTAGTGTATAGTAGATTGCACTACGGGCATGAATATGATGATGATTATTCGACGACAGACCGATAGCAAAGTAGAGAACGTTTTTGAAAAATGCGCAACAGACGCCAATAAAAACAAAATAAAGTGATATATAAAAGACAAGCTCGTTGTAAATTTAATTGTTGGGTCCGGATACATTTCTACACAAGAATCTTATTCAGGTTTACCAATCTTTGTAAATCTTCTGCATTTATGTCCGTTTTAAGAAGATACAAAAGCTCACAAAAAAAAATACATTTATTTTAGGATCTATTCAAATAATCGTATATTCTAGCTCGAATACGGGTTAAGCTTAGGGTAAATACAGCAGCCGTTCACTTCACTTGCCTTGGCATCAAATGGCAAACATTCATAGGCCAGGTAAGCGATTAGTCACAACCATTATCTCTGTCAGCAATTAGAAAACATTTCCATTTCTATTTTTGACAATTTTATTTTATCTCTTATCGCCTACGACTAAAAACAAACTTTCTTATCGGTTGGACTACATGGCTAGAAACAAACTAAGACAAACAATTTAGCATCGTAGGTCATTAACTTAGGCTAACGACTGTTTTGGAGTACATCTTTATGTATATGTATGGTTCCTAACGTTAAGTCTTAAAAACAAAAGGACATTTTGTTGTTGGTAGTTTGCGACACGCAAGAGTTGAAAAAGTGAACGTAATACAAAACTTATTAAATCTGGTTTTGCCCATAAATAAATCTTCGACTTGCCCGGGTCGAGGTCACCGATTGAGGCATAGCTGCCAGGAGAGGACAATCGGTAGCGGTAGGGATGGCTTTCAAGCGAAATGCGAACTGATGACTGAGCTTGGCGCGGTCCAAGCTTATCACTGATGCGGCTCGCTGGAGCTGCTGAATGTTCGGCTGCGACTCAGGCGCCTAGCCCGCTCCGCCAGAGCCGCCTGCTCGCTGCGTCCGTCCGACAGGTGAGGGGGCAGCTGCAGGATGTTGTGCAGCTGGCTCTTCAGCTGCTTGGTCTGCGGCCGCTGCTCCGGATGTGCGGACAGCATCTGCTGGAGCAAAACGTACTGCTGCGGGTAATTGACTGCGAAGTCCTTGGGGTACTGCCCGTCCCGAAGACTCCGGAGCGTCTTGATTCGCTCCATTTCGGTGCAGAAGTACACGTGCAGCTCGAAGAAGATCAGGCCCAGCGAGTAGATGTCCACCTTGTAATCGTAGTGCTGGCCCAGAAGCTGCTCCGGCGACATGTACAGGTGGGTTCCCACCTGCTGCGTGTGGCGGGCGCAGGAGGGCAGGCCGCTCTGATCCCCGCACTTGGCCACCAGATTGGGAATATCCGCCATGTCGGTGACCAGTCCGAAGTCTCCGATCTTAATCTGCCCGTCCTGCGAAAAGAATATGTTGCTTGGCTTGAGGTCCCGATGAATCAGACCCTTCAAGTGAACATAGTCGACGGCGTCTACGATCTGGTGGAATATGTCAGCGATGTGGGCGGCCCTAGCCTCCGATCGATTGTCCCTTAGCCAGTCACGCAGACTCTCCTTCCGACACAGCTGCATCTGGATGTAGAGGTACACTTTGCTGGGCTTGGACACCACTCCGTTCTGAATCGTGGCACTCGGAGGCGTAGCGTGGCTGCCATTGTTGTTGTGGTTTTGGGCCAGCGCCAGGGTGAGGGGCTTCCTTCGAGCTTTGTTATCGTCCTCCGCCTCATCACTGCCACTGCTCTTGGGGCGCACAGATTCGATTTGGAATGAGTTCGACACCAGCTGGTGCTGTGAGTAGTTAATGTTCTTGAGGTCGAACGAGGCCGAATGGATGTCTATGGAAACGGAGCTGCGATGGTGCCTCCTGTTGTCGTCTTGTTCCTCTTCGTCTTCATCATCGTCATCGTCTTCCTCTCCTGCCCTTAAAGCGGCCGACTGCGATTCGCTGCGGAACTCAATGAGCGAATCCTCCTCTTCATCGTTGTCATACTCCTCTTTGATGTTCCTAAGAGATGACTCGCCGGGTAAATGAAAGTCATGGCTGCATTCCGTGCTGTTCGCTGCATCCGAAACCCAGGACAAGAGCTGCTGGTGGCGTTTCGCCTGCAACTGCTCCGCGAAAGAGGGCATTGTACTCTCGTCAGGCGTCTCTATCTGGATGGAAGTTGAAAGCTCGTGGGCGAGCAGCTTGCGATCCTCCTCTTCTTGCCAACCAGTTGGCGGAGTTTCAGTCCATGACTGCAAAATGGGGAAAATACGATTATTTCAACTCATAGTCTAAACGGTATCCTATAAGTAGGTTCTAATAACAAAAGTTAGATGCCGCAATTTCTTACACTTAGCTTAGATCAAAAACTTCCATCACGCCAAGCTTAGACTACTGTTTCTATCCACTGATATAATTTTACTTTAGTCAATTTACTCACGTGAAAGTAGCGCACGATATTGTGGTGCTCACAACTGGCCAATGTGCGGGCCTCCCGCAAAACTCGCTGCCTGGAGGACTCCTTATTAGGCAGCGTGATGCGCTTGATAGCGTAGCGGTTCTCATCCAGCTTATTCTTGGCCTCAAAGACCACTCCGAAGCCACCGCGGCCGAGGCACTGCATCAGCTCGAAGTCGGACTGGAAGCGCGAGGTGTAGTGCTCGCCTGAGTGAGTTGTCGACTCCGAATTGGTGCGTTGGTTTCTGCCACCGGGTGGGAAGCTAAAACGGTTTCCGGGACGCTGCAACGGCACCACAGGACCCAGGAGAGCCTGTGTGGATGCTTCAGTGGCCTCGATGGCCGTCTGTACTGGCACATGACGTTCAATAACCAGATATTCGCGCTCCACTCGTTGGTTTCGTTGTCCCATGAAAATATTGAGAATTACAGCAGAGGTGAAGGCAATCACTACAATCTCCTTCCACCAGAACCACAGCGACAGTATAACAACCTTCACAGGGGCATCGATGTCGTCCAGACTAAAGCCCAGATCTTCGTTCATGCTGCTGTTACCAGTGACCTCCGTTCCTTCAGAAGAGGCATTGTTTGGCGGAGAAGGCGCTTCTATAGCGGAGAGGTCTTCAGGATTTTTTGTGCGCCGCACTCCGTTGGGCCCTCCAGTTCGTCGGTGGTGTAGAAGTAAAAACCATTGCCGTTCACAAACTCCGAGGCATTTAATACGGACTGTGCTGCCACAGCCGAATTGTGGTCTTCATAAGGCACAAGTTCTCCTCCCTGTGCGCCCACTCCCTCTCCAATCACCTCAGGCTCATCTTGATCCTTTCGGAAGATGACTAGGGAGTTGCTGCTGGCTGCTATCGGCTTCCATGGGATCTTGGGCATCAGACTGGTGTCGCCCGTGAGCTGCTGATAGACCTTCGTCTGGTCCATAATCTCCTGACGAAGGCGGATCGACTCCTGGATGTACAGCTGCTTGTCGTACATGCCCAAGTAGATGGACGGTGCGCTGTGAGGTGCATCTGGCAGGTCGTTGTCCTCTTGGTCCTGGTCCCATAACCACTGGGCGGAGCTAAACAGATCTATAGGACGCAATTCGTCTGCGGCGTTTGTGTTCCAGGCACTCACAATTGGGTGATCAAACTGCGATAAAAATTCTATCATAAAAGAGTTTAAATCCCAGTTATACTTCTACGTACTTTGTACTTCCATAGCATGGTCTGTGGGTCACTCTTGCTAAAGGCGCATATAATTCCCTCTGGCACCACAACCTTTATGTCTACGTCCAGGACAGCCAGCTCCAACTCATCTCGCTCCTGTTGTTGGCACTCGGAAGGTCGAACCAGATCTAATTCGTGCTGGCCCACACTAAAGTTCCAACGCTCCATTCCGGTACGAGATTCCACGGCCCGCACCGTCTGCGTCTGGCGGCGCACCACGATTACGTCGTCGAGGAGCGGATCGTGGCCCACCACGTAGCCAGCCTCGTCTCTGAGCTGGTCACTGTCCTCCTGCGCCTCCTCCTCTTCCGGCTCCCTAATTGTGTCGTTGATGGCCAGTTCTTCCTCCGTTGAGTTCACACAGCCGTTGAGAGAGCACTCATACAGTAGCTGCCCTGTGCGAACGGAGACGCCGTAGGAGCGGGTTTCCTTGCCCCCGGAAATCACCAAATCGTCGCTGAACTTGGCACTCGAACTGAGCAGGTGCTCTGCCGTGATCGGAATCGGATCGATGGAGTCGCCGTCAAACTTGTAGATGCCGCCGCTTAACGAGGGAATCATGCGCACAAACTGCCCGTTGTTGGTCAGCTCCAGACGATGGATGCTGGACGAGATCAGTGGCCCTGGTCCAGTTGGCACGCTCCAGCGCAGTTTTCCGGACTTGGCAATGTCGAGGGCATTTAATCGTCCGTCCAGTGTTGTTATGTAGAGGAGTCTGTGGGAAAAATTTAAATGAAAATCAATACCAATTGGGGTAAAAAGGGCCTGACCGGGAACACAGAACTAATCTTGCAGATTATCTTTGTAAGAGCCAAAAATGTTTACAAATATTTCAACAGTTCCGTTTTACATATTGTTGTTTCATTTTTTTTAGGAGCCTTAAGCACAGTTTTTATTTTCCTGTTTTTAAAAATAATAGAGATACAAAATGTTTTACATTCAAAGTTCTTCTCTTTTAAAAACTTCAATCACACAAGGTCTTTTAACCGATTTTGTAAAGTTTTTGTTTTTGGAAGTCACAAAATTCGTTTATAAGTCTAAAACTTAAAAAAAACGGGCTGGGCAATCTGGGAAATATTTGAAAAATTTATGTTAAATATAACCCAAAACCTATAGTTTTGTTCTTTGTTAGCACAGCGAAAGCGGAAATGGTCTGTAAAGGGTCGATAAAAAAATAATAAACGTAAATTTAAAAACCATACTTTCTTCTTAAAGATTCCATTTTACATTCAAAAAACTTAATTATCTGGTACTGTCCCCTAATTTGATCAGCGACTAATTTCGTCACCTGCAGCAAGGATGGAACCGACCAGTAGAGAGGGTCACACTGACAATCCCAGCTGATATGTAATAGTGGGAGGAAGGGGTACGGAGCTCAGCTGTTTGCGCGCCAAAAATAAACCGAGGGACAACAAGTGTCAGTTGGCTCCTCTTTATTTCCCCTATCGCCATCTTCGTCCCACTCACAGAGAACCCCAAAACAGTGCCTCCAAACTACGGGTCTAAAGCAAAAGGGAGGAGAATGGTGAAATTCGACTAAAACTTAAATGCAAAGAAAGCAAAACAATCGGCTAAACCTGTTCGGATTGGCGTGCATAATTAAACATATCTCTCGACCGTCTATACAAAACAAAAAAAACAGTTAACAGTTTTGCCAAGTGACTCACCGCATGCTTGATAAGCGCGTCCACTGATTACGGGTCATCAAAGTTGGTTATTGCTCGAACAGAGTGGAATCATACTATCAAATCAGTCGAGAACTTCTAGTTGAACAGGGGAATTGTTTAGTAGCCCAAAATTGTTACAGTGTTCCCCCTTTTAACTAGATAAATATACACTTTTTACACATCTAACAGGATACCTTTAAGGGGTTAAACGAAGTGGTATCATACTTTCAAATCTGCTGGAGACTTTGAGTTTCTCTTAACATTAACTCACTAGACTCCAATAATAACACTGTTCCATTTGAATTCCCCGTTTAGCTGGGTAAATAAGCACGATTTGAGTAGTTTAAACAAACATTAAATTTTTTTTTTAATATTTGCCTAGCTGCTGTCGTTTCTCGACTTGCACTGTGTTTTAGCGAATGTTCGAGAACTTATGAAAACACCAGTGTGCATAAGAAAAGGGTCACACACATAACGCACTCAGCTGCTTCTTCCTCATTAATCCGATAGATATTTATACACAGCTCTTTATCCCGATATAACATAGGAAGTACCAACCTCCGACCGATCCGGTGCTCGGCCTGATCCACGCAGTGCGCGAGGGCAGGGCGACTCGAAGAAGATCGCGGCGTCTGGAGCTCCGAGTCGGCGTTTGCTCGTACCTGGACGGGATCTATGGCGACCAGTCCCGCCATAGTGAGTGCCAGAAGCTGCAGGAGGCTCAGGTTCCGGCGTCGCTGCCTCACGATGCCATCCAGGTCGTCCTGCATGCCCATCGTGCGCGCATATACACGTAATCCTTATCTAGGGCCGTTCGGGGGCTCGGGTATGCAAGTTTTTAATTGGCTCGAACGGTGACGTGTTGACCCGACTTTCGGGGGTCGGTGGGTGGAACAGCGGCGGCAGTGGCTCCCAGCAAAGTCGGCGCACATCTCCGCATCACTTTTTTACGCGCCCGCAGCGAGCAATTGCAATTCGAATGTATAACTCTAAAAAAGTCGGTAAATTTCAACTTGTTTTTCTTCCGATTGGCCCGCAACACGCTGCTGATGTGCAGTGTGACCGCGCTTTTCGTGCCATTAAATAACAGTGATGACACCACATTCACCTTTATTTCGTCATGGATAAAAAATACCAAGAAAATACCGTTTTCTCAGGTGTTGCTTGCAGCTACAGTAAGCATCTGAAAGTTGCGAACCACTCTGCAGAAGGTTGGATTCGGCAGAAGTATACTGTGATGTAAATTGAACTTACTGGCACGATTTTAGTTTCCGGAGCGCCAAGATTCAAAAAGTGTTTATTTTGGCCAATTAACCAAAAAATGTTCTCAAATCTTGGCGCCCCGGAAGTTAAAATCTCCCCAACTTAACTAATTGCATTTGTATTTTGTTAAAAAAAATAAAAAATTTATATTATAATTAATTAATAAATACATACTTCAAATTTGGGTTAAAAAAAAATTTTACTTGATGTTATTTCTACTGTTTGGTTTATTTCGCCGTTAAAAACAGTTAATCGACATTGTTTCGTAATATTCGATATTTTAAGTGAAAGTTAGGTCAATCCAACAGGCCCAAATATTAAATAAATACAGTAACTACTTTATCTGCAAGCCTAATAGTTTAGGATGTCTGCTTAACGCCGGAGAAACTATATACAAACCCGATCCATTTTACATGAGCATAACTTGTTTGAACTCCAGTCTCTAACGCAATGCAGGATTTTCAACAGATTCCTTGATCCATTCTTATGGTTTGGGGAGTTGCAGGAAATGCGTTAACAGTTCTAAGGACTCACATTTGTATTATGTATATTGTGAAAAAATAGCTTTCTGAAATCGTTGTGATAAATAATGTTCTGAAAATCTCCACAAACTGCAACGGCGCTATAGACTTAACGTTAACACTTCAATTCGGAAACAAGTAAACAGGTTACAGTATAGCGAAGAACCTTTGCTGTAGTATAAACACCGACCGTCCATAATTGTGGTCAAAAGTCTTCATGTATTATGGAGAAAACCACTGCTCGCATTAATGTGAAATCATATGGAGTCGTTATTAAATTTAAATTGTTTCATTTATTATAAAACGGATTTTTTTTACTCCTGCAGGTCAGTAACTTAAGTTGGATATTAACTTAAATCCTCGATGGGTACAGCATCTGCAAGAAGGCAAAGAGCATGTTACAGGATTGGAGTTGACAGCCAAGAAGGGTTTAAACTCACGATGCGGATGCGGTGACCCATGGCGTGACCGGGCAGGTTCCTGTTGAAGCGGGCACGCACAGCGCCAGTGTTGCCGTGAATGCGGGTGACCTTGCCCCAAACGGCGCGGACGCGGGTCTTGCGCTCGGGATGCTGTGGCACGCACTTCTTGGTCTCGGCCTTGTAGACATAGACGCAACGCTTGCCAACATAGAAGGATCCGTGCTCCTTGCGGCGGGCGCCCTCAATCTGCAATAAAAAATTGTATTAGAATAGGGTCTTTCAGTAAACCTTTTAAACGAAAAACACATAGATAAGAGGCTAAACTAGAATCCTATTTGACTTTAGTGTAAAATCTTGTGATATTTGAATATTTAGAATAGTTCATACTTAAAAAAACTCTGCTCAAAAGATACACAAATACTTATCAAAACAAGATTTTTTTACAGAAGGGCTTTAAAAAACACAAATAAGATTTTCTTAGTAGTTTCATGCAGAGCTCTGACGTCTCTAGATAATCTTTGATAACAACTCAGGAACATCTGCAATGGACTAGGTCTGAAGTAGGTCTAGGTTCGTAATTCCTGTGAAGCGTTAGAATACGTTCTTCGCGGGCAAATTCTTACCTTGAGGATAGCCTGGTTCTCGTGCTGGTTCCTCAGACCGCGCTTGTAGCCGGTGAAGACAGCCTTGGCGAAGAGGCGTCCGTGGCGCTTGTACTTCTTGGCGGAGACCTTGGCCTCAGAAGCGGCGGGCTTCTCTGCCTTAGGGGCCTTAGCGGCCTTGGGAGCCTTCTGGGCCTTGGCGGCCTTGGGCGCAGCAGCGGACTTGGCTTGTGTGTCGGCCATGGCTTAGCTGTGGATAAAGACGGATATCAATTAGTCATGGTTAAAAAATGTCACTTTAAAAAACAACAACTAGTTTTGAACGAATGGCATTTGCAAATGTCCAATTGGGCACTATTCGAGCCGTGGCTTTTAAGCGCCATAACATAAATCGAACGTCTATCACAACAGAGAAGTTATTTGAGCCGCAGCGCTCGGGCAAAAATGGATTCTCCTGAATCCACTTCTCCACACAGCCAAAAACAATCACAAATTAATTCCGCTACCAGATTTTAGTGCACGTGGGCTGACGTTTGCAGGTTATTCACTGGTTATTTGCTGGTTTCCTATTGCAACAACTTGATTTCTTTTGTCTACGAAAACCCACCTTGTTGATCGATGAATGTATTAACACCGCTAAAATAAAAAACAAAATATTTTAAAAAGGCAAAACTTTAACAATTTTATTTTACTTACTTCGCCGGAAACGAAAGCGAAAAGAAGGAAATAGTGTGGCTGCCGTAAGACGCTAAAAAAACGCGTTCTATGTAAGACAACAGCGTGCCGTTATGTAACAGTGTGCTGTTGAGCGTAAAAAATAAAACTAGTTGGCAGCTCAGTAGATTATATCAAAATGTTAACGTGTTTACAAGGTAATAATTTTCATAAAAACTCTCAATTTGATATTAATATTTGCTTTTGGATTTTTTTTAATGTTTGTAAAGATTTTTGGTCTGTTTTTGCAAAAGCTGGATGACGATGGCAGCCACCATTCTTTTATAATAAAGGAATGCTTGCAACTCTATTCCTAATAGGATCACTTAATATCCAATTAGTTTTTTTTTATTTTTTATGAACAAATTTGAGTTAATCATTTCATCAAACAAGATTTTAAAGATGAACTGGAACTGGATTTTAAGGGTTTTATGTGGGTCCAAGGGTTTGCTAAGGACTTGAATCTTAAATCTTCTATGGGGCATTTAAAATGCCTGGGAAGTCATGAAGGTCACTTTAGTTTTTGCTCGATTTTTATATAGTTTTTGCAAAAATGGATCAATTTATCAAGTTTAGTTCGGCCAAATTCGGTCTCCTCGAAGTCACAGTTCTTGGTCGAGCTGCAAATCTGTGTTTTGTTCTTTCCCTTGGGGTGGTGAAAGCAGCTGCATCCAAAAACAAAATTCTCAAAACAGATGTTTGGCAAACTTCTATATCAGAGATGCTCTTGTTTTTTGCTAAAAAAACTATCGATAGCATAAGTGATTTTACACTGAGCCAATTTTAAAGGTTTTACCGTTTTGAAAACTTTAGTTTTTGGGACACACGAGTACTGGGTGACCCTGTAAGTTATGGTCAAATTGCATCATTTTACCATGCCATAAAGGGTTTGCAGAAAAGTTGACAAGTGTAAAAAAGGGTATTAATTTTAAAATTATTATAAAGACCGTATCATAAGTAAATGTCACCTCCACTAAAAAACCAGCTGGAAGATTTTGTTTTAAAAATTTAATTAATATCTGTTTGCTGATAAAACGTTCTTCCCTATTTTTTTTTAATCGAATAAAGTTATCGGCTACTCAGCGCAATCGCGTAGTGTTTTTTTCCAGTGCCGAAAACAATATCAAATTTTTCATAACAATGCTGATTTATTAGAGACTGCTACAAAATTGTGAAGCACATGTACCTCGCTAAACCGAAGGGAACGTGAGAACCGATTCGTCAGAAGAATCGCATCAGACCGTTGCATAAAAGCGCAGCCCCGCCGAAATTAAGAGGTGCTCCCGCGACTCGCAGCGAACTTTGGATGCGTCGCGATGGGCTTGCTGGTGCAAGTTTTCAAATGGGACCAGCGATGGCGCCTGCTGCAGCGGATGGATATAGACGTCCTGCTGCGGAGGGGCATTAAGAAACAGGCGGTGTACCCGACCAAGTAAGGGTGTCCTGAGTCCTCCCACGCATTGCATAACCACCCGCCTTCTTTGCAGACTCGCTGAGGTCGGCCGCCTGGTGGAGGCGCGCGACGACCGGTACGAGACGGGCCAGCTCTTCCTGCACCGCATCTTTGGCTACCGCGGTGTCATACTCTTTCCCTGGACGGCCCGCGTATATGACCGAGACCTGCACAACCCGGGTAAGATCGGCACCACCACCTCGACGACGACGAAAACTAGTCCTTCACAGCAGCAACACACCAAAGAGGCCTCGCTTCGGGTGAAGGCCAATTCCTCCGCTCCGCCGTCGGAAGCAACCGCTCAGAGCGGTGATGCGCCTACATCGGCCGCCTACCAGACAGACGCTCCCAGCGAAGGCGAAGGCACACCCAATGTAGGCACCGCCACGCAGGTGGACCCAAAGGAGGTCAAGGGCAAGGTGCAGACCTTCTACCAAGTGCTTATCGACACCCGAGATTGTCCGCATATAGTAAGACGGTCTAAGTCTAGCTCCCATCAATTCTTAATGTGGTATTTATTGCCTTGCAGCGCGCTCAGACCGAGGCGGTCACTTTCCTGGGTAACCAGGACTCGAACCGCAGCCTGTACGCCATACCTGGTCTGGACTACGTGGCCCACGAGGACATCATGCCCTACAGCTCCAGCGAGAAGAGTCCGCTGCAGCACGAGTTGTTCGACAAGTTCCTCACGCACGCTCCGGAGGCAGAACCGCCATTCGTGGGCCAGGACACGCTGAAGGCATGGCAGGAAAAGAACCATCCCTGGCTGGACATGAGCGATGTGCACAAGGAGACCACCGAGAATGTGCGCATCACTGTGATCCCCTTCTACATGGGCTGCCGTGAGACGCCTGCGAGCTCGGTCTACTGGGTGCGTTAAGAAGCCATAATTAATTTTACTCAAATTAATAGGTTCTTATTCCAGTGGCGCTACTGCATCCGGCTTGAGAATCTTGGCGAGCTGAGCGTGCAGCTGCGCGAGCGCCACTGGCGCATCTTCTCGCTGTCCGGAACCTTGGAAACGGTGCGCGGAAGGGGCGTGGTGGGCCAGGAGCCCATTCTCAGCCCCCCGGCTGCCCGCCTTTCAGTACAGCAGCCATGTGAGCCTGCAGGCACCCAGCGGCCATATGTGGGGTACCTTCCGGTTGGAGCGCGAGGATGGCTACTCCTTCGATTGCAAGATTCCGCCCTTTTCGCTGGAAAGCAAGCCAGACGACCTGGGACCGCCAACCCAGGCCGCTCCCAGCGCCCACGATAAAAAGCGCGATGATACCGACTAGGAGGCAGTTGTTGATCCGTAGTTAAATGATTTTAAAGCGCAACCTCTGACAATGCATGCGTACATGTGTTTAGTGCAAATTACAATAATCAATCAGGACGCAGATCCCGTTCCGTTTCTCAGCCCAGTCGTACATTTTTATTCTCTAGTTGGACACCGAAGTCGAAAGGTCGTCGGTTGTCGTGGGTGTCGAAAAGGCTCTGAAGTGCATCGATAGCCGCCGTTTCGGTGGCTGTCTTTAGGTCCTCACCGAATCCTTTACCTAGAAGCTGGCGATCGGCGTAAATGCCCACTTGGTAAGCAGCCAAAACCGTGTTCTTGCCGCAATCTCCGATCAGCCGTGGCTCTGCTTCGCCCAATTTTTGCTCCTGGCAGATCTTGTTAAGCATCTGCAGCGGATCCTGGGGGGTCCACACGTCTAACAGGTCTTTTTGACTTAGCTGCGTGCAGATAAAGTCGCGCACAAAGAGGAATGCCCTCTCGACGCCGCTGGAGTCTGCTAGGGCGCCAATCACTGCTTTCAAAGATTTAGCTAGACTTTCGGCGGAAGGCGGGTATTCCGAGGAGTGAATTAGATCCTTAGTACCCAAATGCGTGGATACGTGGGCTAAGGTTTCTGTGCTTAATAGATAGCTGGCGATCGCCTGAAGTCCCTCTTTGGGGACCTTTGGCAATTGGTTCTGTAGAAAGGCCTCTACGTAGGCGCGCGCAATGTGCTCTCCCTTCTCAGCAAGCTCGTTGTTGTCTGGCATCTGAAGGTCCGCCTCTTCGATGCCCAGCTGTCGACGGCGCTCCTCCTCGCGATGGGCGAAAGATTTCTCTGTGAAGGCCCGCTGCAGGTGGGAAAGCTCGAAGGACTCGCCTAAACGCTTGCCAAAGGCGAAAAGCTCCGAGCGTTCGTTCCACTCTACGAATCCAGAACGCGCCTCCGGTTTCTGAGGTCCTAGTTTTTTCTGCCGGTGGGCGAGTTCACGTAACGTCGGCGAAACCCATCGCTTGATGTGGCGCCGTGTTTGCCCTGCTGAAAAATGGCCTTTATTGACTGGAATTGATGTTGCTCGTATTGGTTACCTGTGGTTGCACCTTCTAGGAGCATGGATCGCGCCACAAGACCAGCAGCACTGCGTAGAAAGGACATTTCGTGGCGATCTTAAAAATATTTAACGAATATTGCAGCAGCGCGTGGGAAACAGTGCTGCAAAGCGAGTGCAGGTCTCTCATTTTACAGCAGTGCTGAAAATTGCATTACATTTTATTTGTTCAGATAAATATATTTTAAATATATACGTTTATGTTACTTTTTTATTCTTAAAAATGACTCTGTGGAGTCCTTAGCATTGATTTTTCTTACCCTAAATCCCGCAAATTATATTCTGAAGAACAAAAAAAAATACTTTTAAACTGTCTGTCTAGCTTTTTTTTTGAGCATCACTAAATTGCGTAGGTGGCGCTCGCGTATTTTCCAACACCTCCGCGATAGACGCCATGTCCATGCCTGTGTTTGTGTATGCGGCAAGAAAATTTGAGTTGCAGAATATTATCAAGGAATCTTGCAGAGAATCCGCTAGCTAAAACCCCAAGGAGGCAGACAGATCCATCATGGCTCTGCAGACGTACGGCGACAAGCCGGTGGCCTTCCAGCTAGAGGAAGGCGGCGAGTACTACTACGTGGGCTCCGAGGTGGGCAACTACATGCGCCACTTTCGCGGCATCCTGTACAAGAAGTATCCGGGCATGACCCGCATCGTGCTATCCAACGAGGAGCGCAAGCGACTGGCAGAGTCCGGTCTGAGCTCCCACATCCTGGCCAGCTCAGTCTCCCTGCTCCGTGCAGTGGAGGTGGACGACATCATGGCCGGCAACGATGAAAAGTGAGTGGAAAGAGGAAATGTATTTTACGTAGATTCGCAGTTAACTATACCAGTTGAAAAATAAATATATTTGGTCATTACTTCTCAAAATAAGCTCAAGTTCAAAAATCAACATTTATTAGCTTTCATAAAAAGGGATATTTATTCCTCTAGTCTTATTCGCATCTAACTAGGATTTGAAAGTTATATGGATACAAGGCTTGTTCTAGTCAAATGTTTTATTTATATTATTGCTGAAATATTCCTTTTTTAAACGTCACTTCTTAGTTTAACCGCATTTGCTTAAATATGTGAAGTTTTAGAACATTTTAAAGCTAGTAAAGCTGCAATTTTCGTTTTCTTTTATAAGTGTTTAAAAAGATGCCATGATTGCTTTGGCTAACTTTTTAGAAGTTCAAATTTATTATTACGTTGAACTAGCCTACTTGGGCGTTTTCTACAATTCATTCGATAGGTTTGACAGAAAACCAGGTTACATTTTGAGTGCTGTTTTTGCAATCACTAAAGAGACTCATTTCAACCATGAAACGTCGTTCTAGGTACCGAGCCGTCTCTGTCAACACCTCTGACACTCCCGTGCCGCGGGAAAGCAAGTCCAAGAAGCAGCCGCAGTATGTGCCCACGATGCCAAACTCCAGCCATCTGGACGCAGTGCCGCAGGCCACGCCCATTAACCGTAACCGAGTGCACACGAAAAAGGTGCGCACATTCCCCATGTGTTTCGATGACACGGATCCCACAGCCAGTCTGGAGAATGCGGCGCAAAAGGAGTGTCTGGTGCCAATCCGCCTGGATATGGAGCTGGAGGGCCAGAAGCTGCGCGACACCTTCACCTGGAACAAGAACGAGAGCATGATCACTCCCGAGCAGTTCGCGGAGGTGCTTTGCGACGACCTGGACCTCAATCCCCTGCCCTTTGTGCCGGCCATCGCGCAGGCCATCCGACAGCAGATCGAGGCCTTTCCCAACGATCCACCCATTCTCGAGGAGAGCTGCGATCAGCGCGTGATTGTGAAGCTAAACATTCACGTGGGCAACACCTCGCTCGTCGATCAGGTCGAGTGGGACATGTCCGAGAAGAACAACAACCCGGAGGAGTTCGCCATTAAGCTGTGCGCGGAACTGGGACTGGGTGGTGAGTTTGTCACGGCCATTGCCTACAGCATTCGCGGCCAACTGTCCTGGCACTGTCGCACCTACGCATTCAGCGAGGCGCCGCTTTCAACGATTGATGTGCCCTTCCGGAATCCGAGCGACGCCGACGCCTGGGCCCCGTTCCTAGAAACGCTCACCGACGCCGAGATGGAGAAGAAGATACGCGACCAGGACCGCAACACGCGGCGAATGCGACGACTGGCCAACACCACAACCGGCTGGTGATCTTCCGGCGATCCGAGCAATATACCACTAAAGTAATCCTAATAAGTACCATTATTCATCTCAAATAAACGTGTGTCGTCTGTCGATTTTAAAACCAACTGTGTGCTACCATGACTCCCAATCAATCATCATTCTGTTTAAGGTATCGTAATTATTTAAGTAATTCCTCCCACTGAGTGATCCCTAGCTGCCCTTACAACTGCTTACACTTAACACAGATCCTTACACTACTTTAACTAATATGTTACTAACTCTCCGCCGAATCGGGCTTGTCTTGGTCCTGATCGCCGTCGTAGAACTCGTTCTTGGCGTCAACCATCTTGTCTTCGTCGGCCGCGGTCATCCGCACGTCGGGGTCAGCCGCCTCGTCTCGGATGTTGCGAAGCTCCTCCAAATCCACATCCGGCGGAGTCTGCACCATTTGGACGCTTGGCGAGTGCTGGCACATCTTAAGGTTTTCATAAACGTGCTTCACGATTAGTTCAAGATACTGCTTGGAGTTGGCATTGTCCTGGCGTGAGTTAATCTCAGGATGAAGGGTGAAGTCGGGGGCAAAAAAATCATAGTACTCGGTAGCAGGGAGATCGTTATCAATTTCCTGGTCCACCAGCAGCGAGGTTTCATGTGTCCAGCAGCGAGCAACGTTGCGCAAGGTGTAGCCACCGCCTCCCACGACCAGTGTGGGTACGTTCAGCTCCTTCACGAACTTCACACACTCGCCATGCCCCTTTGTGCTCAGGGAGAAGCAACCAAGTCGGTCCCCGGCCAGGGAGTCCGCTCCACACTGCAGGACAATAGCGGTTGGCCTGTAGAAGTCCATAATGGCCGAGATGATGGGCTTGAACACCTGGAAGTAGCTCTGGTCATCGATGCCTTCCTTAAGCGGCACATTCACACTATAGTATCGACCCGACTCTGCGCCGATTTCGTACATGTCTCCAGTGCCTGGAAAGAAGTAGTTGCCGTACTTGTGGAACGAGGCCGTCATTACTCGATCCGTGAGGTAGAAGGCCTCCTGCACTCCGTCGCCGTGGTGCACGTCGATGTCAATGTAGAGCACCCGAGGGTGGTACTTCAGCAGCTCCAGGATGCCGATCACGATATCGTTCACGTAGCAGAAGCCACTCGCCTCAAATTTCTTCGCGTGATGCAGTCCCCCCGACCAGTTGATGCAGATGTCGCTGTGGTTGTGGTTGAGCTTCTGGGCTCCCTCCAGCGAGGCACCCGTGTACATCGCACAGAAGTCGAAGAGTCCGTCAAACACGGGGCAGTCTTCGCCTACACTGAAATGCGCCAGGTATTTCGTATAGGCCACGGCTGAAAAATAACATGGTGATTAGATTAATTCAAAGCCATTCATGAACTTTAGGATGGAGGTAGGCGGTATATTTAATGCTTACAATTGCACTGGATGTTTTGTGGAGTCACCTGCTGAAGGTAGGCGATGTACTCGTCGCTGTGAAACCGGAGCATGTCCTGGGCACTGGCTCTACAAAGGGATTAGGAGTATAAGAGGTTTAAAAGTTTCTTCTCTCCGAATGCTTACTTGTACGGCCTGTAGATCTTCATCTTCTTGTGGAGCCCATAGTTCATCACCAGACTGTGGGTGACCGCCAGGCGCTGCGGTTTCATTGGATGCCCGGCCCCATAGTGGAAGTTGCCCACGTCGGCGTTGTAAAAGTACGATACCCGCCGGTCCGTCATTGCTGCTCACTTCTTTAATCCTCTAGTCGTAGTCTAGATCCACGCCGGGGAGCAGGTACGTTTTCGCATACAGGACGATCAGCAGAACGGCCACAATAAACAGAAGTCGCCGGGTCGTGTCGTATTCTCCTAACAGCATGCCGCCTTTGTGGCCACTAGACCGGCTTGAGTCCGATGGAAAAGGCTTATTTGCTTGTAAAAATTGCAATTGCAAATTGAAAACAGTCCAAAGCGGCGTGTGACGAAAATGTTCTAAAAAATACCAAGCAGTAGTGATGCGCTCGTGATACTTGGTGCTTGGTGTCACGCGTAATACATTAGGCATCTCTGATCAATGGAATTAATATTTACCACTTCCCGAGAAAACCATGCCGTAATATTAGGTTAAGATTATAAGAAATTAAATCTCTATTTGAAACCATAACAAATACTGAAAAAGCGACAGTTCTGGCCAAACAACAGCTATCGCTAAGTGGTCAGCACTGTAAACGCCTGCCGCGCTTTCTTATCGGAATAATTTGCGGATAAAGCTTCGTCCAGTTGGAGTGCAATGCAGTAATCAACAATAAAAGTTAGTGGGCAGGGAATGCAAAAAGTGTGTCAACTGGCAGAAAACGGCGTGCCAGGAAGCGCTCCTTTTGGCCATAGCAACCGATAAGTCCAAGGCAAATTACGAAACCGCCATTGATTTTGGTTCCCCACCAATATGTAACTTGTGAATTAGCGTTGATACCTGAACCCTAAAAAAGCCCCACATAGAATATTAATTTTCCAAGATGTTGACCCTGTATTACGTGAGTGCCACCGTCCTGCAATCCTGGCGCATTCAAAAGGCCTGCTCCAAGATCGCTGAGCACTTGGCGCAGCCCTCGAGTATCGCATTCTATGCACTTCAGGCGGGCAGCGATGACGGATTTGGTGAGTGGATCCCGCGCAGGAGGCTTTAAAAGGCACTGCAGTGTACTGTTTTCTTTGCTTACACGCAGATCCCGCCCTGGCCAGCTCGGAGCTATGTGGCAACCGCAATGCGGCCAAGGTCACGGACATCCTGTGGCTGCATGGCAACCAGCGGGGCTGTTGCCTTCGTCCACTGCAGGCGCTCAACATCACGCCATGGATCAGCTTCCCACCGGCGCCCAGCTTGCTGCCCTTCTCCTATGCCGCTGACACCGTGACGCCGGTGACCACGCCTACGGAGGCCGACAGCCAGCCCAAGCAGCGGGTCTCGCTGTCCGCGCAGGACGAACAGCGGATGCAGCTGCTCCTGGAGGCCCAAGTGGAGCCCCTGCAGCGGCCCAGTTGCGAGGACACCACTGCCGTGAGGGTGAGTTTGGGAGGACCAGTTTTAAACGACTGGCCAGGAACATTACGCCATCCTTGAAAATATCAACGGGATTTATAAAGATTTTATTTATACTTTTCCTTAAACTTAGGGTTTACTTTTTATTCTTTAACGCTTTTAAAGAGGGTGGACAGTGGGCACTAAGCATAAAAAAATACAAACCCTTACTGTTACTTTTAATAGTGATCTATTTAGTCAACAAGTTAGGGTAATCAATTTTCGGTATAAACTTGCTGCACTCCTGGTGGGTGCGTGCGGTCCCATTTGTAGCCTTTCTAAGATACACACATACATAGTTGAATCGATATATGTATGTACATATATAGAGCTACCGTCATATATCTGCTAACCAAGGTCATCCTTTCATTCCTCTTTCTTCTGTTCGCATGTCGGCTGCCCATGAATCAGCTGGAAGATTACGGTAAGCTAATAGCATGGAAAATAGACTCCCACCTGGCGGTGCTCATCGAGACAGACGTCGAGCACTTCACGCAACTTTTGATAACGACATTCTTGCGAAATAATTTATGCATTAACGATCAGCTGCCACTATTGCGGATTGAGTGTAAGCTGGACCTGAAATCGCTCCCGTTCCCCCACACTTGTTTGAGTTTATACTAATGAACTTTTTCCTTGATCCTAGCGGTTCGGCGGGAAGGTAATCCACAACCTTTTGAGCTGCTGGCCAATCACCTAAAGCGGCAGTCCCGCACCTCCGTCGGCCTGGACAAAGATGGCTGGCGAAAGCATCTGGAGGATCTGCGAGCGGTCGGTGTGCTGGCCCATCAAGCCACTGAGTTTGAGTACCAAAAAAACCGCTCGGAGGGAAGGTCCAAGCCAGATCTCATTGCCCATGAGCATCGCCAGGCTGTGGAACCGGTGGCCAAGGCGGTGGCTGTGGTGGAACCCACCAACAAGGCATCTTTGTCTCCTGCAAAAAATGCTGAAAACGTCCCGAAAGCTGAGGCCAAACCTTCTCCCGACAAAAACAAGGCGAAAGCCACTCCTGCTAAGAGCGAAGCGAAAAGCACTCCTGCCAAGAGCGAGTCAAATGCCACTCCCGCTAAAAGCGAAAGCAAGTCAACTAAATCCAAGGAGGACTCAAAGTCAACGCCAACCAAAGGTGATTCCAAGCCAAGTGAACTGGAGAAGCTAGCGGCTGCCCAGGCGGCGCAGCTGCAGAAGACTGGGAAAGCGGAAAGCGTATCGCCCATAAAGGCTGCTCCACTGGCTAAGCCATCTAATCTCAGTAAAGTGAGCGAGCCTGCTACAGAATCGGCTGAGCCAAAAAAACCAAGTAAATCCTTCGAGATCGCGAAACCTTTAAATTCGCCTCCACCATCTGGCACTGCACCTTCTGCGCGTCCTGTGCTGCAGCGGAATAAGGATAGCTTGCAAGAGAGCAAGCCCCTCAACGTTTTGGTGTACTCGGACAGCGCCAGTGCCCGGGAATCCACCCTGGCCACTCTTCAGCAGTTGCTGGAGCGGAATGTGTACACCATCTATCCTCTGATGCCTCAGCAGGCCGCCCAAAAGTATTGGACGGAGCAAACAGCTCTGCTTGTTGTCTGCGGATCGGTGGCGCCAGGAATAGGCCAGATTCTGGTAGACTATTTCCTGCAGGGCGGCAAGGTGCTAAGTCTCTGCTCGGATATACTGCACTTCATTCTGCCCAATTACCGCACAGCAGAGGTACGAATTTTCTGGGGTTTAAAAGAAACAAAAGCTCTGTAATATTACTGAGAAATTTAATTTACAGTCAAGTTAGTTCGATGATTAATTTTTTATGTTTTTTAGGTTCGAGAGCACGAATTGGTTCAGTTTTCTTATGACAAGTGGCAGCGCGTCAAGATGATGCACCACATCTTCTGCTACCAGCCGTCGCCAGTGAAGAAGCACTTCTCCACGGACAGTGAGGAGTCCACTAAGTCGCATTCCCGCAAACCGTAAGTAAATCCTGTTTCTCGACCACACCGAAAAGCAGCAGACTGACAGCCTCCCAAACACATTGCTAACCTTGCGAATCTATTTTATTGAGCAATAACCATTAACTGACTAAACCGTGTACTTGTATCCTCTATGTTGCATGCTTTATACACCTTATAGTCCCAAAAAAAAGTATAGCCGAATGCACATTTGGAAGCGACTGAAAAAGTGGTGAAAGGGATTGCAAAATTGTTACACAACTAAAATTGCTTATTTTGCAAGGCCTATTTCTGACAGCTAACTCTTGACAATAAAATATTTTACCTTAACCTTTATATTAAATCGATTTTGACTAATTTAAATTCTCATTTTATCTCCTAAATGTCTCATGCTAAATTTGGCCGCTTTTCCTGAGAATATGGCTTCCTTTCTATTTAATTCCGTGTGTCTTTTAATCCAAATAACCAAATAATTAAATTCATGTATTCTTTAAAATTTTATTATCTTATTTATTGTTAATATTAACTGGGAATTTTCTTTTAATATTTTTCTCCGCTTGAAATGTATATCCTACTTATCGCCATATTACCTTTCCTGTCTGCGTGAACGCTTCTTTTTCTGCCCTTCCACATCTACAAATATTTATCTGTGTGTGCTTTACTTGGTGTGCTATCACTATTATAATCCTACCTACCATTAACCAAAACGAAAACCAAAAACAAAAATTCAAAAAACAAAAACAAAACGAAACGCTGCTCAGAGCTCTAGTATGTCCAAGGTCCATGGAACTGAAAGATCTGGCCGGCCACAACCACAAACTGGATGTCCAGGTGCTGGGCACCGAAGAAACCTGGAACACGCCCAGCTTGATGTTGGCCAAAAGCCTGCAGAGTGGAGGAAAGGCGGTCTTCTCGCAGGTCAGTCTGTTTTTAAGTTGGCTTTTAGATCAATTTATTGTTAACTCTGCATAATAGGTTCATTTGGAAATGAATCCCAGCGAGTTTGAATCGGACGAGATTAAGTACGGCATTCTAAAGCAAAACGAAGGTACTCGCCTCGAGATTTTTTCGGATCTGCTAAGGAAGTACTTGGACGTACAGGTCCAGGGTAGAGAGGGTGTCGATCAGTCGCAGCCCGGAGTGGTCTATCAGCACGCCTATTTCCTCGGCCGTCATGAGGTGAGTAGGAAGCTGTGTTCGGTTTCTAACTTAACAAATTGTTTTTGTTTTTAATCAAGACCAAGTTTGAGCTCCTGGAGAAGCTGCGCCTGCGTTGCAGCGGCCCCGACAACGTCATAGCCACGCCCAAGCTGACGCTGAAGTTCTGTGGCAAGGACGACAAACCTCCAGTGGCAAACAACAATGTCCTGCCCATACTGATACATTCCTGTCCGGACGATTTCTCTACCGTAGAATACTTTGATGTGCGCGCCAACCGACTTTAGTTAATAGGTTGTCATTAACATACATCCCCTTCTCTGTAGCTTCTTAAAACTGAGCACATTGGACGGCTGGTCATCTATGCACCTGTGGTAAGCAGTTCCATGCATGTCATCAACAACCTGGAGCTTATCGATGGCCTGGCTGTGCTTCCCGTGCAACAGACTAGTGGAGTCGGCCGCAGCAATAACCAGGTACATATTAAGAGAATCTCAAGATTCCAAATATTAAAGCTACGATTCCGTCGTTCCCTTTCAGTGGCTCAGTCCTCTGGGTTGTGCCATGTTTTCGCTACAACTCCACTTGGCCATGGACTCGGCTTTGGGCTCTCGGTTGCCTCTTATGCAGCATATAATTGGGGCGGCTATTGTCAATTCTTTGCGTGGTCATGAACTGTATGGGGTGAGTGAGCACTTAATGTATTATTAATTTCGTAAGTGAATATAATTTCAATTTAGAGAGCAACATGCACGCTTGTCTAGGTAAAAAGGGCATCAATAGAATAGGGTTTTATTACGATTTTTTTTTTACGTACTGTCTTTAATGTGTGATTACTGATTTGCCAAAATTAAAAGCGTGTTTTAGGTGTCTGCTGTGGCAAACATTTTAACAAAGTTCAAACAATGGTTGCTATTTTGGCTGTGGTAATAAGTTTATTTGACGTTTCGCTTGATTTCTCATTTAAAGTCCATTTACTATATACATTTGACCATACATAATTCACAATATATATTTATTTAAACACTAATCCCTCATATACACGCCTGTATATACATATATAGAGCTTTTCTTACACATAATTAACAATTTAGAAATTGCTCACCTGATTAACGTTTACATTAATATTTGCCACAGTGCTTGTTTGTTTTGTATATGCCTACGCCTCCTCAGTTTGCTTCTGCTCTTTAACATTTAAACCATTTGTCTTTTTCGAGTTAACATTTGTTTTGCCTTTGTTTGGATTGCACCCGATACATGCGTACATAATTTAGTTTAAAATCGTTTGCTATAATTTGGTAGTTACTTTTAAATATTTACAATCTACGCTGGAACATTGCCTAGGAGAGTTACTGCATGGGAAGAAGCTGTCGTCTAGCTCAGTCAAGCGGTCGTGTTTTATGTTAGACAGTAACAGTGACCAGGTAGCCCAGGTAGCTCCCTCAGAACACGCACTCCGCGGACCGGGAGAGGTTGACTGGATGGGAGGGACTTCGCGCCAGCCGCTTCTTGGGCAGGTGCTCCAGCAGCTGCAGCAGTTGCGCAAACTGCGGTCTGTGCTCTTTCTCGTACGTCCAGCACAGCATCAGCAGGTCCTTGACATCTCGTCCGGACTGGAGGTTGGCCAGGGATTGCTTCATGCCTCGACCTACCTGCCAGATAATCGACTCCGCAGGCTGCTTCTTGAACGTGAACTCACCGCAAATCAGTTCGTACCACACTGTTCCAAAGGAGTAGACGTCCGAGTAGGGGGTGAACTCCAAGCATTCGCCCCGCGGCTTTTCCGGTTGCAGCGCCCGGATCAGCTCCGGCGCCAGGTAGCACAACCAGTTGTGGGGCACGCCCAGGCCCATATCACAGTACAGCAGCTTGGTGGAGCTGAACAGCCCGAAGTCCGTGATGATCACTTTTCCATTCTCGATGAAAATGTTCTTGGTGCGCAGATCCTTGTGGATGATCTCCCTCGCGTGCAGGTAGCCCATGCCCTGTGCGATCTGCTGGGCAATCAGGAGTGTCCTGTTCATGGCGAACTTCTCCCGACGCTGGTGAATATACGTGTACAGGGTGTTGCCCTTGCACAGCGAGGTCACGATGGCCAGATACGGCGGATTCATGCAGGCTCCCATGAACAGGACCAGGTTTTCGTGTCGCGTCTTCTTAAAGTTGGCCACCTCGCTGCGAAAGGTCTCCAGCATGTGCTCGTCCTGCAGGTAGTCCTCGTTGAGCAGCTTTACCGCCACATCTCCGTGCCACAAGGCTCTGTGCACGGTGCCGAAGCGCCCCTGTCCGATCCGCTCGAGTAGGCGCAGATCGCCGTAGGGAATGTCCCATTCCTTCAGCGAAATCGAGTTCTGCCGCCACTGCCCCGAGTCTCCGTCCTCCGTCGAATCCACTCGAACGGGCGTCCTGTCAGAGTCCGTGCTGGCGCTTCCGGACAAGGAGACCGTCTTGTCGCTGTCGTTCGACTTGTGGGTGTCCGTGTACTCGCTGGTGAAGGGCGTCCTCTTATCCACCCCGGCCGTGCTCAACTTGCGCGGAAAGAAGCTGCAAGTGCTGGTGGTGGTTGTGCTGTTGACCAGGCTGCCCGTCACGGTAGCGGCACTGGACGCATTCGACGATTGGCTCCCGATCAGGGAGCTCATGTGCCCGTTGGAGCTGCTAACCAGGCTGTCGACGAGGCCACCGTTGGCAGTGATGGTCGCTGGGGGAAATTGCTCCGGCACTGGTTCGTTGGAGATGAGCGTGTCTCCTGCGCTCCCGCCACTGCTCGTCACGGTCACATTGGGGAAGTTGAATTGACTCTGCTGGTGCTTGCTGAGCGATGGCGTGGGCACAAGATTTGCGCTGGAGCTGCTGCCGCCATAGCTTCCGGCCTGGTCCAGGTCGCGCTCTCTTTGGGGAAACAGCGCGGGGCTGCTCGGCGTGGAGCTGGTGCAGCTGGAGCTCGGCGAGCTGCTGTCGTGTTGCTGATGCAGTGCAGGCTTGCACAGGGTGTTCTTTTTCACAAGCGGTGATCCCTTGGCTGCGCCATGCATATGGGGCAGACTTGCGTATCCCCCTGCTCCTTGATGTGCCGAAACTCGTCCACATACTCCCGCGGCAGTCCGCAGGATGGCGGCACATGTGGGGCGCATCCCTTGTGGCTGATGTATTTGCAGTCGGTGCACTTTAGCCAGCGGGAGTAGACCTGTTTTTGGCATAGCGTGCAGGTGGCCATAAAGCCAAGGACCTTGCTAAAGCGATGCTTAATGGCGTGGCCCATGCCCACGTGACCCACGCCTGGGGAGCACGGCACCTTGAGCACATGGGAGGAACTTCCTCCGGAGCTGGCATTCGTATTTGCGTCAACAAAGATGTCCGAGCTGGCAGAGCTATGGCTATCGGGGCTGGGATCAGTGGGCAAACGATTGCGGGCTGTCTGCTCGCCGTCTACTTGCACTAGGCTCTGGTTCAGCAGGGTCTGGTGCTTTCTGGCGGGTGGCGGCGTTCCGCGACTTCTCTGCGGGGTTCCATTGAAGCTGCTGCTCAACCCGCTGGAAGGCGTAAAGGGCGAGTTGGGCGGCGAGGGCGTTAGAGTAAGGGTCAGTTGGGAACCCTGCGCGCTGTTCAGATCCTCTGTCGCTGTGGGCGACTGACGCCCACTCCTGGAGTTAGCCATAATGTTGCTCTTCCCTTTGATTCCATGCTGACGATGATTAGCTCTCGGTGAGGCGGTCGAGTTTTGACCTAGACCTATGTTTCCCACGCTACCGCGGTGAATGTGGATAGGCCTGTCCCAGGAGTCCCAGTGCCACTGCTCTGGGTCATTGTTGCTGGCTGCAGTGCCGCTCTCCAACGACTCCATACACTTTCTCAGGTTCTGCATGGCCCTAGTCAAGCGGCGCAACTCCTCCTCCTCCTGCTGACTAGGACTGTCGGTGAGGAGCTGGCGGATCTCCTCGTCGCTGAGGCGCAGGCTCTGCTCGAGCGTGGTCAGGCGGCTGAGGCAGGCGGTGAGGGTCTCTTGGCTGAGGCCCACCACCCGGAGCCACTGCCGCAGCTCGTTGCCAGTGGTGGGGGGCAGCAGCTCGTTAGGCGGGATCCGCTCGTACAGCCGCATCTTGGCCAGCAGCAGCTCGGAGAAGTAGCGCACTAGTTTTGACTCCAGGCAGCGAATTTCCTGCTGCGTCAGTGTCAAGCTTGTAGCGCACTGCGTGCGCAGGCCCTCCAGATGGTTGGCCGTGAGATCAATCATGTCCTGAATGATGACCAGATTGCTGGCCACGGACAGCGAACCCATAACGGGATCGTTAGCATTGCTGGAGGCGGAGTCATGGGCGGATGCGGGGGCGTTGTTGTTGCTGCTCATCCTGCTCGATCGCGGCTGAGTGAAGTCCGATTGATTTTTTCAAACGCCCTCACGGGGGCTCGACGATTCGATGGCACCAGTGTCCGGGACTCCGCTCCGCATTGTGGCCCTCTTCCGGTGACCTTGACGTTTAAAGCTTCTGCTCCGACTTAAACTCACTCCCGTAATTCGAGACAGCTAAAAAAAAACGCGAAAATGCGATAATTCTACAATTTCTTCGCCTGTTGTTGAAATTTCTCTACACCAAGTGCAGCGCATTTAGCCAGTGTGGCCGTGGACGGCCAACCGGAGCACGGGTCATCAAAATGTACTAAAAACCACCATTTCGAAAATACTGCAAGGTATTTTTATTCTTTGTTAAGGGGACCCCAAAAGCATCCAACAGAAAACTAAATGTTTTAGCCTTCTTTAATTGTTAAGTAGTAAAATAAGTTTAAAAGTTCATACCTGAAGCAACAAAGTTTTTAGGTAGAAAAAAGGTAAGTTAGGTATTAGCTCATATATGTAATTATGTAATATAAACAAATATTGCTCCCATTAAAATCGATATCGTTTTAACATTTTGAAATTTTTAATAATTTAAGTTTTTTTGCGGTGATTTTTAAATATTCTGTGATTGGTGATAATTTTGTTAATTTGTATTTATAGGTACTAGATATTTGCCTAAAGTGGCCAAATGACATATACGCAAATGGAAACCAGAAAATTGGCGGACTCGTTATCAACACCACATTACAAGGCTCCCAAGCTATCGTCAATATCGGTAGCGGAATTAATTTAAACAATTCAAAACCAACTGTTTGCATTAATGATTTGATACGGGAACACAATACACGAGCCCCGAACAACAAGTTACCCTTAATTAAATATGAAATATTAATGGCCATGATATTTAATGAAATCGAAAGACTCTTGGGCGAAGTACAAAATGGTGACTTTAATAGTTTTTATGCCTTATACTATTCACTCTGGCTACACAGGTAAATTATGATTTTCATTGTTTTTAAGTATAACGTTTTAAATATTTCTGATTACAGCGGTCAAACCGTCAAGATTTGCCTCCAAAACGAACAAGAAAAAGAAGCCGAAATTGTTGGAATCGATGATTTTGGATTTTTACAAGTCAAATTACCATCTGGAACCATAGAAACTGTTCAGCCTGATGGGAATAGCTTTGATATGTTGAAAGGGTTAATTTTACCCAAATATCATTAGATATGAAGAGAATGAACAAAAATTATAAAAATTCCCCAAAGACACTTATTTGATAAAGCTATTAGCAATATTTAATTTTTTTAGGCGAATTTAGGTCAATTTATTAAGAATTAATTAACTACCTTCATACATACACCAATACTACTATTTATATGACGTTTATCCTAAAGTGGCTTAAACGAATTTACTCTTACTTAAATTTGAAGACATACCCCTGGAGACCATAAAGTCCACTAAATTGAATACTGCCAAAGATAAATATATAAATAACAGCAGGTGTATCCCGTTATCCCAGTGTTTTGGAAATATTCCGTAAGTTTATCCTGTTCCTTACCATTGTTATTGTCCTCTACGTTTGCGTGTTTTTGAAATTTGACTTTAATAAACGTGGCGTATATTATTATTGCGAGCTTTAAGGCATTTTTGTTTATTTAAAAACGGATCTTGACTTAAGATATATAATATATATTATTAATCTAATTGGTTGATCTCGAACAAGCCCCAGTTCGACGGTATTTTTCTCAATTCGGATGGAATATTTTTTGTTAAGTTTGACAACACTGGGTAAGATTAAAAGACCTGGTGTTATTAAACTTACATAAGTTGGTAACACTGCTGGTGGGCTGGAGAAGAAAATTGAGGAATAAAACCCAAACTTAGACATAAAGAATTATGTCACAACGCAATCATAGAGTGGACCGGTTCGCCCAAATGACGAAGCAGGAGGAGATCATAGCCAAGAAGCGTCAGGAAATTCTCGAGAAGCAGAAGACGGCGCAGTTGGCCAAGGCGGTGGCTGCGGCGCAAAACTTAGCGGCGCAACTGAAAACGGAGACGCCTTCGGGAAAACCTCAATCCAACGAGGAGGAGGAGGACGAGGACGTCCAACAGCAGGACGCTGCGGGCCAGGACACATCCCTTCACACTGGCGAAGACGGCAATGGCGTGGAGGCGGGTCTCCCCGAGAGCTCACCCGCCAAGGGAAAGTCGGAGGACGTGGTTACCCCCAAGTCCCTAAATAGTTTTAACAGCAAGACGGGTAAAATTACGTTCGGCCAGAAGCGCCAGCAGCTACCACAGCCCAATGTGGAGCAGCCGCCACCGAAGGTCAAGAACACATTCTGCAACGACGGTTCTTTTCTGGAAAACTTCAAAAAAATACTCGAAAAACACGAGAAGCCTCCTCAGCCCTTACTAGTTTCACCAGCTCCAGTAAACAGGTAAGTGTTGACAAAAAAATAGTAAACGAACCTGAATTTATTTTACTCTTTATTGCAGCGCCGAGGAAAACCATCCCCTGGAAACGGGAACAGAACAGTCGGAAAACAGCAGTCCTCAGCTAGAGGCGGCCATTGCCATCAGCTCAGCGGCAGCCATGGCCACCTCCATTACGGTGACCAGCTCGGCACCAACGCACTTGGCCTTCGGACTGCCTGTCCAGGCAGTGCAGCCGCCGCCGCCTCCGCCTTTCGCCTTCAATGCTACGCTCCTACAACAGGGACCACCGCAGATGCAACTGCCAGCGGCGTTCTTCCACGGCCACCTACCCCTGCATCTGCACCCGGCGGCAGTCGCTCCACCACCGCCGCCTCCGCCTCCGCAGCTGCCGATCGCTCTGGCCAACATGGGACAGATTTACATGCAGATTGGACCGACACCAGTGGAGGCTATGCAGCTGAATGCCATTCCGGCACCCAAGGAGTTCGATCTAAACGCCATACCCAAACCGCAAATCAACCTAGAGGCTATACAAATGCCAAACATTGGTGGGCATTCGGGAGATCAGCTTGGTCTGCTGCCGGAACACATGGCCATGTCGGTCAATCCTCACCCACCGCCTCCGCCGCCACCTGCGCTGGAGGAGATGGAGCAAAAGCAGCAGCAGCCACAGCCACAGCCACATTTGTCACAGGCGGTGCCTCCACAGCCGCCTCAGCCTGCAGTTGCCCCACCTCAAGGTGTGTATCATTCGCAAAGCAGTGTTCTTAGCCTGTTCTGTTTTGCCATTCGTCATGCCCTATCCATCCCGTACATGTTTCCTCACCACCATCCCAACCTACCTTCCACTTCCCACTCATTCAATTTGTATAGAACTTTAATCGTTGAGCACGATTTTAAAGCAATTTATGTAGTTTTTTCAGAAACGTGCATACAATTGCCAACGTGCTTAGAAAACCTAATCGCACTGGTCGCGGAAAATGGTGAAGATTATGAAGATAAAATACGTTTGCATAGAAGCGAGTTGCATCCGGCCTTGTGGTAAATGACCTAAACATGTATTAACTGGGGCTTAGAGTGGCGCCCAAGGGACTTATAGGGATATTGGGGGGGGAGAGGGTGCGTACAGCTCAGGGTCTTAAGTTGACATTTCGTGTGCACACATTGCTGAGTTTTAATTAGAAAAGTATTCTTTTTAATCGTTACTTTTAAAGGTGTAATCCTTTTTTATTTGCTAGCGTGGCCATTTTTATTTTAAATAGATGATAGAAAAAGCCTTGATACCAACGTTAAGTTTGTCTTTTTCACGTACCGATTTGTAGATAAATAGCTCATGTTTCTTAGAAGTTTTCTTCATTAATTGGAATACTTGGTTTATAAAATTAGAGGTTAAGTTAACAGTATATATTATATATATTGTATATATGTATTATATAGGATATATTGTTCTGGTTAGTAAAGAAAACTTAAAAGCAGGTATATAAATTACTTCTGTCAGCGTCAACTTTAATGTCTGTTGTTGAATAGAAAAAAAAATTGCATTAATTTTGAGTTAGAATGTGATTATCTGAGGACTAACCGACCAAACGAACTAACTTAATGGGGGTCCAGTGAGGAGTAGCCAGTCGCGTGGACTCATCGAGCGCACAGAGATTCGTCGTTAATCGATCGCCGAATAACATCTGGAGGAGCCAGCCGGTGGATGCCAAATAAGAATATCAAAATAATCCGCTAATGGGGCGCCTAAAACCGTTATTCATATAATGTCTTTGTACACGTGACTACCGTCGAGCACTTTTCATTGTACGTTTCACTTCTTTTAAATTTTGATACTAGGTTTCTTTATGATAAGAGCTGCGAGCAGTATCGAAGCTATCGCTCCCAACTCCTTGACTTCGAGCGCCAGCGCCTTGAGCGACAACGGGAGCGGGAGCATCAGCAGCTAAGCCGAGACCAACAGCCCCAGCCAAAGGAGCAGGAGCAACTGGCACAGCAGGAGGAGCAGCACAGCAACTCGGCGGCCGACAAGTACGACCCGGAGTCGGCCATCAGCGCGGATTTCGACTCGGACGATGAGTACATGCGAGGCATGATGGACCGCAACCGGGATAACATCAAGCGGCGCATCGAGTGCCGCAACGAGCTGAGCGACGAGGAGCGTCGCGAGCGGGAGGAGGCCGCCGCCGCTGGAGGAGCGGCTGATGGCGATGACCAAGACGAGCAGGAGGACAAGGATTCGCAGCGGCAGCGACGGAAGCGCGAGCGAAAAAGCCGCTGGGGCGAGAAGGAGCAACAGATGCCAACCTCAAGTAAGTTGAGTACCTAATACCCTTCTATCTATCTGTCTATATAACAATATATAAGTATCAAACCATCGACGCTAGCAGTAATTGGGTTCCATCCTTAACAGGTTCCTCTGGAAACTTTGGTAACCAAAACAAGCCCATGCTGAGCAACATCACGCGCACAGATCCTGCGCTCTTGCAATATGCTAGGCTTAACTATGGCTCCACTCAGTTGAGTGAGGAGCAGTGGAAGCAGTGCGAAGAGCACTACAAAGTCAATCTCCTGTATCAGGACATGATGCGCAAGCGGCAGGAAATCGATCGCCTTGCGCGCGGCGGGAAGTTCAAGTACGAATACGACTCCGACGAGGACATTGAGGGCGGAACGTGGGAGCACAAGCTGCGGACAGCTGAAATGGAGGCCACGTCACTTTGGGCTAACGCCCTGACCAAGCAAAGCGAGGGCAAGCATCACATTGGCGACTTCCTGCCGCCCGAGGAGCTCAAAAAGTTCATGGAGCAGTACGAGGCGAAGAAGAACAACCGCCAGCCGGATCTGAGCGACTACAAGGAGTACAAGCTGAAGGAGGACAACATTGGATTCCAAATGCTGCAGAAGCTCGGCTGGAAGGAGGGTCAAGGTCTGGGCCAGGACGGAGCCGGAATCGTGGATCCCGTTAATAAGTAAGTCGCCTCTTTAACTAGAAATGCTTGCTGTACAATGAGTGCTTATCAGGGCTCCTCAACGAGATGGAAATCAAGGGCTCGGGGTAAGCAGCGCTGCGCTGCCGGAGGACTGCGACAATGAATACGATGCCTACAGGAAGCGAATGATGTTGGCCTATCGTTTTCGCCCAAACCCATTGGTAAGCCAAAGTATAAAATAGGTTGAATAAGTTGCAGTACCAAAAATTACTTCTTTTATTTCAGAACAATCCTCGTCGCGCGTACTACTAGAAATACCTTTGATCCCCACAATCCAGGATCCTTGTATCCCCATATCCTGGATCCGCTTATTTTACTGCAACTTTTGCTGAATAAAAATGTCCTTGTTTAAATTAAACAACGGCGGTTAGTGTACTTTAATTGTTTTTGTTTATTCAGGATAGTTCGTAATTAACTTAAAGCTATTACATGTGAAACAGATATTACCATCTTGTCGATCTTGATCCGTTTTGGAGACGGATAGCAAATATTTCACACAAACTTTTCTAGGGACTATTGTCTAGCGTTTAGGAGTTCGTTCATATAAAAGAGTAAGTAGGTAGGTGAGTCTCTTGGAACTGGAGGCTGGGCTCAGGAGTTCCAGAGATGAGCTCCTTTCTACGGGGAACTGGGCGGAACACCTAAACGCTAATAATACTAAGTTGTACTCGAACTGGAAGCGAGGGCCTAGTCTAGGAGTAGAGCGTCAGCACGGGCGTCTGGTTGCCTCGCGCCAAGGCCACCGGACACTTCATGTCCGACGTGAGCATCTCCAGCCAGGACATGTACAGCGGCGCCGAGATGGCCTCCTGAAACAGGGACACAGACTTATTAATGCCATCGCAAAGAAGAAGTGCAGCCGAACCACTCACCTTGCGCGGCATTGGCAGGGACATGACCACCAGAGAGGCGTTTGCCGAGTGCTTCACCACCAGCTCGTGGATGCGCAGCTGCCGATTCGTCTTCTCGGACATGCTCTGCAGCTCCTCGTCCGTGATGCCGAACTCGTTGCGGGCTCCGCGGCGGAAGGGCTCGATCAGCCGCTTGTGCTTCATTAGAGTGTCAGCACGGGGCTGCTCGGACACGCCCTTCAGCATGATGAGTTCCGAGTACTTTATGCGGAACTTGGTCAGCAGGCTGGCCATGCTGTGGTTAAAAAAAGACGAAGGTTAAATATCAAATTTATTACTCCCTTAACTTTATATTAATGGATATAAATTTGAAAAAAAAAAATTGAAAAAGTTCTATTAGATAGCAAATTTTGATTACGGGTAATTTACTTTGAAAGAGCGTGTTTCTGGAATATACTATATACTATATATAATATACATAACTAAAATTTTTATCTAATTTTAATTATAAAAGGATCTAAGGTTCCTATGTACCAATTTCGGTATAACTTCGTATGTTAAATATAAAACTCTTACCTCTTCTCCTCCTGCTCCTCATCCTTGCCGTGGCACATGGCGAACACCCTCAGCTTGCAGTTCTGCCAGTGGGAACGCATGGAGATGATGTACGGCAAGAGAATGGTGAGACCTGCATTGCGAAAACAGGATATGGGAGTCCTCTTAGAGCCAACTATAAGGGTACTCACCTCCGTCGTCGTACAGCCAGAAGACGTCGATGGTTCCCTTGGGCTGCTTGCGCGTGAATATGGTCATGGCGTCCAGGAGGTTCTGCGGGATGTCCGATCCCCCCTTGGTGTGGTACGTCACGGCCGGCTCGTCGGAGTTGTTTACCTTGTAGCTGCGGGAGCTGCGCTGCATGTTGGGCATCGGGGCCGGCTGGGGCATGGTGAACGAGGAGTTGGGGCTGTCCATTCCGGCCAGGTTCAGGTTGGAGTCAATGTGCAGCAGTTCGGAGGCGGCATTGGCCGCCGGCATCAGCTCGTTGGTGAATCCCTGGGCGTTGGCGGTGTGCATGTGGCCCATTCCGTTGGCCGGCAAGGTGACCTCGGAACTCAGCTCCGAGAAGTCCAGTCCGTTGGTCAAGCGGAGCAGAGCGACGCCCATGCGCTGCGAGAAGGCGTTGCTGTGGGGGAATCACTGTAGTAAGCAGTCCGTTTTATTATTTTGAGCAGATATAAATACTTACTACAGAATGGAGAAGTAACTCTCCACCTCCTCCTTGCGACAGCGGTTCCAGTCTGGCTTGTAGCCCACCAGCACAATGTTCGGGGACATCTTGCCGAAGCCCGTGGACTTGGTCAGCGCGTTGATCCCGTCCTCCAGGCTGAACCCATCGATCACGTTGTAGAACGCCTTGATCTTGCGTGCATCCAGGTACTTTTGTCCATCCTTCACCAGGTGCTGTCGGTTCTTGTAGCCCACGCGTACCTGTAGGGAAAAACATTATAATTATTAAAATATCACTAACATTAAATTTTTATATGAGTATAGAATATATTTTAACTCTTTTATAATTAATAATAACTTTAAAAGTATTAATCTCTTATGTGAATTTTTTTTTTTAATAAAATGAACTCTTTCTAAACCATAAATGAAAAATATTTTTGCTTGTGTGGTCATTATCAAAGTAAAAAAAATTATAACAGAAAATTTAAGTGTTCTATAAGAATTCACTTTGAGTAATGTGTTTTATTGTACTGATTGATCATTACTAATTTTATGCAATAACCATTTGATAAAATATTTAATGAAATTTTTGCTCATTTCTCTTTGCTTTGTATGATGGCCTTTATGTCTGAATTAGCATAATGCTTTTTCTTAGCCGTGACAAAAAAAAGTTATAATACCTGTGGGGGTACAATTTTATAACTATTATTATACGGAAAACTTCACAATTTTCTTATGATTATACGACCTCTTTTAACAAGTTAACAAATTTAATTTACTTAAAAAATGTTAAAAGATTTCAAAATTTTTAAAATATCCTACGAGCCCATTATTGCATGACGGCCCTTTTACATTTTACAAAAATGTTGTATTATAGGATATTACATTGTTTAAATTGCTTTACTTCTCTTAAGTAAGTTACTAAGTTAATGCAATAGCCATTTTATATAATCCTTTCACAAAACGTTGTTCATAAAGTAAGTTAGTAGGTAATAGGGCAAAACAAGTAAATAAACCTTTAAGACTGATAAACCAAGTTTCATTAATACGTTTTTTTTTTGGAATAAAAATGAAATCTCACCAATTGGAAAAGAAATACTTTTATACAATTTTTATATTTGAATCCTTCGATTCAATTCACGTACCGGAATAATATTGGCCACGAACATGAGCGAGTTGTTCTTGGTCAGGAGGTAGCCAAAGTCCACCAGTGGCGGCCTGGTCTTCGGGTCGCCGGAGAGGACCAGCACCTGGGGGTGGTAGTTCTTGACGTGATCGGAGACGTTCTGCAGCCGGTGGACGGCCATCAGGGCGGCCTTGTACTGCTGCGCCTGCGTGGTGGAGCCCCAGTTGGCCTCCGGCTTGCGGTACATGACCACCAGGTAGAGCGCGAAGATGATGCCAAAGGTGATGATGGCGGCCACGTAGTTGATGAGGAACATGATGGCCACGCACATGGCGAACCCGAAGAGGCTCAGCCAGGCGTTGTAGTACTTGAAGGTGGGCCGCCAGCCCAGCGGCTTCACGAAGGCCGCGTGGAAGGTGCAGAAGTTGATGAGGGCGTACGAGGCCAAATAGAAGGTGGAGATCAGCGGGGCGATCAGGTTGAGCTCTCCGATGAGCAGGAAGCCCGTGGTGATGAGGAAGGTGAGCACGTAGCCGCGGTACGGCTCGCCGTGCTTTCCATACGGCTTCGAGAAGAAGATCAGTCCCGGGTAGATCTGATCGATGCCCAGCGCCTGGACCAGTCGGGGCACGGAGAGCAGGTTGGTCAGCGCCGTGCTCAGCGTGGCGGCGAAGCAGCCGGCGTAGATGAGCGGGCCCCAGAGCGACATCTCCTGCATCATCTCGTAGGAGTTGAACAGGCCCCACGTGCAGCTATTGTCGGCCATGCAGGGCAGCTGCGAGGCGACGATGGTGCCGTTGACTAGGTCGGCCGGGTTGCCGGAGGCGTCCCGCACAGCCGCTCCACCGGCGAAGAGAACGAAGAGGGCGTAGGACGTCATCGAGATGAGCAGCGACCAGAAGGTGCCCTTCGGAATGGCCGCTCCGGCATCTTTGAGGTCGCCGCAGATGTTCGCTCCCGCTTGGATGCCCGTGACGCTGGGGAAGAAGATGGCGAACACGCTGAAGAAGTCGTGGTTCACGCCCTCCGCGTACCGATAGTCCGATCCGAAGTTCTGCTTGAACGTGTCCCCTGAAAGGAGTTTCCACTTATAGAAGGGTTTTCTTTCCCAGGTGCCATCAACTCACATGAGAAGCCCACGAAGCCCCTGGAGATATGCTCCTCGTTGCCCTGCGGTCCGATGGCAGCTCCGATCAGGAAGTTGAAGATGGCCAGGACAATGGTGACGATGAGGAAGTTCTGGGCCTTCGTCTCCCACTCCATGCCCACGCAGCAGATCAGGATGAGCACCAGCACAGTCACCGATCCCACGATCCGGATGTCGTTGATGCCGTTGTCGATGATCTTCAGGTCGTTGTTCTCTGGATAATACATTTGCATTACAATTTGTTAAAGTTTGGGTTTGCAATATAATGCTATGTATGTATAAGGGTGAAATTATTAAAAATGCAATATCAGATTCAACGGCCTAGTACTAGTAAGATATCTCGGAAATTTTAAGAGATTGAGAACATAAAGGGAAATATATAAGTATTTTTAAGAACTTTTTAAAGTAAAGATAGATCAAAGGTAGATATTTATATAAGTCAAATAATGGCAAATATATTTAATCTTAACTTGAGGATTATTACTTTTTTAAGGAAGGTCAAGCTAGTTTTTATACCCTTGCAGAGCAAAGGGTATTATAATTTTGGCCAGAAGTTTGCAACGCAGTGAAGGAGACACCTTAGACCCCATAAAGTATATATATTCTTGATCAGCATCACCATCTGAATCGAAATACGTCTGTACGTCTGTACGTCTGTACGTCTGTACATCTGTCCGTCTGTCCGTCTGTCCGTCTGTCCGTCTGTCTGTCTGTCTGTCTGTCCTCCTGTCCGTTTCTGCCCAAACTAGCCTCTCATTTTTAAAGCTATCTTGCTGAAACTTTCCCAAAAGGTGTGTAGCTATTGCACGCAGTATATAAGTCGGAATGGGCCGGATCGGGCGACTATATAGGATAGCTCCCATACAAGAGATTGAAATACAAAATTCTAACGCCGTTGTTTTTGATCAGATCGACTTGATTTCTTCCACATGGCGTTTTCTAGTTACTATTGAATTTCGGGTTAAATTTTATCGAAATCGGATAATTCTATCATATAGCTGCCATAGGAGAGATCATAAAATATATATAGAATTAATGGAAATTAATTGATAAGGTGATTGTTTTTCATCACACGACTATGATTTTTTGAGTATCAAGTTTTTTAACTAGCCTTGGTTCATAAAAAAATGTTCATAAAAATCGGACCACTATATCATATAGCTGCCATAGGAGAGATCGAAAAATCTATATAGAATTAACGGAAATAAAATGATAACATCGTTATTTCTCATCAGAAAATCATGATTTTTGGAATATAGAGTTTTCTAACGACTCTTAAATAACAAATAAAATTTCATCAAAATCGGACGACTATATCTATCTATCTTTGCATTTCAAATACCTCTATGTAACTTAGTATACAAATATATTTTACTTCCAACGTTTAAAGTGAATAAAATGAAATAATTGCTGTGAATTCTTTTTAGGGAACTTATTTTAGGGATGGTGATTCTAAAACGAGACCATGTCTTAAGAATTCAATCCTATTTTAAAAAATAATGCTATATCTTATATGTTTAATCTTGACGACTATATTCTAATTACCCAAATAATTGTACGAGGGTCAAAATGTATTCCATTTGATACTTACTCAGTAGAACATTCAGCGATTCGCAGAAGCCGATGGTGTTCATTGAGGCCGAAACTGCGTTGGCGAACGCGAAGACCACGCCCACCGACGCCCCAAACTCGGGGCCCAGCGAGCGGGAGATGATGAAGTAGACCCCGCCGCCCTTCACCTCCCCGTTGGTGCTAATGGCCGACAGGGAGAGCGTCGTGATGACGCAGACCACCGCGGAGATCGTAATGATGACCAGCGACTGCAGGATGCCGGACTCGGCCACCACCCAGCTGAGGCGCAGGAAGAGCATGACGCCCCAGATGTTCAGGAGACATGGTATCAGGACGCCGACAATCCATCCCAGCTTGATGTGTCCGCCAGTGGCTTCCGGTTCGGGTTCGGGAATAGTTATGCTCTGAAACGGGGAGGGGATCGTTGGATTACAAAACGATAATTGCGAGATTATTAACAAGCCCACAAAAACGATCTATTGAATCGTGCTAACTATGACGTTTTATGACTCTAACCCGCTAATGCCTTAAACAACCTAAAAAAAAGGCCATCATCAGATTGTGGGTCGCTAATTGCTGCAATCGCCGTATTAAATTTCTGTTATTTGCCTGATAATGGGATCTTGACATCCGCGGCGTTCAATCGAAAGTATGTTGAACATTTGGTGGAGTTGACTTCAATGGGTTTGTGAACTTCGTGCGGCTTCAACAGCTGTTCCGGTGGGACCTTATTCGGAATTACTCATACGACTTGTGTGCAATTTAGTACTCGTATTCAATTAACGACCCGTCGACGCCAGTCAAAGCAAAAGCAAAAACAACACCAACCAAAAGCAGAGCAACAACCAGATTATGAGGAGCTTCATATTGCTTTTCAGTATAATTAAAGTTCGTTTTTACAACCGCACTAAGACTCGAAACATTATAAAAATCGTCGAATAAATGCTGAGAACGAAATGAGCAGACACGAAGTTCGCTATTCGGTATTGATAATAAAAATGAAAGTAAGTCTTTGTTCGGGCAGGGCTTATCCAATGGGGTAGCACAATCCACAAGAAATTATGGCATCCACTTCAACTTTACAGCTGAAGTGACAGAATATTACACACAACAAAGGTGTTATTAAAATCGTTTTCATTGTCTGTACTTTATTAGAAGAAGTAATTGTATATTTGAACATGAGGTATGTAAGTGTTTACTTGATAACTTTAAGTTTTTTCTGGTTTGTTTTGGATGTCATTGATTCAACCTATGTAAATTGAACGAAAATAATGTTTAAAATTTTTTCTATTCAACACAATAAGTGTAAGTAATACTAATTGATTTTAATGAAAGAAAACAATAAACAAAATATAAACGTTCTATTGGTTTTAAGATATTTTTTTGAATTGTTTTCTTGGTTTTAAATACAGCTAATGATTCATGATCAGCGCATTTAAATTCCAAAGTAAAAATAAACAAATCAAGAATCGTTGTACTTGATAGGAAGTCGATGTGTGTATTCCCTATTTTCCCCCTACAATTCAGAAATCACCAGGTTCCATGGCAACTTAAGAACATTGTCGTTACTGTCGTTTAACTGCTAACAACCATATCATAAAATAAGAATTCCCTTTAAAGGGGTAATAAAAATCAAATGTTTTTTCCATTTGCCGAATTGGAACAACATTTTTAATTAAATTCGGTCTTCTTTGACAGCCAAGGAAAGCTTCCGCCATTCGAACCTCAACAAGAGAACATGTTTCCACTTGAGTCAGTATTTGCTTATCACATGTGGCAATTTACGGAGCAAGCAATTAGGGCACCCTTAAAACTTCCACTGGCACTGATCAGAGCTGAGCAGAACAATTCTTGTGATTGTGATAATTTAATAGATTTACACAAGACACGGCTCCCTTGCCCTCGATGGCTATTGTTTTGCCATTTGTCGCACCGATGGAAAGGGGCTCATTTATTGTATTGTTTGCCCACATAATTGAATGTTTTTTAAAACGCGACCAATTGGAATCGCCTCACGTGGCATGTGGCACTGACTGGGTTGGGCAGGACGACATCGATTGACAAAGCGAGGAAGACCGAGGAACGAGGAAACACAACCCCAGAGCGCTCAATTCGCACACGCTGCGTATACGCAATGCTGGTTAGTTAGTCTCCCCGGTGGGTGGTTAATGTTGATTGTTTACACATTTTTGGCGGCTTCGACGGACGCCAGCCCAGACAGACACAAACATAAACTTTTATACACTTCTATAAAAGATTGTCGAGTTAAGAGCTTTATCTAGCTTGCTAGCATTTATTAGTCGAATATTTTACGAGTGCTCTATTTTTGAATGCAACTCAAAGGGATTTTATTGCGAAAATTAAAAAATAAATAAAATTAAAAAAAAAAATATAAGTTTATACAAACATCACCAAAAATGTAATAGAATATAAAGAAGTAATAGTTCTTGAAATAAAATATTTCTAAGATGTAAACACAATAAAGAATTTTAATGCGAAAATTAAAAAAAAAAAAAAAGCAAATAATAAATTATAAGTTTATACAAACATCACCAAAAATGTAATAGAATATAAAGAAGTAATAGTTCTTGAAATAAAATATTTCTAAGATGTAAACACAATAAAGAATTTTAATGTGAAAATTAAAAAAAATAAAATGCAAATAATAAATTATAAGTTTATACAAACATCACCAAAAATGTAATATAAAGAAGTAATAGTTCTTGAAATAAAATATTTCTAAGAAATAAACACAATAAATATCTTTGTTAGTGATTTTATGGTTATCACAATTTAGCTTTGTTTTTAACTATTTAAAAAACTTAAAGCACAAAAATATTTATTTATTATTTAAAAACTGTCGCTATAGAAAATTTATGTAAAGAATAAGCGTGTGTTTTAACTGTTATTTTAAAAACAAAAAAAGGTTTGTATTTCTAAAACGATTTTCATCCGTGTTTTCTCCAACTCGTGGGTTTTCGAGGGGCGGCCAGTGGGGTATTTGTGGTCTGACTAGTGCGGCCCTCTGGCGCTTCCTTCCTTTGTCCATTTCATTTAGCGAAATACGCATTTGGCCCTGCGGTTGTTTTCCTCGTTCAAGTTGTCTTTGTCGCTGTGGTCGATGCGTGGAAAATTTTCGCACCCGAAATTGGAATTGAAATTGGTATTTGCGCTTTATGAAGTGGGGAGGTGCGAGGAAAATTGGAAGATAAGTCATTTTCTTGACTGGCTTGTGCTAGTGATTTCAGTTCAGTTAATAGACAATGGGGAGCCAAAGTGATAAGTAAGTGCCAAAATGGGAATGTGTGGCTTAAGGTTATAATCCCAATTTCCATAAATAGCCGAAAAATAAGCCATTCGGCACTGAATTATTATTAGCTCAAAGGAAATAAGTCCCTGGACAATTATGGCAACTGGTTCTGTAACTAAGATGTGGATCTTAAAGTCCTGAGAATTTCAAAACCACTCAGCTGATGCGCAAAAATCGATAAGGCCAAATGAGTTATCCATTAAATTGGGAAATTACATTTTCATCATTAAGGAGAGAGATTTTCCGCAAGTTCGCCTCCCTCTACCAATCGAACGATGGTCGGTGAGTATCAGAAATGCAACACAAATGGGGTAAACATATTGTTATATGCGCCAATAATTTTAATGGCTTGTTCGGGGCAATGGCAGTGCGGTAAACAAAGATTTTCCAGCAAGACTTTCGCATTAGGAAATCAATAAAATGGTATAAAAATAGCGGCCAGCTCTTTGGCTATGAATTGTAAATTAGAATTGTAATTACAAGTGCAATACAGAAGGCATGCGAAATGGCAAACGCGCCACAGGCTGTTCTCTTGATGATGTAAACAGAGCTTCGGCGAAATGCTCATACGCCGTGTGGTACGGCGATAGATGTTGATTGAATTGTCCGATATTGCCATTCGGTTTGACAAATTACTGCGCTTGAGGGCTTAGATTGTTGGCGATTTTAAAACTGCCAAGAACTGGAAATGGTTTTTCGGGGTGTCCGATAATGTCTCGAGTGGGCTTCTGTCACTTTAATTGATTGAAGATTGAAGGAGAGGAACAATCCATTGCTCAGCCCGGGCGTTTATCAAAATGACGTGCTGTCAGCAGCCCTGACAGGTTCAACAATCGCACACTCGTGAGCCCCGTTGCTGGATTCGATCGGCTTTAATGTGGCACCACATCCCCTGAAACCCCTGGAGCCCCTGGAACCCCTTGGAACCCCTTGGAACTCCTGTTTATGATAAGCAACGAATCAACTAACGTCAATGGCAACAGCTCCAGCACCATCTGCACCCGTCGCTGTCACTTTTAATGACGCGACACACTTGTCCTGCATTTACCCCCTCACTCCCAGGGGGCAGATACATACATATGGCATTAGAGCAGGAGGAGCTATCGCCTAGTGAGCTGTTTACCAGCGGAGAGTCCTGCCCCCCAGCTCCTTGAAACAATGTCCGTCGCAGATGCATGGCTGCATCTTGTTGACAATTAATTTGGCTCCGACGCTGTCATCGATATCGCCTTGCGCATTACGGGTAAAGGCAAAAGGCCACGGATGAATGCGGAAAAATCCACTTAGGACTTAGGACCGCTCCGCCGACTGAGCGAAAATCGAATGAAGCTCGCTCGTGTTGATTTTGCTTATTCCCAAGGAGAAGATGTGCAAATGTGAAAGAAAAATTTGATTTCTTCCAGTCCCAAGGGTGGATATGTTTATCAAGTTTGTTTGTCTTCCAAACTTAAGCAAAACTAGTGCAAAACTTAATGTGGGAGTAGCTTATTTGTCTCTGATATATTTGTGAAAATGGGTTTTTGATTTTTACAAAAAAGCAGGTTCTAATCCCAATTGATAAGCAACAAATATTTTTAACATCTTATGAAGGCCAATTGAGTTTAATATTTCTGAATGCCTCACAACTCCGAAAAGCCACTTTTGTTCAACCGATTTTAAAATTTTCTTGATGGCTTTTCTAATAATTTAATACCCTTTTTTATATTTTTTATATTGTTTAAATTGTGTCTTTACTAATAACATCTTCTGATCAATCGTCCAATACTGTTGCTAATGTGATAAGAGACCTTTCTTCTTTCTGTCACAAATAATTGCAAATATAGTGTTTGGATTTTAACGTATGTACCAACAATAAGGCGAGTTTTTCCTTAACTAAAAAAATCAGTATTTTGCCAAAATACGTTTCATCACTGCTGTAAATGTCTTTGGATTGTGTAACGTGAACTAAACTTAAGATCTAGCGCATCGCAATTATGCAAATGAAACCAGTTTCTTCAGCAGAAGAATTTCTGTTTAACTTGACTGAAAAATTAATTCTAATTTGTGTTGGCAAAAAGAGTTTTTCGGTAGGCAAATCGCTAGGTCATCAACGATTGAAAACTAGCTGATACCAGTTTGAAAAATTATTTTCAGAAACAAAATGACTCAACTGCTGATAGATTTCTGCCTTCCAAATAATTCCCTAAACCAATATTCCTTTTAGCAGCAAAACCTTATTTATCGCTTTAGGTTGAAACGTTGTTTTCTACAATTTCGGTGCCGACTTGGAGCTGGAATTCCCCTAATGAGCCGTCGCTGGGTTGTAATGCAATTTTTACGATATCTATCATACGCCGTGGTGGCCCGCAGAAGCCGGGCAAAGTGAATTAATTAAGCAATATGGAAAATATGGGGGGGGGGGCGGGGCGATTCGCGGGAAAACTGCTTGACCACCAAACCCCCAGAAGTGAGTTCGCCATAGACGCATCAAATTTATTGCCCCGGCGATAAACATAAAACCGTAACACAGGGAGCGCTTATAGTTCTCCCCTTCCCCTTCCCCTAAAACTCAATCTCCCCTTTCCCCGCCCCCAACATTACTCTACTACGGGTGCGATAAGTCCAACATGGACGGTGGGTGGTGAGTGGTGGGCTGATTTGAGAAAGTGGGCGACCTTGACAAAGGTATTGGCTGCTAATCTTAAGTGGCCACAGCGTCATCGCGATAGAAGCGCTCAAATCCGCAGGCTGTAGACATCAATCCACGGGAAGCCCGGAAGACGTCATGGAAAACTCACAATTTGCACGTCGGAAATGTGAAAATTGTTCGAGTAAATAAATCAGAAGACCTATTACTGAAATTCAGATATAAATACTTGCTTGTCTTACAGGCTGGTCAAAGTACGAGCACAATTCGAGAGCCGAAAAAAAATAATGTTTCGATTTCGATTTCTGGATTTCTGGCTGGATCCATATTTTTTGTTTTGCTACTGTTTCGGTTCATGTTTTTGGTAGGTATTTGCGCTGTGCTTTGTTTATTTGCCGAGTACTTGAAATGTTTTCAGAATCGAGCGGGAATGACTGAAGTGCGCTGCAAGGATTGTGCCACGGTGAACACAAAGCAGATCCCCGAGTTCGACACCGAAAAAAGACACTTTCGCCTATCACAAATCCCGCAGAAATTGATGGAATGATTTCTGAATTAGTTTCCGACTCGTTCAAGTGCATTCCACTCGCAATACTACTGGTGCGATTGTTGGGCAAGGTTGAGCACACAGTGGCACTGGGCTATCAACCGATTAGTCGGTAGTTGGTAGTTGGTAGCTGGAGTGTAATATTTGGAAAACAAACAACTGATTGATTTTCAGCTGAAGTTCAAACCTTGCCGGTGAAGGTTTCCTCGGAGTAGCTACTTGATTTAAGTTGTAAAACCATTATCTACGAATTACGGAATTAGCCATCAAAGGAAATTCACATTGCGCGCACATTAATTATTATATTATATTATATTAACATTATATTATTCACATTAATATAAATTAAGTGTTTCTATTTTCACTGTACTAATTTATTTATTTATTTTATTTATTTATTATTATGTCAGTTTCAAGGTTGTGGTTTTGCATTTCCGCGAGGATATCCTATCCTATCGTTTAACTGAACCTTGATTTTCGCTGCCCCCACTGATTATGCAAACTGTTATGAGAACTTACGTCATCGGAACTGGGCAACTGGGCAACTGGGCAACTGGGAACTCACCTGATCGACCGCCTCTCCCTGCAGTTCTCCGATGGAAGGACGCTTCAGGTTGCGCATGGAGATGCGGTAGTTGTCCAGGCGCGGCAGGCTCTCCCTGCAATCAGAACGAAAGAACGGAAAGTCTCCGGTTAGAGGAATCGTTTTTGAGGGGAATCGGGATCGGGATTTTCCTACTGGTGAAACGGGAGCAGCACCATCACCGCCTCGGGCAGCATGACCGTTGCCTGCAGCGTGCCGAGCAGAAATACCCGGGCCCCGGGGCCCACTCTCCAGCGGAGCCCAAGTTAAGAACCAAGTTATTTGTGTATACACATAAATAATAAGACAATAAAATCGGACGGCCGAGTGGTAAAGGTAGCCGAGCAGAAGGTCAGGGCTTCCACGCCACGCCGGAATCGGGAAAAATCAAGTTTTATCGGAAAATTCTTCTGGTCAAAAAGAGAGAGAGTATGATGTATATTTACTGATCGCCAGCGAAAACAGAAACAGAATCGGAATCAGAATCAGAAGAAACAAAAACAATCACATTAGCCGAGGCGGCGCAAAAGAGCCGCAGCCAAAGCAATGCCAAAATATAATTTAAAATCTTAAAAAGGAAAAAACCGGAATGAGGAAGGCAATAATCGTGGAGCACAATACGGCGCCATCAGCGGACATTGGCGCCGACTTGGAGGGATCGAAGGGGTTCGGGGAAATCAGAGGGGGATATAGTAGGTATATCTGAATGTAATGCATTCTGCAGAGCACTGATTACTCATCTGGCCGGGTTTCCACCGACCAAAACGTATTTGTGACTAAGACATAAATAAATCAGAAATGTTAAATGATCTGAATCACTAAGAAAATAATTAACTGAGTGCTATGCCTAGAAAATACTATTTAATATAAAGTATATAATTCAAAATAAATTGAAAATTACATTCTGAACATTTTAAATTCTTTAAGATATTTCAAAAAAGATATTCTATATCCCTGACTCGTTGAACTTCTTGTTTTTGTTGATGATGTGAATTTTCGGTTGACCCGCTAACCCAATTTCTTAGTTAAAGTCGACCCTTTATATACATAAAACTTGATTAATTTTGGAAAGTTTGCATTTGTGCAAGATTTGCTTTTAACGTTTAAACTTCTTTCTCCCTGCATTTATTCTTCCTTTTCTTCCTCAGTAAACACCAACGGTTATAAATGATCTTTTACATCCCAATATTCGTATGTCAATTTACAAAGGTACTAAGTTTGCATTTCGATGGGAATCCCTTTCAGATCGCCGCTCAGTTCGGGAATAATTTATGATGTTTATTAATTATAGACAGAATCTCTCGAGGGCGTTTTTCATTGTGCTACTAAATAAATTGCAAGCACGCAGCTAAGAGAATCGGGCGTCTTGTGGCTTTTCTTTAAATTCATTTTCCATTTCCAATTCATGTGCCAGACAGCAGCGACTGGCAAAAGATACAGTATGGATTCTGTTCTGGATTCGATGTGTGTTTATGTACAGCGTGTAAACATGGGCCCATGTACTCGAGTGGCCCATATATACGAGTATATGGACTCCAGACCAGTCGATGGGCATTGATTGCCTGCCGGTTTCGTTGGGAATCAGCTAGTCTGAGTTAGTTCGACAATTGGAGCCGGCAGAGTTCGGGAGGCATCGATCAATTGAATTCATTTGCGCTCGCACATCCCAAATGACAAGCCGTAAATTTATTTGTTGACACCACACTCATCCTCCGGCGAGAAACTCGAACTTGCGGAATTCCGAAATGCGTGGTGGAGTGCAAGCTGATCGAGATTTCCGAGCGCAATCCTTGTGCCAAAAACGGCTGACTTTGAGAACGTGAACTGACTTTACGGTTCTGAATTTCTGTCAGTGCTCCTATTATTGTTTCGATGGGCTGATGTAACCCGCTTGCCGTGTGCAAAGCTTCCGACAAAACAAATCATCGGCTGTCTTTATTCGCACCAACAAAACTGGGTGTTTTACGTTTTTTCGGACAGATCTTTGGCAGCCTTTAATTGAATTTAATTCAAGATGTGTGAATATTGAAAGTGGAACAATTGTAATAATTAATTCGAACATTTTCGCGCAGGTCTAGGTCGACGTCGTTAATTTGTGAGTGAGCAGTCATGTGATACAACATGAATAATCAGAAGTGGAATAATTTTTAATTTATCCAAATCCAATTCAATTTGCACATGATCTTTGACTTCTTCAGTTGTTATTTGTGAAAGATGGAAAAGCTCTTTATTTTGGCTTGTTTGGGTAATGTAATATTTTAGAAATGGTTATTTCCCAATAATTTCCCAAATACCAATCTAGACTTAATTACATAATTAAATCTTTTTAATCTTTTTTTTCAGATTAAACACTTTTCGGTTGTGTTAAAAAATATACATTCGTTTTAGTGAAAGTGCCGTGTAACAATCGACACTGACAGTGACACATTATTCCAATTTTGGATGATCTTGCTCTCGATATAGCTTTCAATCTGCTGTCATTTTTTGTGTTTATGTGCCAAACGTGATTACAATAAATTGGCATAATGTAACCTTCAATTCGGTTATACAAACGGAATGTTTTTCGGTCAACTTTTTTTATCAGGCGATTTCAACGGGTTTTTATTTTCTGTTTTAGACCCCTTTTTTGCTCTCCAATGCCTAGTATATATAACATACTCTATATTTATTTATCCGAGGTACACAACAAACAGAAGCGTACTAAGTTTAAACCTGTGTCGGCAATTCAATTGAAACTCATTACGGAACGTAAATTTAATGATTAATTTGCTTTGGGAAAACTCTAATTAATTGTTGTATTATTTCTAAATTGTTTTAGTCGCGAGTGAGGACCCCAGGTGCGCAATAATGAATGGAAATAGTGTATCTCAAGCACCTTATACTAATCTTCCGAATCACAACGAAGCTTATCTTTTCACACTAATCGAAGCAATTATCAAAAATTCTACAACTTGAGTTATTATCCCCACAAATTGTTAAAATTAAAAAAAAAACTAATTGTGGCACCAGTGAAATTCATTTCTCGTCACAGTCACTGGTGAGAAAATATTTAAGAGAATATGTATCCATTTAAAATATTATAGCAGACATTAAAAAAAAAAAAACAAAATAAGTGGAACTGAGCAATTGTTTCAAAAAATTTTTAATAAAAGTGTGCCTATTAAATAAACAAATTTAATTTGAATAAATAAACTTATATTAAGAAACTGTGGATTAATATAAAATTTAAAAGCAAAAAATTTATAAACCAACAACAAAATAAGTGAAGCTAAGCAGGTTTTTAACAAATATCTCCAATAAAAGTGTGCCTATTAAATATACAAATTTAATTTGAATTAATAAACTTATATTAAGAAATTGTGAAGATACTATTTTATCCAAAATTTGAAACGCAAAAAGTTTCTATTAAATTTTGATAATCAACTTTAAATGGTAATAAATAAATACAGTTAAACTCGTATATACATTTTAACCATTTGACAGCTGTAAATTTTAAATACCTATTTATTTTGCTCAAAAAACACAACAGAATTCGTTTCAAACTGACATCTCTAAATGGGTTACGCTTTTTCTGTTAAGTTAAATTATACACCATAAAATATTCACAATACAGTAGTATTATGATCAGCAAATCGTTAATAATCTTTCAAAGGCAACGTGTATAATTTAAAATTTTAACAAGGCTTGGCAGAATTAAACAGCGATTACGAGTAATACAAAAAAGAGTTTGCACTTATTTCCCTCTAATTCCCTATGACATTAACTACCCATTTTTCATATTTTTTCCTCTGTGTAGACACACTTGAACGCAAATCGTAGATAATTTGGCAAGGGAATGCGTTTAATTACAATTACACTTACTTTGTAAGCTGGGCGAGACTGAATTTGCGCTCCGCGTCCGACTTCCGCAGGAAGTGTCCGAATCCCCGGAAGGACAGCCGCGAACTCCGGCGATTCTCGCCGCTCTCCCCCGGAGCCTTGGGCTGCAGGTGGTTGTCGTTGCTGGACGGCGGATGGGCTGCCTCCGGATGATCGGCGGCTGCCGATCCGGACTCCCCGTCGTAGGCGGCATTTGCGGTGCCGTTAACCTTTGAGATCTGGAATCGGTCGGCCATCGTGTGGCCGGGGAACTGAACTCCCTGCACTTGACTGTTCACGGAATACTTCTTATCGATTGCACGAATGGCACCTCAGGGAAGAGTTAGCGAACTGGGCACATTTGCATTTCACACACACAGCAGGATAAGTGGGTGGGTTGGCTCTATAATGATGATATCACAAGGACCGCGAATCGGAAGGACGCTATTATGTTTCCTCCACGTCCGAATGCGCTAAACCCTCAACGGCGAATGTCCGAAAATTCTGAATGCGTCGGGTTTGTTTTGGGTATTTTTCGGATTCGGTTTCGAGTTTGTTTTTATATACACTTTTGTATTTCGCGGAGAGCGCCGGATGATCGAAACTCTGCTGACTTATATCCGTGATGGCGACTGCAACTTAACGCGCCGACTGTCGCACGGCGTTTGAGCGTTGTCAAGTGTTTACCGCCCGATTATTATGGCTTTTGCGGCAGTCAGCTGCTCTGCCGCTCCGCTGCTTCCGCTGAGGCTTCGGATTTGGCAGCGGCTGGCCTTAGTGCCAACTCACGCACACAGACGCACACAGACGCACACGGCCGCGTGGTGGGTTTTCAACAAGTGTTTGCCGTCGAACTCACCACGGTTCGGTTCTCTCTTTGCGGAGCGCCGAGGAAAATAAACACAGCACAGCAATGTGGGGAACAACGGTTCGGCGGAGGTCCAGACTACGGGATACCCGCTCTTTGCAGCGCCCAACGGTCGTATACGTAATGCTGGAACGAATGAGTGCATATTACGCATACGTCGAATGTCACGGTTGCGGAAATAGTTTACAGAAAGAAAAAGATATTTGGTAATGAATAACTACGCCTTCGAACAACTAAGTTATACCATAAAATTTTGACTTCCGGTGGCTAATACTCGTTTATTATATTTTTTTTGTAAATAAAAATACATCGGCTACTTCTTAGTGAAGTGAAGTAAAAGAGTTTATGGATAATTTTCTCTTTTTTATAACAATTATTTATGTGGCATTTATTCATTTATGTGGCTTTACTTTTATTGAAATTTGGATGTTTAAAAAAAGGTGCTGTTTCTTTAAAGTTTTCTTTTTATAAGGTCTAAAAATATTTAATCACTGAAAAAGAGGGCAATTGTGCATATAAATATTTTTATATTTTAAGTACCTATATTTTCAAATACATCTTAGCCAGAAAACTATCACAAAAACTTCTCGACGACAGCTGCACCAACAATAGATTATTTGATATAGAATTTTTATTTAATGTGTAAGGGTATTTAAGATTTGACTTCTTAAATTTTTTGGTTTTGATTGGTATCAACGAAAATGCTGTTGCCCTATATTAATGATTTGCCTCCAAGAAACGAGATTAGCAAACTCATTCTGATTTTAGCCGTTGTTCCGTATCACAGAGAGGTTCTTCAAAGCAGCCTTTAGAGGTCACTAGATTAAGTTTGCTTTTTCATAAACAAATTTTCTTGACAGATATATGATGTTTATTTTGACGGTTTGTTTTAACACATTTGTAATTAAGGCTTGGAATTTTTTTTAGCTTGTAACATAGTTATTATCTCCATGATTAGAGTAGTCTTTATCCAATTTCATGAGTTAGAGTACTCTTTAACAAATTTCGTGCATTTGTGAGAATGATTTAATGATGTTTATTATTTTAAAGTAATAATTGGTCAACTTTGGCAGTTCAGCTAGTTAAATAAAACATGAAGTGGTGATTAGGACTCAAATGGTTAAAAATAAATTCATGCTAACGGAGCTAAAGTCTCTCAAAGGATCATCGACTGACCGACTGCAGCAAAGCTTTGTCACTTAAAACAACACCATTTTGTCGCATTTGAAAAGGAATTTAGCACCTTAACACGTTCGCTTCGGGTACGATTCGTTTGCGATTGCGGCTATAAGCTCGTTTCGTTTGTTTACCCAATTCATAACAACTCTCCGCGTCTCCACACTCATTCACAACCATTCGCACACTAAAACTTAGACACACTCGTAACATCTTTACTATCAGCCCAGTCAAGTCAACTCCAGCCAAGTCGCGAACAGTAACAACAATCGCGAGAAAACCCCCTTAATCGAATTAAATTCGGTTTTATCTGGTTTGATTGGCCGGCTGGCTGGATCGTTGGATGGTTGGACGGTTGGATGGCCGGATTGCTGGAAGGCTGGTCGGGCTGCTTTTAGCTCTGCGTCACAGAGCAGTTTTAATAAAGAGCGGAACGAGGCGAAAAGAGTTGTTTTTATAAGCCCACTTGGAGGTTCCCTCCCCAGAACCTTCTTGCAAGACTTCTGAAGAACCGGAGAGTCAGTCGGGTGATTTTTCTCTTTCCAGCAGTTGATACTCGTACAATGCGAATCTTTCTAAGGCCCATCTCGTTCTTGTCGGTTTAATGGGAATATAAATATTCACTTTGATCTTTGGGAATTCCTAAGATCAACTTCTTAAAACGGAATATTTGATTGGAGGGAACTAATTGGTAGAAATGAATGGGGTATCAGAACCCCTAACCTTTATAATCCAACTTTTCTGACTCATTGTTTTGTTCTTAAGCTGGGAAACCCCAAAATGTTTACATATAAAAGTTGGGTAATATACCCAATTCAAGATCTCTTAACCATAAACATCAATTACGAGAAGTAAGTTACTCATTAGACGTAACCCCGCAATCAATTTGTTTAACCATCCAGTTGCATAAGGATAAGGTTAAAATAAACAATGGGTTAGCACGGGTAAATTGGTTGATTACCCCTTATGACTCCCTTTGATATCACTTTTATTTTTTGCTAATAGTACGCAAATGATTAACGATTTCTTAATTATCAAAATTTGTTTATTACTTTGCAACCCGTCACTGCCACGATTTGATGTTTATATTATTCAGCGAGACTGATTTTTATTCATTTACGATATATTTTTCACACTTATTCCGATTTCGTTTGCCTCGTTTATTAGGGTTTATGGTTCGAATCTTTAGTGCTTTGCGGTAGACAACTTGTTTACTGTTTCCAATGATATAAATTGGATTTCTTTTTATTCGTTACCCTATTTGAAGCTCAATAAAAATTTTCTGCCGAAAATACCAAAGAGGAAAAAACAGCAGAACGAGAAAAGGCCGATATCCGGTAAATCCTTATGAATGATACATTATCAAAGTCATAGTTTATTTTCGCAGTCATATTCACAAGATGTTTACCTAACAATCCGTCTAGGGGATCTTTCTAAAATTAGGTTTTATTTGGAGAAATCACACTAGCTTGTTTATATTTGCGTAGATAAAACTGTAATTGACTGCTAATCTGGGTTTTTTATTTCGTTTATTTTTATAGTGTCGGCAATCAAACAGGCTAATTAAACGCAAATTATAGTCGAATTGTTTTCTACATTTGGTGAATAGGGTTATGGGGGATACTCATTGTGTAACTGGTTGATCATCAAAGGTTGTTCAAAGTTTTTAGCCATATCTGTTGTTTTATTGGCTGTTTGCTATTTGGAAAAAAAAAATATCATTTTCTACATACTATGGCATTTTCTTGGGAAGTTGGGATGGGTGACATCCACCCTTAACCAGTTACAGGCGGCTTTTGTTAACCCTCAACTGCACTCATTAACACCTCCCCAGTCCGCCTGTATTTAGAGTACGGCCGAATTCTGCCTAATTGATCGAGTCAACATCGTGAAGCACAGATACATTAATTGTTTTATAGCTAAAATTAAATATTTAAGACTCGACAGCCGCGTTGTGTAACAACCGCTAATTAATTCCAGCCTAATGGGAGTCATATACAACCGATTACATCGCGGAACGATAAGGTCTTTCCAATGACAGTCGAACTACTCTTGGGTTCTTAATTGCCGAAAGACAAATGACCATGCGCTATCGCGTCGTGGGCCAGTGACATTATTTGACACTCGATTATTAATTGAATTAACTGCTTTATTCCACTTTGAAAAGGTTTCGGCCGAGCCGCGTGAAGGAACTTCCACACGAATCGACAATAATCTAGATTCGATCGCCTGTTACTGGGTTTTCGAATACCTGTCCTTGGCGTCAATTGTTTTCGATCGCCTTACAATATTTGACCGTTGTCGATAAAGCCACTCGTATCTGGCTTTGTGTTAAGTGTTTGGATCAATATGTATTGGCACTCTAGTATATTATCTGGTTAGAATTTAACAAGGGAAGAGACTGAAACCATTTAAAGACAAATTTATGGGCTTTATCATAAAAATCAGTCAGCATTACCGAGCCTATTATTATTTGTCCCATATATATCCTGTGTATCAAGATTATAGGGTAAGCTTAAATCCGTTAACATAAAACATATTTCGAGAATAAACATACAAAGTAAACATGATATATAAGACTCATAGAAATTGCTTGCAAAATATGTTTGATTTAGAGCGCTTAATGTACAAAGAAGTTCAGAGACAATTGTGAAATGTAAATAAATTACATGTCTTTGTTTTGGGTTATCTCAGGATTATGTCAGACACTATTTATATCTGATCTGTTTCCGGCTTCTCATATAGCTGTCATAGGAAAGATCAAATAATCTATATAGAAATAAGGGAAATAAAATTATAACATCGTTGTTGTTCATCAGACAAGCATGATTTTTGGAATATGGAGTTTTCTTACGACTCTTGAATTACGAATTAAATTTTATCAAAATCGGACAACTATGTCAAATAGCTGCCATATGATCAATAGTCGAAAATATGGAAAATCAATAGACAAATCATCATAGCTTCGTTGTTGTTTCGCCCCTATATACTTGGTTCGACATATTTGATGACTGCAAGGGTATATAAGCTTCAGCTTGCCGAAGCTAGCTTCCTTTCTTGTTTTTTTTTAATATAAAAAAAAGTATACTGAAGGCACTTTAAAACTTTTTAAATTATAAAAAACGAGGCACATTCGGAACAGCTAAATAGATTTTTTTTTTATCGTTACTGTAACTCAATCTTGAACAACAAAGGAATAAATGTTTCAAAAACTCATCTAGTAGGCCTGCACTTTTCGACGTAGCGCTGAGAAAAGATTTTTGTCATTCGCTCAAGTCTTTGACAACAGCACAGCACAAAAAGTGAAGTTGATATTATATCAGACTGCTCGGAATCAAGTAAATTGCTAAATTTTTCTCCGCGTGTGACTAGAATCCGTTTTCACCGACACTCTCGAATATTTGACAGTAATTCAAAGAACTGCTAAGTGATGGGGCGCAAACGCAGAAATGGAATGGCGTCTTCAAGCCACGAGGAATTTCCAAACCCGAGTAGCTCGCTCTCAGCCGAAGGGTCGAAGGGTCATACCGACTCATCCGCCAGCGATTTTGGCAAGCGTCCCAGAAGCGGAGCACCCGAGAAAGCCAGTAGGCAAGACCGCAAGCACGCTCGACGGATTCTAAGGCAGCACAGGAGAGAGCGGAAGAGGCTGGATATGGTGTCAAAGAAGGAGCTCACCAAAAACCAGCAGGAAATCGCCTGGGCACATGCCGTACTGGGCATGGGCCCGTTTATTGGCGAAGTCGTCAAGCCAGACGAGTGCCAAGAGCAGGTGGAATCCCCAGGGGAGATTGGAAGGCAAGAAACCCCTGACCGTGAGAACCCAGTGGAGGAGTCACACAGATCCCGAAGAGACGAACCAGACGAGCCGGAGGAATCCCCAGAAAGGTCCCGAAGCCCATCCCCGGAATACATCATAAAGGTTGGCGATAACCGCAAACTAATCGCTGTCATCAATAGAAACGACGTCCTGGGAGCGCTAACGGTAAAGGCTTGGCATTTCGTACAGAGTGCTCTCGCTAAAGTGGCCTCGGAAGTGTTTGAGGAGTTCCCAGGGCCGCCGCCGAAGTGGAGGGACTCCGGCTGGTTCCAGGGCGTCATCAAGGTTATCGTGTGTGATAACAATCGATCGGTTGCCCTCTACAAGACTGCGTTGTCAAAGGTTGTGGCGCTTTACCCAGGCACTCAGCTGGAGGTGCACGAGGCTGGCAGCATACCGATAAGGCCAAGAGCTCTTGGAATGATTCCTTCGGAACCCTCCACCGCAGCGGAGATCCTCAGGCTAATTCGGCTCTTCAATCCCAGGTTGCCCACCCAAAACTGGAGAGTGGTGAGCATCAAGCCATGTGAAAATGGCCAGTCGCTGGTGGGCATCCTGCTCAACGAGGAGTGCCTGCAGCCACTGAAGGAGTGCGGGGGCCGCCTGGAATACGGATTCAACCAAATCACGCTGCAGATCTGCGAGACGGACGTCATAGCGCCCGACAACTTGGCATCCTGCTTTGATCCCCTGAATGAAGAAGACGATGACAAAGACACTGATTCCAAGTTCTTAACTCTTCTGGGCATAAACTAATTATCGTTAATCATTCTAAAGTTATCTACCATTATATAGCCATTATTTTGTAATCATCTGAACACATCTACATAACCACTCATGCCGATGAATAAAGAGCAACGAGACCAATTAGTAAATTCTTGTATTGTAAAGTACTCTTTAATGAGTTTATATAACTATCCATTACTTTTTGTAAATGGGATGTGGATTTGTTACTGGGAATCGAAGCAGGGTAGATGATTTTGACAGAAGAGCATTGTTTTTCTGATCTCACTACCATCTCAAAATCTTTCTACCGAAAACATCAATTATATGCAGTCAATCGGGACGAATACTCGTTGTTACAGGGGTCAATCCCGGTTGCTGACCCTCCAAATGGAGCGGTTCTCCTGGCAGTTCCTATTTGTATATAAACAAATTGCAGTCGTTGGGGCTTCAATTCGAATTCCAATCGTGGAACGCTGTCATCATCGCCATCTCAGCCGTTCGAAGGCAGTTTTAAGAGGCAGAACCGAACCGCTTCGTGGCAGAAACAACTTGTTCAGCGCCAGCAAGTCTCATTGTATCGGGCCGTCTGTCTGGAGGAGATCTGAACGATCGGCCCAAGTTTTTGCCGTCCGGGAGCGGGAGCGGGAGAAGTGGGGCAATTGATTGTAGCAACACACAGTCACTCATCGCCACTCGAATGGCAAATCATTTACAATCAAACTTTTAATTGCAATAATTATACGAATTTATTAATTTCAGGCAGCACTCGGGCGACAGTTTGGCACACTCAGATTCCGGTGTTGTACAATATCTGTTCATTGCGCTGTTAACCAGTGATAATATCTCCCAACTTTCCTTTAAAAAAGAGGATGGAGCCTGTCCTCAGTTCGCTTCTTTCTTGTCTTCGCTTTTAAATGCAGAAGGTAAATTTATAATCCCCGAATGGGGGTCATCGCCATAACGGAACTCGGCGTTAACTTAATTATTTAAATTGTGTACTAAGAGCCAATATTGATATTTATTAAGGGGAAATACTTTATTTCGGAGAGTTGGTTGTTATGTTATTAAAACAAGGCTAAGACCATGACGGCATCTGCACATTGATGTGATTTGTAAGTAAAGTATGTAAGTAAAGTAAAAGTAAAGTAAAGTAAAAGTAAAGTAAGTAAGTAAAAAGTTTAAAAAATATGTTTCAAAAAGAAAAACTTATTTTTAATTAAAACAAAACACTAACTAAATATTACACTAACAAAAATCAAGTTAATAAAAACGCATAAAGGTTCTTTAAGCCCATTTGCATTAAATAATTTTAGTTAACCTTTCAAATCGATATTTTTTAACGATATTTACCAAAAACCTAATTTTAATTAACATTTCTCGACCTACAAGTGAGACGCATTTCTCTACGAACTTAGTTATCAAAAGACTAATAGAGTTTAATAGAGTGCACTCTTTTGAGTTTTGTGCATACAAAGAAATTGTGCATTGTTGAAGAAAGCCAAACCAAACCAGTACAAAGGGGTTTTGATTGGAACTGGTTTGCTTACAACAGCAGCATTTGCCAATAACTTTAATTTGTATTATCTTTTTGATATTTGCAATCAGTAATACTGACACATTCAAACAAGGCAAACTGCACGAAAATTAGTGGGCTAAATGTTCAAAATCTTTTTAAGTCATAACGTAAATAGAATCTATGTTTATAATAATTTCAAGACAATTAACTAATTTACTCGATCAGATAAAATTCCTAAATCACAAGCTCATCTTGCCAATTCAATGCTATCTTATCGACGATGTGTACCCAGCAATAGTTGAATAAACAAAATGATTGTAAACTCATAAATGATTGTGGAGCGTGTCTCTGTTAAGTTATTTTTTAAATATCTTAGCAATTACGTTGTGGCAAAAACAAAGTTCCCATTGATATTTTTAACTGAGAAAACAAGAAAAGAACTCACCCAAACTGCCGCAATCAGTAAAACACTTTTTGATTTAACTACGAATCTCTTTTAAATATTTATTTTAGTTGCATAAACGGTTTACACATTCAAAACATTTAAAATTCAAACTTCACTACTAAATATTGTTTGTTCTTGAATTTCGTTTCTTATGCTTCACATTTATGCTGTTAACTTTCACACTGAATCTTATAAATAAATTATGTATACATATATGTATGTATATATATTTGTTTTGTTTTTAAAATTTCGTTTAAGCTTCTTTGAGTTTAGTTTAACTTGTTTTAGTAAATTGCTTTTCTTGGGTTTGCCCTTACTTAGATGTCTGGGTCCACTATTGCAATCGATTAAATCTTTTAAGCTTTCTATTCCAGAGAAAATATAAGTTGTAAAAGTTGTACAGGCAATCGGAGCTTTCAGTTGAGGCAACTTTTGGCCAGATCCAAAATCGGGTTAAAGATAAGTTTAGATGAGAATAGTTGTTAATTAGTTGTAACAATGGGTGGGTTTTGTGGTGAATTATGTGATTCTAGGTTCGACGTGAGGACAACGTCGTTTTAAATGTTTCTGGTCAGATATTATAACTATTTTCTGTATCTCTAGAGATGGGTAGATCTATTTCTGCTCTTCTTTGAGTTAAGTTTGAAAGCAGTAAAAAGCTGGAGCGGAGATAGAGTATTTAAGGGGAACAGTAAGCACATTGAAAGCGTTAAATCAGAGTGAAAATACTTCAGCCCGCCTCGTAAATGCATCGAAAACTACATAAACTTAATAGACTTTACAATAATAACTTGGCAAACACACCTAGACCATGATATAACAAACTATTGCGGCACAGGACCATCGACCCGGTAACGAGGAAATCAGGCTTGCAAAACGATAAATATCCCTTCGGTCCTGGCCGCTCAATCCGGCGATAACAAACAATCGAATTCCCTGACTCGCATTTCGCATTTCGCAATTCGCAATGGGTTGAGCAATGATAATACGTTTCTCTCTTTTCTATGTTCTAACTGCCTTTGTCTTGGCAAAATGTTAACTTAAACGACCAGGTGCGACACGTCGCTGGTGTATCCTGGCGAGTAGCGCGGTGGCAGGACACTCTGCTGGGGCCGTGTCTTGCCCAGCATGGGCATGGGCATTCCCGGCTGGCTGGCGGCCATCACCTTGGGGCTCTGGCCAGGCTTGCCCAGCTCGTAGGGCCTCCGGATGCGGAGCACGTCGGCGGCGTCTCCCGGCCAGGCCCGCTCCGGTCCCAACCGCTGCCCCAGGCGAGGATACCGCCGCTTGTCCACCGCCAGACTGATTGTCCCCGGGGCGTGCGAGTTCAGGCCCACGTTGTACTGGCGCTGCATCGCCAGCGAGGCACGAATCGTCTTCCGTTTCTGTGGGAAACAATGGGGTAACCGTTACAACGGTACATTAAAATATATATGTAACTATATTATATCTTAATAGACTTAACCATATAGAATCTGAAATCGATAACGAAACAAGTACCTTAAAGGAAGTTAATAAATTCCTAATTGAAACTGAACTAAACTTAGATCCAAGGTGTTGAATATTTTTTTTGGTTCTTTTCAGTTCTTAGAAAACTCTTATTAAACAATTCAAAACAATTATATAAATTAATCAAATCGAAAAAAATTATTGCTCTAGATTGCAAATTATTATTATTATTATTATTAGGTATATTTATTATTATTTCAAAGCTCGAAAGAGGACTCTTCTACTTGATTATAATGAACTGAGACGGTTACTACACCATCCATATCATGTAATGAGTAGATTCAAGATGCTTCTAAGACACATATGTATATATACAGTCATTTGCAGATAAATAGCATGAATGATAAAAAAACTTTCCTTCAAGTTGTTTCGTTATAAAGCAAGCTTTTTCTGGAATATTGGATTCCAATTTTTTCAGTAACTATGTTTATAAAAAGTGTTCTTCTGATTTTATCTTATCAGCTTACATCTGAAGAGGTCACTTAAATAGCCCACGTTGGCCTTACACATACTTCTCGAGGTGTACAAATTGAAAATTGATTTTTTTTCATTATACCTATGTAAAATGATTGTTAATTAAATTATTCTTGTAAAAAAAATGGGCTGTGGAGTTCATTGTACTTCCAAGAAAGGGATCTTTATTGATTAACAAAGGGAATCCAGCAAAACCGTTGCTGAAATTGCATCCTGCAAAATCATTTGTTCGAAATGGTGTGCTATTTATGTGTCCACACAACTTAAAGGCACTACAACAAAAAAAAGCTGTTAAAATTTTTCAGTCGTTTAAAAATTCGCTTTTGATTAATAATTAGTAAGTAATTAATTAGTAATTTAGTAAGTCTACTCTATATATTACATAATCCCTATATTCCTACTCATAAAGTGTGAACCTGTCCATGGCTCTATATCAGGACCTGGTTCTTCCTTTCCTTACCTCGATGGTGCCCCGCCACTTGTCCGCCGCATGTCGGGCGATGTCCAGGCGCTTCTGCTTCTTCACCTGGTGCTTCTTGTAGATGACCTCGATGATGATCAGACCGACGCCGCCGGCAATGCCCACGCCCACCAGTATGAACACCCCCGCCATGTTCTTCAGCCCCAGAGTGTTGGGCGTCTTCTCGAAGAGCTCGCAGTTCTGCTGCACGTGTCCGTGGAAGATCCATTGCTTGTCCAGTTTTTCCATGAACCCGCCTGCAAGGAGGAGAGGGATCAGCCACCGCTAATGGAGGATCTACCAACAAACCGTACTTTCGTGGAACTCCAGAATGGCCAGCGTAACTGCATCCGTCCAGGGAGAACCCTTCTGCAGTCCGATTCCGTAGCCACTCCGACCGAACAGCTCGCCGGCAGTGACCAGTTCGCAGTCCTTGGAGGCCTCGTACTCCAGACGGGAGGAGTCCCATATGAAGGCCATGAGCTTGCTGCGGACACAATCGCAGATCGATGGGAGACATGTTAATATTATTCTTATAGAGGTGCGAGTGGAGAAGGGGCACAACAATTAGGAAGAAACGTTCAAGTAACAAGAAAAATTTGATAACTTCGATGGACCGAAGCTCCCCACATCCTTGCAGATTCTTTGAAGGTTAATTTGATTTAGTAAGACTTACTTACAAGTTATACAATAGATTTAAATTTTAAAATATAGAATTTTTTTTAAATTACCCATTAGAAAGTTCAAATCTTCAGTGACTTCTGTGTCACCTACCAACAATTATTATTAAAACGCCGAATATGACCTAGACATTTTAAATGAAACACTAAAGGTATCCTTGAAATGAAATCCAACAGACCGACTGATCCTAACCTATCTATTAATTCCTTAAACTTATCTGGCGAAGCCCTAACCAATTTGTGGACCTTTAATCGAAGAGATTTAATCGAAGACCTTTAATCGAAGACCTTTAATCGAAGACCTTTAATCGAAGACCTTTAATCGAAGACCTGTAATCGAAGACCTTTAATCGAAGACCTCTGCAAGGACTTGAAGGCATGAAGATGCTAAGAAATGGAAACACAAGATGACTTTGGGGGCGGATAGTACGGGGGCAAGACCAACACACGAATACGAATACGATACCGCTAACGATACAAAACAAGTCTAATAGATCGAAACAGAGGGAGAGCGAGACAGAGAGATAGAGAGACAGAGAAAGAGAGAGAGAGAGAGTTAGGTGGACTGAGTTGAAGGTGTCGTATTGAAGGGTGATTGTAACTGTAGTAGTAGAAGTAAAGTAAGTAGTAGTATAGTTGTAGCCCGGATCTCGAGGGGATCCGGATCTGGACAGTGGTGGTGGTGCCATGACATGCTCAGCTACGCTCGGCTACGGAAAAGTGGGCGAGGCCTGGAGCAAGCGTACCCCTTCTTCACGTCCTGGATGGCCTGCTCGGCGGTGGCATAGTTGTTCGCCTCCATGGTGCGGTACATGTTGGACAGCTCCACCTGGCGGCGGAAGTACATGTCCACGGAGGAGCCCTTCACGGTGGCGCAGGTGAGGTTCTCCATGGTGTTGCGCAGGCGCGCGTCGTTGATACCGCTCAGCTTCGTCTTGGGCCGCTCGAGCACGAGGAAGGCGGCCAGGTTGGCGGTGTACGAGGCGACGATGATCATCGCGAATCCTGCCCAGACCATGCCCAGCACCCGGGCGGAGAAGCTGCGCGGCGTGCCCTCGCCGATGCCGCTGTTCAGCAGGACTCCCCAGGCGAACCACACCGCGGAGCTGAGGTTCAGCGCCTTCTCCTCGTTGCTGTCCGAGTGCGAGAGCTTGAAGCGGCCGAAGGGCGAGAACCTGTTCGGAGTTCGGAAACCGGAGACCGGAAAGCGGGTTAGTAGGGAAGTCAGTAGGGGAATCAGGACTGGGATCAGGGATCGGCCGGGCGCCATTCAACCGTCCAATGCAGCTGCCCTCCACTTCGCCTCTCCTTTGCTGGTGGGTAGTTTCTGGGTGGGATTGGAATGGGGGACTGGAATGGGGCACTTGGGAGGCACTCACCTGTCCAGGAGGTAGAGCACGAGCGCCACAACATGGACCGACACCATTACCAAGATCCATAGCGTGTTACTAAACGGCTGCAAGAAAGACACGAGAGTACTCGATCGTGACGGTTTCTTCTCGAGTATTGTAATGCCTTGGTATTTGAATGGTTTTGAGAATTCTATGTACTCGGCACGCTCCGGATTGATGGTTAGTGGTGCCACGATCATGCTAGATGTGATTCCGGATGAATGTGTTAGGTATATTTCAGTGCAATAGATATAGCTGGCTGATTCCGCTTACTCGGCACGTTCGTTGACCAGCTCCCCGATGAGGCCCGTCCACTCCTTGCGCAGGGTCATCGCCCCCGTGCTGTTCCGCAGGATGTAGTGCCCGAACTGGCCATCCGGGGACAGGGCCAGGTCGTAGGTGAAGTTTATCCGCTTCGACAGCTCGATCAGCAGGTCTATGCAGTAGCCGCGGCAGCAGAACTCGTTGGCTAAACGGAAGAAATGAAAGTAGATTAATGGAAATTAGATAGTGAATTCAACAAAAAAGTATTAAATTGTTATGGTGGAATTTCTCTAAATAGAAAAGGTATAAACATTTTGATTTTAAATCTTTTCACCACTAAAACAATATTTGTATTTAACGCGAATACCGATAACATCTTTGGTAATGATATTAGGTGAGTCATAGTATATAATTTTGGATGTGTCTGGTTAAAATGGTTTGGTTCAATAGTATTTAGTTCTGTGTTCTAAAGTGTATTATTAACGAAACAAAGTTTCTTAGTTAAATGAACTATTTTATCCCTTAACTAAAAGCAGTATATATTTTGGAAATGATTTAAAATCTTCTGTAAACCTTTGTTCGATATTATGGATGGACTACCCACCAGTGGCATCCGAGTTGTTGAACAGGGGACAGGGTCGCTCGTCCGGCTCGCAGCGGAACTCGTCGTCGCCCATGCGCCTCACGTAGACGAAGGGCTTCTCCTCGATGGTTAGGAGCTTCAGGTGGGTGGGAATCATGATGCCCTCCGGCTTGCGGCGCTGCTTTCCTGGCCAGATGATCTCGCTGTCGTTGATCCGCATCCGCATCTTTGCCCGCATCTGAAAGTCCGTTATGGTTATAGTAGTTATAGTAGGTATAGTAGTTCAACCCATGAAGTAAGTAAGTTATACTTACACTATCATAACTGAACTTTCCAACCACGTGCTTCTTTTGCTGCTCCCGAATGTTGATCACATCGTAGCCGGCGTAGATTCGATCCCCGTTGTCATCGAAGGCCACCTGTCCCGTTTCGCCAGTGATGTTGCGGCTCTTGAGGTACTGGAAGAGTCTCTTGCCTACCGGGTGATCAAAAAACATTCTAGTCAATGACTGTTAATATTATCATTAGTTACACTCGCACCAGATTCCCAGTTGACGGCCGAATCGCCGCAATCCTTCGGAGCCTCGGCGATGGTCTCGTTGGAAATCATCTCCTTGATGGCGGAAGCCAGAACATAAACGCTGTCCTGTTTCGGGGGGCCAGAAATCACATCATGCATAATTCAGATTCCACATGGGGCAGTCCATGGGGCACTTACCCTAATGTGACCCTTGTCGCTGTGGGCGTGCTCCAGCTGGAGGCCCAGCACTCCGTCCGGAGTGTTGTTGGAGAAGAGCGCCTGCTCCGTCACAATCCACACGTGGCCCTCCCCGGTCATGTTGTACTCCCCGGCGTCGCGGAAGATTACTTGGGCGTCCTCCGTGCTGCGGCAAAATGGCAATACGAGATGCATAATTAGCCAGTATGCTAATGCTAATGCCGGAACGCTAAGTACCCCAAGCCATTTGGCATTGAGGTTGGAAAAGAAAACCAAATCACGCATGTGGAACGCCACATTTAAGGGAGTCTACTCTTTATAGGAGTATTCGTTATGTCAAGGTAGCATATTCCTACCCAGTTATTAAACAATAGTTCGATTAATAAGACCTCTGATATAATATAAGAGGGTTCAAAAGCTATAATAGGGAGTAGTTGAAGAGTTCAGTTAAGAACATAAAACCGAAATGTAACAAATACTATTATCACCCGTTTTCATTTCCTAATCCATTAAACAGATTCACAATTCACCATAGTAATAAACGACTTAGAACATCGTTGCATCCATTTGATAAAAAGCAGAAACGAGCAGTTGCTGAGCGAAAGTCACGCCCATGGTTGAATTCAATCCCAGTAATCTTGTGTACATCGCTCTTTCATTGAAATTAATTTACGGAGTACAACATAAAATCACTTTATGGGAATTGACAGCAATTGACTGACACGCTTTAGTGTTCACATTTTACAGTCACCCGTAGGAAACAATTTGCATGCCAAAGCTGGAAGCTGCTAAAAATACGGATTCAAATGGATGGTTTTCAAAAGTTATCAATTGAGGGATTTAAAGCCGCTTAAATAGTACATCGAAGCTTTAAAACCAATCAATAAAAGCTGTCTGAAATATCTAAAAGTTAAGTCAGACAGCATTTTAAAACGGTCGACTAAGTTCGTATCCCTCATAATCCCACGAAAAAGACTCCAGTCTGGGTAACCTGGCTCAAATCGGAGTGGATTATTAACGCAGATTCGCGGCACTCACCTGGCGTACATGAGGTAGACCCTAGACTGGGCGGTTTTCATGTCGATGAGGTGCTCCGTGAAGCTCTCCAGCTTGGGCTCAAACTCGACAATCAGTTCCACGGTGGCGCGCACGTCCACGTCGTCGTAGTAGGTCTGCGACGTGGTCTGGAACCTGCCCAGGATGGCCCGGCCGTCCGTGTCGGAGCTGTGGATGATGATTACCTGAGGCCAGCGGAGCATGCAGGGGAACAACTCAATAAGTCAAACAAGCAGGTCAGGATTGGCAACCCACCTTCGTGTATGCAAAGTGGCTGAGCATCTCCAGCCAGACGTCCGCCTGGTGGTAATAAGGAGGCACGGTCCTCAGGAAGGAGACGTGGATGTTCTTGTCGGAGAAGGCGGCGTCCCGCGAGGAAATGCCAATGACGGGAATCGAATAGAATCCGCTGGTGTAGCTCACGGCAGCCGGCGACAAATCGCCCGAGGTTTGCTCATGCGAAACGACTACGGCGTACACCTGTCGGGGAATGGAGGCAGAAAGGTCCGGGAAACAAGTCAAATCAGTGGAAATGAGCAATGCAAAGGAAGCTGCCAAAGGAAGGACCTCTGGCGATGGGCGGGCTGCCAGGTCGGAAGTGTAAATGGCGTCGGGGGAACGTTCAATTGGCTGAGCAAGTAAAACGCCCTCCATTAATGTAATTTTGCTGGGCACTATCCAAATTTGGTGGAACTGTCCAAAGTATTTTACTGTCTGTGCTAAAACATGACTTATAAAAAATCTTATTTAACATCTTAATTATTAGGTTATTTTGTTAAACTTATTAAGTTGTGAAACTTTTTTAAAAAATATAAAATGTGACTTATAAACAACAATTCAAAGTTGATTTAAAGATTTATACTTTATTAGAAGCTTATACCCTTAAATTAAGATAAAACACTTTCACCGACAGTTACATTTTCGAAACGCAGCGTTCCGAAAATGATATTCAACGGAGTCAATGACAGTTGATTTGCTTCCTTTGGGTAATGAAAAGGTTTCCTCGAAATGGCGTCGCATCGCGGGACCTGACATGATAAATTCACCTTACATTAACGATGACAAATGCCGCCCCAAAACAGGCAACGAATTGATTTGGACCTGGTCTAGTGGGTGAGAACTTCTGCTCCAGACAGCCACCCACAGCGTCAGAAATTTGTGATAAATGCGATGTAAGGCACGAAATGTGATTGATGAAATCCTCGGATAACCCAAAAATTTAAGGGAAGTTTGCCAACAGAAAAGTAATTCATTTTTGAGTGGTTTTTTTTCGAACTCGTCTGGGTGCATTGCCCTTTGGAGCGCTGAAAGGCTCTTCGTCATTAGGATTTTTTGGACGCTTTTTGTTTGTGCATGACGGCGGTAATTTATGGCATGAGAATCCAGTTGGATTCTAAAAAGTGCTGGACGACGATTCCATTGCTTGAAAGTACAGTGCGCGGCAAAAAGGTTATTTTAAGTAATTTTTATACAGTTGGTTTTTTACATTTTATATTTAGGTGGTTGCAAAAAAATAAAATTAAATTGAAATAGTTCAACATTTTTTAGTAAACTTCTACTCATTTACTTGAATAAAACAGCAGCAACATTCATTTTGTTAATCTTTGGACAAATTGGAATACGAGCTAAGCTGAGCTTAACCAACTGGAAACTTGTGGATATTGGAATCTGCTGTCACATTACCGTTTCTCATCGACCCATTTCCGAATAATTTTCCCTCGAATTATTGAAATTAAATATGTACCGTTAGTTCGATTGCAGCCTTAAGCGATGCGATTCCGACCACGGGAAATGAACAGGTAATTTAAATAGTTAAACATTTTTTAGTAAACTTCTACTCATTTACTTGAAGAAAACAGCAGCAACATTCATTGTGTTAATCTTTGGACAAATTCGAATACGAGCTAAGCTGAGCTTAATCAACTGGAAACTTGTGGATATTGGAATCTGCTGTCACATTACCGTTTGTCATCGACCCATTTCCGAATAATTTCCCCTCGAATTATTGAAATGAAGCGAGCCAGAGGAGATATACGTACATATGTACCGTTAGTTCGATTGCAGCCTTAAGCAATGCGATTCCGACCACGGGAAATGGAACCGGTAATTTAAATAGTTAAACATTTGTTAGTAAACTTCTACTCTTTTACTTAAATAAAACAGCAGCAACATTCATTTTGTTAATCTTTGGACAAATTCGAATTCGAGCTTAACCAACTGGAAACTTGTGGATATTGGAATCTGCTGTCACATTACCGTTTGTCATCGACCCATTTCCGAATAATTTCCCCTCGAATTATTAAAATGAAGTATCGTTATGTACCGTTAGTTCGATTGCAGCCTTTAGCGATGCGATTCCGACCACGGGAAATGAACAGGTAATTGCATCTGGCCACCGACTTACCCGATTCTCGATGAGCTTGTCGCACACGTTGAAGACCGTCTTGATGGGATTCTTGTCCATCCGGATCGTCTTATCGTAGTAGGTGACCTTGCGGGGCACATACTGCTGGTCGAAGTTGAGGTGCTGGTGATTAATGGGGAAGAGTAATTGTTAAGGCGGTTATGAGTGAATGGAAATCCAGTTAGTCAACGCGCTTGCCTTTATCGTCGTGCTAAAGTGCTCCTCGCTGTCGGAATTGCTCAGTACGCCGCCAATATTGTATGTCGAGGGATTATCCGAGGCCGTGTGCCGCTGGGCGGCGTCAATCGGCGGCGCCAGAACAGCCAGCAGAATAATGGCGAGCCCAAACAAAAGCCAACAATAAACAAAACCAGCAACAGCCATATTGGCAGAGCTCTATAGTTTTTGGGGGAGGATAAACGACGTGCTTTGTGCGATGATTTCAATGGTTTCCCGGCCAAACGTCCAGCATTTTCTGTAAGCCAAAACGAAGAGCCGCCGATATTATTGCCATAAACTATTCTATTGAGGAGAATTAAGCCATTACTGGACAATTGTGTTATAAAGCTTTTCGTTTTCTAGAATATGACATAGGGCCTCTTTTAAACATAACTAGTTTATATCCCAATGAACACTATTGTGAGCATTTTTTAGTATTAGAAAGTATTAGAAACAATATTTCTAAAATATCGGCAAAGTATTTTCGTATGAATTTTGAATTGAGTAACGGGTTTCTGAAGTTACTAAGATTGTAAACAAGAAAATATGCATTAATTTACATCTTATGTACTAAATAGGTTTTCGCGCTTTGCAATCAAATCTCCGAAGATGCCAGATCATGCAAAATTAAACCTTTTGAAAATGAATCTTTTTAGGGTTGCAGTTGTAACTTCAGGGTGGCCTTTTCTTCCAAAGACATTTAAGGTATTCCTAAAACAGGTGAAACAGATACTACCACTACTACATTCGTCAAAGCAGGACCCAAAAATTAATTATTGGAAAAATTTTTCACAACTAGCGAGTTTTTAAAATACTGTTAAAGCCCAACTTTTGCTTTTGACTTATTTTTTTTACAAAAAAATAGTCTTTTCTTCAACTTTGTCCTAAATACTCGCAATCAGAGCTCGATCAGGTAAACACTTAAATAAAATTTTTTAATCGGATGTGTATATTCAACCTTTTAGGGAATACCCTGATCGATTACAAAACTACTGAGTACATCGATTGTATCGAATATGGCGCTCTAGGCCTATCGATCGTATGGCTCCACTTGTTGCTCCACCGCGCTGTCAGTCGGACGTGTTTTCGCTGGTGTTTTTCCGCGTCGGTCCGCCTTATCTGCGCTGCGCTGGCACTTCGGACGGGGAGAGGAAGACGGGAAGCGGAACACGACTTCGTGCATGACGCGGCGCCCTGGAAAATTGCATTTTCGTACGCTTGTAGCGGCTAATTTATCGCCGAATGATGGCCAATTTGTTGGCCTAAAAGCTGTGGGTGTGTTTGAGTGAAAAAATTGTGCTTGGAAAAGTGCGAAGAAATCGACAATCGCGTTGCGCGTTTTGTTTGCCTTTCGCTGCTGCTGCGCTGCGACTGCGCTGCCGGTGGGCGATTAACGGGATCGCGGGGGCAGGAAAGCCAATTGTTGACGTTGTTTCGCATCTTGCCTCTCTTTCCCTCTTTTAACCGGAATTGTTTGTCGCGTGTTTTTTACGGCTCTGTCGTATTGACAAGCCAAGCTCTGTCGACGTCGCTGCCTGCGTTGACTTCGCTGCCCCGGCATTGTTATTGTTATTGTGTGCGGTTTCTACCTTTTTACTTTGTCTGCTGTTTTTCGCGGTGTTCCCCACTTATTATTATTCTCTTTTCTGCGGCTAAGTGCGCGCACTCAAGGTGAAAATATATTAAGTTCTTTCGAGTGCCCCCAAGTGTTTGCATTTGAATAAAATAAATATAAAGTCAAATTCGATTTACGATCGTTGTCTATCAGCGGATGATTCAATTGCTGGGCAGTGGATACGCTACGCAATCGCTTTTCGGATACGCATTCGCAGCAGCTCCCAGAGGTAAGTAATCAGCGAAAGCAACCTGTTGCCATTTACTGGTTTTTCCGGTTGCCCAAAGGGCTTGCCGCCGATTTAAGTAGGTCATAAGGCAATAAGCCTATCGCCTGGGCCCCGGCTAATTGCCTAGATAGCTATTATCTAGCAGTCACGCCCTCGCTCGATGTCGCCGGTTCGTTTTGCTGAATAATTGAAAGTAAATCAAAGCGAAAAACGCCAGAAAACCTCTCGCAATCAATTACAATGCAATACCAGCGGCAAAACGAACAGCTCCACAATCGTTTCGTCTTTACACGAAAAGAAAAATACTTTCTTATCACAAAAATTAATGAATTGAACATCTGCTGAGCGTGGGATATTTTCAAATTGAGCACACAGCTGTAACCACAATTTGAACTTACTTTATGTTTATTGGGTAAATTTATCAATAACTGCCTTTAAATAATCTGATGAGCATTAGTTTTTCGATTGAAAAAGTTGCAAACGGGTAAATTATTATGAAAGCTCAAAAGTCAACCAACGTAGTCGTAGGGTTTTCAGCTCTTTGTTTACTTATACACATTCTTATTTTCTTTGAAAATAAATTCAAGAAAAAATCAAGGGAACAATTATGGGAATATTTTGCAAGAATAAAAAAAATATTTTGATTTCTTACATTTTACTCCGATAAGGACCACAAATCTCTTATAAATGTCATGATAAAAATTCATTCAAAATATTTGCCAGTGCAAAAATCTTGATTGCAGGCTGAGATGAATAGAGAGGGAGAGAGAGAAAAAGAGATGCTGACAGGGCCGACGCGTGCTTAATTAAGCGCCACATTGTTGGCTGCCCGACAGGTGCTGGGGGATAGAGGGAGACGGAAAACGATTGCAGGAGATGGAGCTCTCGCCCGCAGCCACTTTTCCAAAGAGTTGTGCTCAGTGTAGGGGAAAATAGAGGGACAAAAAAGGGACGCGTTGGGACTGGTGCACGCGATGATTTCAATTTAATTGCCCGGAATAAAGATTGCGTGGCACTGCCAAATTGCATTTTTTGCCAAGTTCTATTTGCAATAATATGAGCGTTTCTAACTCTTTAATACCCAGTCAATACCGTTCGACTTAATAGATCTATAAAACACAATTACGGTCAAATATTTTCATATCAATAGAGTGTATTAAATTACCCTATGTGGTATCAGACTCTTTTCTAGATTTCTTATTGGCTTTGTTTTATTACTTAACCACATTATGCTTATTATTATTAAATAAATCGTTGAAAAGTCAAACCCGACTCGAAGCCCCATAATATTTTTACCGCAAACGTTTGTTTATTCATACCTTCATTTATATGTTCCTATATGCTGCCCATGAGCATGAGCGTGTGCATAATTTGCACCTGAATTAAGCAGTTGGTGTCGAGGTTTCAGGAAGGGGAATGGCGCCTGGGAGCGCCACCAATTAACATAAATAGACAAATCGAGTGAGCGACATTTTCATGTTGTAAATAAAGTATAAACCCACAACCACACACACACTTGTGCAATGTGCAAGTGCCCGAGTCCACTTGGCTGCAATTAATGGGAGTGTGTGTGCCCGGAGGTCGGGTGTTATCAATGAAGCAAACTGAATGAGGCAGAGAGTGCTCTCATCGTCTGTCTGTGTTTGCTTGACTATACGAGTGCCTTCCGTTTTTTTGCTCAGGTGAGCCGAGATCCTTTATGCGTTTCTATAGCTTGGAAAACCAGACAGGGCCCAGACCACAAAAAGTGTACGAATTAAAATCATATTAAATTGTGTTTTACTTTGTTACTGATTCCCCATCCGCACTCGTGTTCTATTAATCGCAATAAATAGTTGATTAGACTTCAACAGCTTCAAGGCTCCCAGAATCCCTCGAGTTCAGCTGACTGAGCATCACACAGGAATTCCCCAGAGAAAGCTGTTACCCTCTATGTTTCGTGAAGCCACAACAACTTCCATATGGTATTGTTTATTTTATGCATATACATACATTTTATATTATTGCACATTCAACGTACTGAACAAGAAATCAATAAGTGATGTCAACTACACATAAATGAATCGGACTTGACTCATACTTTCAAAAAGATTTTAAATGAATTTCACACTTCGATTTGTTTGCTATTGAAATTTTTGCATGTCCATTTATAAGCCAGTTAATGAACTTCAACTGTCTGAAAAGGGTATTTATGGTTGTAGGCCTTCACTGAAAAGAACCAAAAAGGGTTATAGTTTTTTTTTTAAAAACCTCGTTTGCATTTGTCATTAAAATCAGATTTTAAATGGTGCATTGTTTTTCAGCACTTGCTCTTTTGTTTTCATCCTAAATCATTCATTACCTAAAACCGAATAAATCGTATTTTATTAGTAGAAAATTATCTTGCGCACTTCCAAGGTACATAATTTTTTATTGATTCCGTCTGCCCACTTTATTTGAATTTAAATTTCCCAATCCCCAGACTCGCAAGAAAAACTTTCCGCACTGGGAGGCAAAGGGTATTTCGACTTCAGAGGAGCTCTCCGAGAATTTTCTCCGACAGTTTTTGTTCAACTATTTAACATAGCGAACGTGCCGTCGCTGGCATTTTATTCAATTTCGTTGTATGTGCAGCGTGTGCGGGGACTGCAGATTGCGGGCTTCATTGAATGTGGCAGTGCACGGTGATAGTGGGCTCAAGGGGGGAGGGGGAGGAGCTGGGCGGGAGTGGGAGGCCCTTTTGGGGGAGGCGGTGGCTCCACTGTAATTCGAACTGACAGGCTGACAACAATGAGAACATCTGGTTCGATGGCGGCTCGTATTTGATGATGCTTCATTGAAATATTCGCAGTGGTTTTCCAACTTGATTTCCACCGACTTGCAGGTAGCTGAAATAGTTTCTGATGAATTTGCAACCGCAAGAGGGTCAGATTGATTGACTCTGCCGGAAAGCGGTTAGAGCTCAATTGGGACAATATATCGATCAGGTCGTTGGGCGGATGCCCGAGTAATTTCTCCCCCTGGCCAATTTGAGATAATTTAATTTGCCCTCTGTAAACGGGAATTGTTTTATGTGCGATCCAGCAGCCCAGTAGCCCAGCAGCAAGGACAACTCCCCAAGGAGCCGCTAGCAGACAAAAGCTTCAATAAAAAAGCCCTGAAACTTTGAACCGAACTTTGTCGCCTCAGTCGTTCACATCCACGCCCTGTTGCTCTAACCTTTATCCCTTTTCCCTTTTACCCCACTCTCCCCCGCCCACTCTCCCCCGTCCGTTCTTTGTGGTCCGGCCTTGTGTGTAGCTTAGCCGGGAAAGCCATCTAAGCCAATAACCAAGTCAAGGATGTCCGTCCTCCGTCCTCCGCCCGCCTGCTGCCGAATTTGATAAAGTGTTGCCACTCCCCTCCTCGCCCTCCGATGGCCATTCGCATTTTATATTTTTGTGTACTTTGCAGCATCTCTTCGTAGGCAATTTTCGTGGGCATTTTTCACACACGAATTGCCAAACAGATGTACGTATTCCGATTCGCCCCACTGGGTCCCAATCCGCCGGATTGATGGCAGTCGGACCCCCCCCACCCATCAGGAAAATTGGGGAAAGCGGGGGCAGCCAGGATTGAACCATTCTGTGCATGATTTCAAGCATTGCACATTGATGTGCCTCAGTGAGTCGAGTTCGCCCATTCGGTCCATTGTTGCTAAAGTGCCTAATGCCCAGCAATTCGTTGGGCTTGAGCAACTATTTGGGTTGCACGAACAAAGCGAAAGGATTTTCTCAAAAGATTCCCGTTTGGCCAACGGATTTTGTGCGAATGCCGAGGGAATATGTGTGCCAGGGAGACCGCCAAGTGGTTCGGATAATTTGCAATAGAAATACAAGTTAGGTTGAAGATTTTCAAAGACATTTCGCTTATTGATAAGCCATGCTAAGAATTGTATAATTATTAATAATCGATTATTTTATGTATTTAATAATCGATTATGATTTACTGATACTGGCCAATGTTGTAGAAATTGAAAACCATCAACTGATTTCTACTTTACTTAATGTTGGTCGAAAGTCTTTGGCTGACAGAAAATGTAATCGTAAAGCTCCCCCGAAACGAATTGTTTTTATCATTTGCACTGCTACACCGCAAAAATGTTTCCCCAGCTCAATCGTAATCGTAGTCCAGGGATTGAGTGGTCGCATTGACCACTTCACGGCGCTGCTCCACCTCATCAATGGCTGGACCCAAGGCAAACACACCAATGATGAAAATCACAAAGCCAGCGATGATGAGCAGGACGCAAACGACAGCGGAGCAGACGATACACTGGGCTGTCCGGACGGAATCCATTTCGGAATGGAGTGGCCCGGCCCGACCACGCCTCAATCGCAAAAAGCCTCACTGCAAACTATTCGGGGTCATTTTGGGAACTTTCATTACGTCTTTACATCACCAGCGATATCCTTGCTGCGCATCCATGTCTTCAGCCCTCGACCTCGCCTCGGTTTCGGGGCATTTAATCAAGTTATTGGCTTCTGCCGCTCTGCCGCTGGCTGGATATCGCGAGTTAAGTTATGCAAACACTTTGTGTGCCACTCCTTCGGGATGCTTTGCTTTCTCTATTCTTTTTGCGCGCACACACACACTCTCACAGGCGCACTCACACAGGGGGAACTTTTATCACACGCACACAGGACGAACTTTTATCCCCTTTGTTCTTCTGCTGTTTTCACTGGCAATTTTCGGTGTTTCAAACTGTAATTTCTGTTGTTTCCGTTAATTTTGATTTTTCACCCACAACTGCCTGACGTTTTTCGCCCGGACCGAGCTTTCCGTATCGGATTTCACTGGCCCAGCATCGCATCACCCATACGCACCGTGGCCAGGCAGCAGGAGCAAGTGTTGCCTACTTTTCAACGCCCGCTCAACACGACGCCTGGCTTTCCACTTTCCACTTTTCCTTTCTTTCCCGGGCTGCGAGGGACAACGTGGCGCCTTGCGCGTTGCTCGACTACTGAAAAGTCCTCGCGACTCCTCTGAAATCCCTTGGCTTTCGTGCTTTAAGCTCCTGCCAGTAGCTTTTTAAGCTGGTCTAAAGCTGAGCCACGCCTGCGCCCCGGGATGTAAACAAATTCGGTTTGGTGTATTGCGTTTCTCCCTTTTTCTCCCCTCCCCTTTGTTAGGTTTTTCTGTTTTTACCTCTCAGCTGTTGGAAGCCGCACGCGACTCCGGTCAGCTGACTGGCGTCTCTGCCGCCGCCGGCTGCGCTGCCACTGCCGCTGCGACGCTGGCGCTGATGCTGACGGCGACGTCTGCATCTGTTTGCATGCCAACCACCTGTGGCTTGTGTTTATTTATTTGGCTTTTCCCACGCATGTGATTCGACCCACTTGGCCCCAAAAAGCTTTCTGGCTGGCTTGACCGCCGAACGCTAATTTACGCACCCGGCTATTCTGTTTAACTGATTGCTTTTTGAGCTGTCGGTAATCGCTTGACTAGTTTAAATCGCCGAGCTCGACAGGTCGATAGCGTTATATCCTCGCTAAGTCATGTGACTACCAAAATTGAGATAATATGACTTAGTGAGCTAGGTCAGTCCATGAGTTATTAAAGAGTAGCTGAATGAGAAGTATGAATGAGAATGTATATATTTCACTAAGTATGATTAATCGTGGAGGTGGCTGAATAATTTGTGGCATACAAGATAAATTAATAATTTATTATATGCACTTCAAAACTACTGTTTGACAACTTAAACAAACTTGGATTTTTTAATGAATTTTATTAAAGCCTATGGATTTACAATTTTCAAACACATACTGTTAAAGGGACTTCATTTTCTTGGATAATAAATACTTCAAGCTACAATTAAGCAATAACGCAATCAATGTTTCAATAGCGTTGTTTTTGTTTTAAGGCAGTGGTCTGCTTTAGGAGCCGAAAAAAGAGCGTTTTTTCAACAATTTTTTTGAAAGGGAAGGAAATGTTTGCGGTAAACGAAATTTTGAGACGATATAATATTATATTTAAACTTTAAAAAACAATTTTTATTTTTGCAAATTATTGAAATTAGCGGAAGTTGTAACGATTTATCTGGGGCGCCTGGAGTGTGCACTTGTAAATCGGTGCCGGTGATGGAGTTCGTGCGATGCATCTGAAGCAGTGGAACCAAAGTTTTTTTCAGATTTTATAAGTTCCTTTTCTATATGAACTAAAAAAATTCCGAAGAAATGACGAAATTCCAAATTTTTTCTAAGTTTGAAAAAAAAATTCACTTTTTTGGAAAAAAAAGTTCACTTTAAGTTGCAAAAAAAGTAATTTAAATAGTACTTTTATCCAATTTTTTTTAGTTCAAATAGAAGATAATTTAATTCTGAAGCTAGATCACTTTGGTTTTTTTCGATCGGACTCATATTGTTTTTACTATGACCGGCACCGTTTTCCAAGACTTGTGAAAATAAAAACTCGAGAAAACGGGCTGTAAAGTCTGCCCGAACATACGAACCTGCTCGACGCTCGGCCACTAAAACTGATCTAGCTTCGAAAATATGTCGAATTGGCCTCTAAAATTTTGAACACATATTCTTGGATAGTTTTGGAATAGATTTAAGACAAAAAAAAAAAATCGATTTTTTGAAGTCTGTAAAGCAGACCACTGCCTTAAGTCATACGCACTCATTCCATTTACGTAATGTAAACATAAAATTAAACAACACTGGCAAAAGCCGCAGCTCGAATTTCTAAGAAAATGTTAAACAGAACTATAATCATAAGTTTCAACTTAACCAACCAATTATTTCTTAGCGCGTTTATTTTATTTTCATTTAGAAACATGGACATCATAAGCTAATAAAATGAATAAATATCTCACAAAATTTGTTTTGCGGGACTTAGTTAGTGCAGTTAGAATGACAATACAAAAAAAAAACGATATAAGTATTCTCCTACAAACAAGTTAAGATGTACAGTTTTATAGTCAAGAGACTTTAAGGTCAGTCTAAACCCTCTGATGAAGCTAGTTAATAATGAAAATTGCTAAATGATTTTACCATGAAAACTGTGAGAATACCTATACTCAAGCACCTGGGTTTCCATTCATGACTGTTTTTCAAAGACGAATCAAATTTAAATGAGAACCAAGTTACAGCAGGTAACATAAGCATTTTAATCGTAATTTCCACACTTAATATCCATTTTTATTTAAAGTCCTGCTCATAGGCTTTTATGGTAAAGTATTTCATAGTTTTAGTTCAGTTTGTCACATTAACAAGCTGAGAAGCAGCTTTGTTTCCAGTTTCCTTACACATTAGCTCTTCACACATTAAATCCAGCAGAGAGAATCTGTTTACTAGGGCGGATAAACCAATCTGGCTAAAACGAGTGTTTACAGAATTTCTTGATTCATACCAAAACAAAGGCTTATCGAGGGGCGCACTTTCATGGAAGCTGCTGCACACAAAAGTCGCACCGGCGACCTTGACCTGGTGGGCGGAATCGCATTAGGCCGGAGACTCGGAAAAGTGAAATCAAATCTGCACATGCCCAGGCTGAGAGCCAGTGGAGGGCGGAGGGCAGGGGCACTCAGGCGGAGGCACAAAGCCAGGCCTGACTAGTGTGTAGTGGCCCATTGAAAGGCTAGTGGCACCACTAACCCAGCTAATTCGCAGCGCTGATGCGTAAAGCCTGTCGGAATGGGCCAAGAAGAAGGGCTCAGGCTCCACGGGAAGCCATGAATGAAAGGAAAAGTTGTGGGTGCCTTGAGCGAAAGTGGTCGGGATTCCACTCAAAGGCGGAGCGGAAAAGCGGAAAAGCTCCTGCAAGCTCCTGGCCCAGCTTTTCGGGCCGATTGCGGCGAACTTTGGCCAACATTTTCGCTCGAGCGCTCGGTGTTTGTAGACCGTTTCATTTCGTCGTCGGGCTGCTGCAAATTAAAAGTAAAAGAGCTGGCCTCAAAATTCCCACATTAATCATCCCAGTTTTCTATTTCCTAATGTTGCGCGGCCGCGTGCACTGATATTTTGTGTTTACAAAGCGCCCAAACAAAAAGAAAAGAGCGAGCGTAAGTGTTTGCTGGCCACTTGGCCGACGGGATGAAAATGTACACCTGGAAAAACAGATCCCAGGGAAGCCAACGCCAGCTTCCGCCACAATGAAACGAAAACGAAAATGAAAATGAAAAAATAGGCAAAATATCTGAGCCCCCCCCACTCATAGATACTGAGGGCCCTGTGTGTGTATCCACATTTTGTGTGTGATTTTGTTTAAGCTAACCGCTGGATTATTGTTATTCGACCGCGTAATTTGATTGAAGCCCTGGCCAACCGAATTTATTCTCTAATAAATTCCGTTTTAATTGCCACACTCAGCAGGTGGGTCGATGGCGGGCAGCCACAGATTAGGCAACAGCGCCACAGTTTGTTGTGATAAAAAAATAATTGCTCTGTTGGCAAACAGATTAAATCGTCATCCGGAAAACGTGAAAACCCTCCCGCACCCTAGGAGAAAATTGATTAAGGAGTGGGCTGCTTGGGCTGAGGGCACAGCTGTCCCGATGGAGCAACATGCCTTCCGAATTCCGTATTCCGAATTCCGAGGCCCCTGTCTCCTTGTCGGGGAAGAGTCCTCGTTTCCTGCCGTCAGTCATCTGCTTCCTTCCATCACTGCTAACAAGATGAACATATTTGAGCAGATGGCTGTTGCCATGTTGCCTCTCTGCTGAGCCGGATTTCGCTGAATTCCTGACCCATAAAGTGGCTTGGCCTAGAGGGGAGTTGTGAATTTCTCATTTCCTCGGCGGGAGTGATGTTTTGGCGGAATTCTTGAGCTTATAAGCTCTCGCTTCTCTGAAGTTTTGGGGGCGCAGGGAAAACATTTCCGTAATTGTGATGTCAATCAATCCGATTAACTGGAGCCATTTACCCCTAAGCTCTCCTCCGTGTTGCACAAACAACTCAGCTCATTAGTATGCCCACGATGTATCGCCTTAAGCCGAACTAATCACCAGAAACAAATTTATTAGAATAATAAAAAATTCCGAATAAATAGCAGTGGATTTATTGAGGTTTGGCCACCCAATACTAAATAAACAGCAATATTGAAATGTCATTCAGATACATTTTGAACAAAAATTATAAATAAATAATTTTTAATGGCTTGTGTTCTCTACTTTAAAATTATCAAAACAATAGTTTTTAATTGAATCGTTAATAAAAGATTCACTGAAATAAAACTAAGGTCGCCAAAGGCTTAGTATTCATAGAATATTCATTGCTGGTTGCTCTTGGTTTGGCTATTACCCAACGAATACTTACTTAAACAGAATACTTACTTAAACAGAATACTTACTTAAACAGAATACTTACTTAAACAGAATACTTACTTAAAACAGAAAGCACTTTAATTTAATTCAGGCCTTAAGTACCGAAGTTTAAGGAAGTTTTAAGAAAATATTCTTTTAAGGAATGGTTAAAATTTGGCAAATCAAATAATAGATTTTTTTGATACGTTAACTTTTATAAGGCAATTTCAAAAGATATTTTACCTAAAAGTTTTATTATCTAGAAGAAAATTTCGCATTGACTTGAAACTTTAGACAACATTCAAGAATCCTTCAAACGAAAAGCCCCTGTTCAAACTTTTGTGGCATGCTTCCATGAAACTTGCCAAACAATGAAAGCATTTGCCTCATTCTATTGTGATGTAGTGTGGAAATGTGTTTTGTTTTTGTTCCTTCCATTCCAATGCATCCATTATGTCCAGATAATAAAAGGAAATTCATATAAAGCATAAAAGCTTAAAGTCTACAAAAGTCGTTCAATGTGACAACTTTAGTTGGTACATTTAGAATGCGGACACCAGGAATAAATGTTTATTGGAAGTATTAAACCGGCGACTTGCCATCTCGCTAAGGGGTGAAAATATTGGACTTTCTCCGGACTGCCCCAAGGCACGATATGGAATATGGGAATGTGGGGATGGTCGTGCGGTTTTCTATGAATATTTTATAGACAGCTAA